CTGCTTTGACCATTGGCTGATTTTTATTTCCATACGAATTTAATGCTCAACATTTCCACAGAAGTGGAAACAAAAAGAAATTTGTATCCGTTGCTAAAAAAAAAAACAGAAAATAACAGAAAACCAAAACAAGATAAAAAAAACTATGTTTTTACGGGGCGGCGGCGGTCTAAAATGTTTTTCTGTCTCTTCTTAAGCAGCAAAAATGTAGTAATTATTTGTGGTAGTCATGGACATGACTTTCTCTGTATATGATAATTTTCAAAGTTGTTTCCAGCTTGTCCAGCATCCATCCAAGCTCGAGCTTTCTTGTCTGCGTCTCACGTAGCATTACGGCAATGTTCTTCACCTTTTGTTCCGTCTCCACATTACAGTGCGTGACATGAGCGTTAAGTGGCTTCGAGAGATCGAGATTCGTTGGTTCCCACTAAATTGATAATCACGCCTCGGTTTCAGCTTTTTGTTTCAACCTCTCTCGGGTTCTATTGTGGCTCCAAGCTCTGAATTTCACTCGGAAATGTCGAGTACACGCACCTGGATATCGGTGTATATATATAATATAATGAAACCAATTCGATGCCATTAGCTCTGCTGAGTCATGATCGAGGGAAAGCTATCAAAGGTACAATCATTGTTCTACATGTCACACACGTAGGTGTTTGGAATTTCAACTGCCAGTTCAAAGAAACTTCTTAAAATAAAAGTTTACCAGAAAAGAAAGAAAAGAAAAAAAAAGGAAAATGATAAATTGTTTGGGAAAAAATAGCAATAGGAAAAGGTGATTAGCCACAGGAAATGCGGCTCAAGACACTCCTGAGAGATGTAAGAACCTAACTAAGGTTTGCAGAAAATATCAATTTATCGATACTGTATTGATATTTCATTGGAATATACAATAAGTAGTTATGTAATATTACATATTTAATACATATGTGATGTAATAACACTTATTTAATAGCACATAATAGCACAAACATGTATCCTCATGTGCTCACCACTGAATTTACCCAAGGCTGGACACCACCACTTCATCTCGGAGATGTTAGAACCAGTTGAGAATTTTATGTGCACATGTGGGTGAATTTTTCTTTTGAGTTTTTTAAGGTAATGGTGTGGTTCCATAATATTAACCGATTACAATCGCTTAAATAACTTAATTTCGATGACACAATTTCTTTTGAAACAACTCTCGATAATTTCTATAATTGATCGATTGTTCAAACCATTCAGCAATTATGTTATTTAAAGATAACAAGCCGAGTTATATCCGAGTGTAGTAACCAGCTTTGATTTATTAAGTGAGATAACCAAACCCAATTAACTGATCACCCAAGCCAATTCTATATATTTAGATTTTTTGTTTCTCCATGATGACTTTACTCCTAGGTTTTATTTTTCGGATTCTTCTGACCTATTATTTTTTGTGATTTTCCCAGACAACCTTCCCCATTTTGCCCCCCATTATCGTCGAGTGATTTATCTCTTTCCCATTCAGATTGCAATTCGAAAATTCCAATTCATATTTCACCATTAGTTTGCCGGCAATTATAAATGTTTTGATCCGCGTAATTGCCAGTTGCGTCAGGCGCTCGTAAGTGGGGTAACTGAGGCAATTTTTGGGGGCAAAATAAAAGCCACCTTTACGTTCCCTTACCCCACCCCACCCCAACCCACCTCACCTCACCTTGCCTTACCTTGCCTTACCTCTGAGTGAGTTGAACTTTAGCTGAATGGAAACTGAATGAATGATTTATATGTGTGGCAGCTGGAGGGAGCAACAAATTGCTTCTAGCTTGGATCCGAGATTAAACTGCATAATGCCGGGGCGATTTCCCCTGGTGGGAGGGGAAGGCGAGCATAATTTCAATAATAAATTTCTATAATTTTCCCCGTCTTGTTTCTTTCGCTGCAAGTGAAGCGTAGAATTACGTGAAAAAGTGAAATTATGCGACGGCGGTGAATGTGAATCCACCGACTTACTTACTTACCTGGCCAGGCACTGGTGCGTGAAAGCACAGGCACAGTGCGGGTGCACTGGAAAAAATTAGAAGTGGAAAATTAAATAAATAAATAAAAAAAGAAGCAGGGTAGAGGGGGGTTCACTTTCTGTGACAAGTTAAAAACTAAAATGAATTATTTTTGGATTTAATTAAAAAAAATCGTATAAAAATATCAATTAAGCCCGACTTAAAAAATCAAAAGATTTTAAATTTTATTTTTATAATATACTAGCAGACCCGACCCGCTTTGCTGGGCCCGTACTAATTATAGTTGACCCGGCAAACACTGTTTTGTCATGCATATTATTTGTAGGAAACAATACGGAAACAATGAGCATATTACAGAGTTGTCAGTAAATAAAATATTAAACCTTCAACAGTAATCTTAATATATAAAAATCTCCTGTCACTATGTTTGTTCGCTATAGACTCCTAAACCGCTTCCTCTGCTTGTTCAATAAAATGATACTGGCATCGGGTCGTTACGCGCTCTTCACAATTGCCCATAAAATAAATTTGAAGAAATTTCGGATTATCATCAGGCATCAAAAATCCAATTTTGTGGTACATCTGGCCTTGTATTTTGAATGTAGTTTCAAAATTACGTCCATCGGATGCAAGATCACAAATTTTAGTGGCCCCAAATGACGTCATTTGGAAGCAACTATTAAATTTGCGTATTTTACGCAAAAATAATTTTGAGTCATTTGAATTTCCAGCAAGAAGGGTTAATAAAGGTTCTGGTGGAGCAGGTAGAGAGCACGACTTTTCCTGATGCGCAGCACATACCGGCAGTTTCATTCCGAAATTTAAACGCCTGACAATATTGACATACTTTGTCCATTCCACCGATAGCAATTTTTGAATGCGCAAAGTAGTTAATATCTGGTGCATATTCAAAAGCAAGACGAACGAATGATGTACGAACTAATGAGCGACTGTTCCGCTGCCTTTGTCGTACTTGTGCTCGTACTATACATATCTATGTTTCTATCTCGAGCCGCCCTGATTCTCGTAATATTCTGCTGCAGACGTTCGCTACGCTGTTCCTGGGATTCTTGTGCACGACCTTCTGCTGTCCTAATTCTTTGAGCTCTATTTCTTGTATTGACTTGTTCTGGCAACTGATGAGCTCTTTCGAAACGTCTGCGTCGTGCCACTCTGCTGCTTACGTTGTTGAGATTCGATCTTTTCGGTGGCATTTTGCTGACAATAATATCTTACCTTCTTAATGTATTTCAAATGAGAATTTAGAGACTCACCACTTATAAACGCAAAACAATAATTATGAATGACAAATGACAATAAAAGAAAAGACAATCTGACAAAATGCGATTTATTGAAATAATTTATTACAAAATATGTAATACGTGAAGAACCGCTCAACCAATTTGGTGAAAAACTCATCAACAAAATAGCCCGAGCAAAGCATAAAGATTTGGTTAAATAAGCACACTAAATTCCATAAGAATCGGTAAAGCCGTTTCGGAGGAATGCATAAAAAAGAAAATTCCTCCTTGTTCTGCCGAAACTGCCATAATGTAAAAGTTCTAAGCTATCCTATCTCTCAAGTTGAACCAAACTGCATAAGCGCACTAAATTTCATGAGAATTGGTAAAGCCGTTTCGGAGGAGTGCATAAAAAAATAAGATTCCTCCTTGTCCTGCCGAAACTGCCATGATGTTAAAGATCTTAGCTATCCTATCTCTCAAGTTGAACCAAACTGCATAAGCACACTAAATTTCATGAGAATCGGTAAAGCCGTTTCGGAGGAGTGCATAAAAAAGAAGATTCCTCCTTGTCCTGCCGAAACTGCCATTCTGACTGAAAAGCGACAGACAGGATGGATTGACATATTAGTTGGTTGTCAAATCTAATGTCAAATATTATGATTGCGTTCAGAAATTTAACTTAAGATTTATAATTTAACGTTTGTGACAAAACTTAAGATTTATCTTTCGATTTCTATATAGTCTTATTAAAAACAAAAGACAGATTAACAACTGAAGTTAGCTAAAATTAATTTTCTCGAAGCTATATGAAGCTGTGAGACTATGCAATTTTGTCGCGTTCGCGATTCACTTTCACTTTTGTTGAGTTTCGGAACGCGATATTAGATCCTCCAACGCGCATGCGAATTTGAACTTTATACAGCGGTAATAAATTACAAATTGACTCTCCATTTTATTTAGAAAACGTTTGTATGGGAAATAGAAAAATACTGTTTTGAGGATTTTCCCGGCAATTATTCGAATTTTTCTCACCTTTTATACCTTCCCTAGACCTCCACGAATAATTCAAGACCAAGATAAGATAAATCCGTTCAGCCATTCTCGAGTTTTAGCGAGACTAACGAACAGCAATTGATTTTTATATATATAGATTGTATTATTTTGTATCTTGTTTTATTTTTCTGCCAGTGTAGACATACCACCAGCAGCAGCGCCTCTGTCGATGCGTGTGACCCAATTCGTTGAATTTTCGATTGCAAGTTCAAGTTTTGCTCACTTTGTTTACATACAAACTACACACATACATATGCATCAGTGTGTGTGTGTGTAGCGCTATCTCTTTCTCGTCTCGCCTTGCATTCTGCGTCTTCTTCGCTCATTACTTATCACACTGAGCACGTCTTCACATGCCAAGACACAAGACAGGGATCGGGGACCCAGACACTCCCCACTTTCTTCAACTTTCGCATGGAATCCGCTTAATTCGATTTTTTGGCAACTCTTTGGGGGAAATATCGATGGGAAATCGATTTGATTAATACGAAATTTGCTTTAATTAAATCGATAAAATATCGGGAAATATCGGAGATTGAGGAATAAATGAAGTTTTGATCCCTAATTTTTTTTTCTATTAATTATATTATCGATTATTTCGATAATTTGTATCAATATATTACATGGATTATTTTCTCGATTAATTAATTATATTCTTGATTATTTCGATACCTTGTAGCATTTATTCTATTGAATTTGTCTTAATTTTGTCCAGCCCTTTTTGAAAAATCTCACAAAATGATGACGATGACAGCGGCTTCGGCCTCGATATCCACCTCTGCCTCCACGGACTGCAGCAGCAGCATGCAGGGATCCACGACCAGTTCGGCGTCCAGTGACGTCATGACCCTGACCACAACAGCCGCCTCCTCATGGTGCGCCATCCCGGCTAGCTCTCGGCTACGTGTACTCCGCCTGGTGAGGCCACACCAGAGGCGACTGCTTGTCGGTGGACCCGAGCGGGACAGCACTTATGGATTCGCAGTGCGTGGTGGGCGAGAGCATGGCACCGGATTCTTTGTCTCCCACGTGGAGCATGGCGGCGAGGCGCAGCTCAAGGGACTAAGGGTAAGTGGGTTAATGGATCATTGGTTTTTAAGCCAATCCAGGTCACGTTTCCACCAGGAACGTGATGGCTTCTAGTGCTCCCTTTCACACATCACTTTCCCCTTTAGATTGGCGACCAGATCTTGCGGATCAATGGCTTTCGCCTGGACGATGCCGTGCACAAGGAGTTCATCCAGCTGGTGGCCAGCCAGGATCGGGTCACGCTGAAGGTGCGAGGAGTAGGCATGCTGCCTGTCAGGGAGTAAGTCATCAACTCTGTCTTTTTAGCTTTCTTGTTGGGACCTCTTCTTCTCTTGAGATCTTCAGTTCTTCCTTGTTAATTGCTAATCAAGTTCCTTTATTCTCACCAGCCAACCGGAGGAGCGTTTGTCCTGGAGCGTGGTGAAGCTGCCCAGCGTAAGTGGCACCCCCTCGGAGAGCTCTTTCAAAAGCGGCGGCGGAGGTGTCGAGCGTGGACGTGGCGCCAGCCGGGACATCAGTGTCGTTTTGCATGTGGCACCCAGGACAAAATTGGGCCTGGGCATCTGCAAGGGTCCCGAGTGGAAGCCCGGAATCTTTGTGCAGTTCACCAAGGAGCGGAGTGTGGCTCGCGAGGCGGGTTTGCGCCCGGGTGACCAGATCCTCAGCGTCAACAGCATTGACTTTTCGGATGTGCTTTTCAGCGAGGCGGTGGCCGTGATGAAGAGCAGCAGCAAGCTGGACATGGTGGTGCGCACGGCGGCCGGCTGTGACCTCTTTCCGGGCGAATCCAGTGGCTATAACAGCTCGGCCAGCTCGGTGACGGGTGACCAGAGTCCCTGCTGGGCGGATGCCAAGTCCAAGCGATTGACAGCTGTAAGGGAGGAGTCAGCAGCAGGAGCAGGAGCAACTACGGCAGGAGGAGCAGGAGCGGGTGCCACCTGGTCGCAGGGCGTCGAGGTCCATAAGCAAATGAACAAGACAATCATCAAGCTAACGGAGACAGGCACCTCCATCAACAACACTTATATAGCCAGCTCTAGTTCCAGTCCTGTTTCGGGATCCTCATCAAGTGGAATCTCCAGTCGCAGCCAGCAGCAGCAGCAGCAGCATCACCAGGTGGCAACTGCCGAGCGCACGCAATCCCGGAGCACCACCATGAAGCGCAGCCACCTGCGGCCAGTCAATGCTTCGGGATCGATTGTACGATCTGTGTCCACTTTGGGATCAGGATCAGGATCGGGATCGGGAGGAGCAGCAGCAGCAGCAGCAGCAGCAGGAGGAGGAGCACCTGTTCCACCACCGCCAGCCATGAACGATGGCTGCAACGGTGGTGCCGCCGGCAACGGCAGCAGTCTTTCCAGTGCCATAACCGAGGAGCTCAAGAAGCGCAAAGAGGTATTTATTATGAGCATTATTCATGGAGCCAAAGATCACTGAGAGAAAATAATATGCATTTTTTAAATATTTAAAATAGTTACAAAAAATATATCAATTTTCTATACAGCAAATAGTTTTCTTTCCATAAAATTGGTATAAAAGTTTTTTTCAATTTATTTTCAATTCTAAGATCTTCAAGTTTTAGTTAAGTTTCTCCGCTTTTTTTCGAGTGTATTGTCACAGATTGCTTCACCAAATTAATTGGAATCATTGCAGAAGCAGCAGCAACAACAGCAACAGCAGCAGCAACAGCAACAGCGCAACAATCGCGATCGCGATAGAGATCGAGATCGAGATGGCAATGGAAATGGAATTGGATGTGGTACTGGTGATCGGCAGCTGGCGGGGCACAATGGAAGCCACCGCAGCTCCTCCGTTGGCCAAGTGTCGCATCGCCAGCGGGCGAATGTTGCTGGCGTGGCTGTCACATTGCAGGGCAGCGAACGCATCAGCAACAGCAGTGTCGGAGGAGGAGCAGCAGCAGGTGGACCCAATAGTGCTGGCGGGGATCATCACACAGCACTGATGGATGAATTCAAACGGGCGCACCAGCGTATGTTTAGGAACGGGTTCCATGAGAGCGATCACAAGGTGAGCAACTGCAGCAGCAGCAGCAGCAGCAACTTTAACATTACTTTAAATAATATTTTTAATAATAATAAAATATTAGTAAATGTTAATAATATTATAAAAATTACTAAATATACTTTTTTTTTTTTAAGAGAAAACATATTTTATAGGAATTTTCCTCTCTTGCTTATTTTTTCTAACTACCAAATTGTTAACTATATTTTGTTGGCCACTGCTGTTGGCCCCTTGCAAAGGTCAAAAGATCCAAGAGCTGCAAACTGAGACTGCTGCACTTGTCGGCAGGGGGAGACCAGTGGCTCTTGCCCCCTTCAAAGAGTAGTTGGTAGTTGGTAGTTGTTGGTTAAGTTACCCAACAGGCCCTCAAGTGGTTGGCCACTCGAGTGGCCGGCTGCAGGAGGGGGGCCAAGTGGTGAGCAGGTATTGATTATTATTATGAATTGCGGTTGGCCCCATTCAACGATTGGCATCTTATCGGCCAGATCGATAAGCGGCGCCCCACAGCCGATTGCTCAGATTGCATTGTATATAATATGGGGGGAGCACTAAACGGGATAAGAAAGAAGAAGGATCGATGAAAGAACTGCATAAAATCGATTTAATGAAGATGAACTGTGTAATCGGTATATTAAGTGGTTGTGGTAATCGTTGTAATATCGATTTGTTATCATTTTAGGATGGATTTTATGATAACTTTTTTGTTTAAACGTTACCTGATTTTAATTTAATGATAAAGAAATTAATGAGCTTAAGTTGATACCCATTAAATTATTTATTGTAGTGCTTTTAAATCAGAAAATATCGATTGTAGATTTTTTAAATCTATAAATATCGATTTTCTTGTTTTTGAGTCATACAATAAAGATAAAATTGGTTTTTAAATTAATTAAAGATACACCATTTAAAAATGTTTGCTAATTTTTTTTAACAAAGTTTTATTTAACAATCACTTTCCGATTATAAATCGATTTTATATCAACTGTTTCTTGGCTATCGATAAGCCTCAAATTCAAATGAAGAGTCTTTTATGGACATTTGTTCCCAGAACTCAATCATGTTGGCCATCCGCTGGCTGACAGGCCAATGGTTATCGATGACGCCGCACTGCCTGTGCTGCGGGGTTACCAATTTTGGCCAGAGCAGAGTTCCACACCCAGCATGATACGAATGATTTGGGTGACTCATCCTTTGGTCTGGCGAGGAAATTATAGGAACCAAAACAAAAGCGAGCAATGGCAAACAAATGCCCAAAAGCAAACAGAGGGTGGGGTGTTGTTGTTGTTTTGGTTTTTTTTTTTTTGAGTAGTGACTACTCCTCAATGGCTTTATCTAATCAGAGCAACGACGGAGCAACAGAGCAACTGCGCCGCCCAGAGTCGATAGATGGATGGGCGTCCAGTCTTGGCAATAGCTCGCTGTGGATCGCATCGCAAATTACGGCCGGAATAGAAATGAGTTTGCTGAGAGTGAAAAACAGAGAGGGGGCGGTGGCCAATGATGGGTCAGGTGTAATGCCCACCATGCGTCCCGTAAGCATGGGTCGACCTCTGGTCACCATGTCCACATATCAGGTAGTCGGTCTTGAGTTATTATTATAATAATTAATTTATATATTATATATTTTTTTGCTAATCTTTGTACCTTTGTTTTGCTTTACACAGGAGCGCGGCGAGACGCTGAAACGCACCTCGATTATGCCCGATGATAGCTGCTATCGCAACAGTATCAATGCCAATGGTTTTACCAATGGCAACAGTAGAAGCCACAGCAACAGCAGCAACAGCAGCAACATCAATGGGAATCGCCTGCAGCCAGCAGCACAGAACAGCGGCAGCCAGGGAACGCCGGAACTAGCGCCGCAATTACCGCCTCCGGTAAGCGAATGACCCGATCCAAACCGTGTCCAAAGTGTCCAACAAATCCAAAAACCAATAAAATTCAACAACAAAATTCGAATAACAAATCAATTGGCTTACATTTTTAAGGGTTTTTTTAATTTAATTAAATAAAAACAAAATTATTTAAGGTTTTTCTGGAAATAATTTCGATTTCTAATGTAGATTCAACTTTAATTAAATTTTATTAGGAAATAAGACTAGTTTTAATTTCGAAATTTCCAAATCAGAATGACTTTTCAGTTAGTTTCCTCTATAAAAATGGTTAACAACTGCTATATAAGGCTTTCCTGGAAGTAATTTCGAAGCCTAATCTAGTCTGAACTTTCTTTGAATCAAATCGGGAAATCAAAGTCTGATTAAAGGCGTCACTATTTTCATAAATATTTAAACGCAGGCTAATAAATATTTTGGGATGAATCAGTTTGGGCTTAGTTATCTACTTTTTTTTAAAAAGATTGAAAGGATTTGTGTCACTTCCAGAACCCTAACTCTCTTTTTATTTTCAAACTTCACTAATTTCTGGCCTTTTTTTTGTTGTAGCCACCACAGTTTGCCAATTCCCAGCCAAAGCAAATGCCACCTCCATCTCAGCTCAAGCTAAACACCGGAAACGGTTTGAGCAACGGAAACGGAAATGGTTTCAAGGCCAAACAGCCACTGTCGCCCATGCGCAGTGCCAGCATCAGTGTGGGCGGCTTCCGGCCGCCAATCACTCCCCAGCCCGACTACGATGCTGTTCAGCTGCGCAAGGCATCCTCGCCAGAATCAGGCGGAGCTCCAACTCAACAGCAGCAACAGCAGCGGCGAACCCTGCGTTTGGGTACCGTGACCATTGGGGAGTATGGCGGCGACCAAACCAGAACGAATAAGCGTGAAACCCTGCGAAAAATCAATGGAGAGACTGGCAGCTCCTCGAATGGCATTCTCAAGAATGGCACTAACAGGAGCAGTGCCAGCTTCAACCACGGCTCCTCCATGCATGCGGAAAAGTCCATCAAGTTTGGCAACTGATGGGGGGCATCTTTCCCCCCCAGGAAATAATTATTTTTGTGCAATAAGTTCGAGGAGAAGCAGGAATTTGAAGGAGAGTACAAAATCGGACGTGCAGCGGCATATATTCTACCATAATCACATCTTTATACCATATATATACTTTTTTTTTTGCTATCTTTAATTCATGTACTTATTATACATATATTATATATTTTTTTTACGATTTTCTGGAAACCCTGTATCACTAGTTGCTATTTTATTTCACTAAACACTGTAAATAAACCGCCCGTGTCCCTGGAGTTTCCAATAAAACAGAAAAACCGAAAGCAAATGTGTGTCTATCATAGCTCTAGATATATATAAAAATATATATATAAATAAACGTGTGTACATCTAAACAAAAGCAAAAACCAACTGATAAGGCAACGAAAATGAAAATATTTAGCCGCTTGCGTCAGCCGAACGTCGCGTCGTCGATCGTTGAGAATGAAGAACCGCAAATCCCAATTAGATTTTGGCCCTAAAAGATATCGGGGCGTGTACTCCTTAGTTTTTGCTCAATTGGAACTGATATATATGTATGATATAGTATGTGGAGGGAGTGATGGCATAAATCTGGGGCAACACATTCAATTAAAAATCAACGGGGAAGTAGGGAAACAATGGTGGGATCTGGGAGATCTTTAATGAAGTAATTGCTTTTATAGGGGTTCTTTCTTATTTTTTTCAGTGTATATAGTCCTTAAGTTTGGGTTTATTTAGGTATATTTCTTAATTTATAGGAAATTTGGTTATTAATATTGATTGAAAAGAGAAAGTTAGCTTTAAAGGTAAGTTTTTAGAGATCTAAAATTAAAAAAGACTTGGCTAGATCGACTCGCCTTGCGTTGGTGTTTAAAAATATTAAATTTATATAGCATAATAATTTAAATTAAAAATATAAAACAAAAAAGGACAATCTTATAAAACAACTACCCTACAAATTCAGAGTAGATATCGACAAGGAACTTTCTGAAATTATATTGACAGGACAATGTCAAAAAAAGAAAAACTGAACAAGGAAGCAGACGCAAATAAAAAAGAAAAACTTACAAAAAATCACAATCAAATAAAATTCGCAAAAAAAAAAACATAAACCAAACCAAAAATGAAGAAACAATTCACGCCCATCCGGCAGCCAATGGCGATTTCCCAGGAGCTGGCGTCGATGACTCTGGGTAAGATTTGGGGAAGATCCTAGGCTAGGTCACCAGTAGACCCCCATCCATCCTCCATCCCATTCCCCCCAGATATGTATTACAAGCGGCATGTTCAAAAAACCGAGGCCCGACGCCGCAATATGAAGCCATCGAAGAAGTGCCTGCACTGCTTCCAGCGGACGCATTTCTTCGGCCCCAACTACTGGGCCCGCAAGCCACCGGTACTTACGGAGCAGACGAATCGCGTGGATTCCCTCCGGAAGCAAATCCGCGAGGTGAAGGCCACCATCGAGTACAAGTCGCAGGTGGATTTACAGCAGAGGTTGCTGGAGCAGCTTAAGGCCGATCTTGCCAAGCAGGAAGCCCAAGTGGAGTCCACAGATCCCCCGGTGGAGGATGAGCATCAGCCCCTGGTGCTGATGATTGACGACGAGGTCATCTACGACGAGGAGTACACGCGTGATCCCATCTGGAAGTAGGCACCAAGCCAGCTTATGACACAATTAAAGGAACACCACATGGATAACATGTATGACGAGATTACACGATTATATATATATATATATAGGAGTATATATAATACAGGAGTAAAAGTGGGTGTTGCTGGAACACTTGAAGAACAGAAGGCAAACTTTTAATTGCTGAAAATATAATTTATTTATTTTTGAAGAGGGAGTATAATATTATATCTAATCTCTTCCTTCGCCCCCTATTTTTTTCCAGTGCAAAGTGACAGTTGCACAATCCTCCTCCCGTGGGAGGTGGGGGAGGTGATTGGCAGGGGGTGAGGGGGGAGGGCGGCGAGGCTGGCTGCCGATTGACCAACTAACTGAGTAAACGAACGGTTTCCTTCCTCATTGTTGCGACAGACAGAGACAGAGTCTCGTTTGGCGGCAACATTTGTGGCCAGCAACAAGTTGCCGGTTTTGCAGCCAAAACGTTTAAAGTTTTTCATTTTTTTTATTGTTGTTGTTGTTAATTCGGGGACTGCTGTTACCATTTTTAGTGCTATTTGTTGTTGCTATTTATTATTACAATCGCTGCGCTACACTGTTGCAAAAATTGTGCGGCTTTAGTGACTGTTTGAGAGAGGGTTTGTCAGGGTAAAATGTTTATTAAATATTTTCAAAAATATATATATACGTTTTTTATACTAAACTAATATTAAAAATTAAAAAAAAAGTGTTAAAGGTGTCATATTTAATTTTAAAATATTTTTAAATGAAATAAACATAATATAACATAAATTGAGAATGTTACTATTAATCAACATATTCCTTATCTTAAAATAAATCTTAAAAAAATATATAAAATATAAATTTTAAGGTATTGTGTTCAATATTAAAAGCCACTCCCTTGTTCGCCTAATTCCAACCATTTTTCCCAGCAATCAGGTGAGTAAACAAAACAGTGATTGAAGCCTCCTCCCCTCCTTGGTCCCAGTGCCCGCCCTAAACCTTACTCAATCACCTGTTTTGGCCATCAAAACAAATCAACAGCTTTTGGAATGACTTGGCAGTGGCTTTTGCAGTCGTTAATCCCCGAAAAAACACACAGAAACTAAAAGCTGAGAAACTGAAACTAAATACTGAAAGCGCGCTCTGGCAGCTCCAATGTCCAAAGCGGCGGTCGGGTTAAGTCCATAAAATCGTTGCGCAGACGCGGCCATTCAGTTGGATTTTGGACTTCAGAGACATCGCAACGCGGTTATTGCTCCTCGAGAAATATATATATAAAAAATATATCTTAAAGATGCCGCTTCCATTTCATCTACTGCTCATTGCTCCCCTGATTTTGCACTGCATTTCTGGAGCACCACTTGCCCCGGCCACGCCCGATGGGTCCACGCCCATTGATGCCCGGGTCTCGGCCGCTGAGTTTGGTGCCCAGGATGCCTTCGATGCAGCCGAAGCAGCCGCCGGCGAAGCCACACAGGCAGAGGCCAGTGAAGCCGGCTTCAAGGTGAGTTTTTGCAGGGTTAAGGTTTTTGAAAATTAAAAAAATATACCTAAATATAATAAATTTAATAAAATACCTTCCTGATAGATCTCCCTTTTGCCCACACCGGCAAAAACTGCTGAATCTGTGAACCTGGAGCAGGAGGCCATACCCTCAAAGGTGCTCAGCGTCTACGACAATAGCCAGAAGAAGCTGGCGGAGCTCTCTCAGGTAAAGAAGAAAGTGAAAGAAAGTGGAAGAAAATATCCTGATATCCTTTATCCCATCCTTGATCCCTATACTTTGTAGCCTGTTCCCATTTTGGACACCATCAGTGAGCACGAAAAGTATGGCAACAATGGCGACATGTTCGATGGAATCTCGCGCTCCCTTGTCAACGGTTACGAGGCCTTCTCCAACCTGCTCAACACCTTCATACAGGTGAGTTTTATTTTTTTCTTCTTTTTTTTTTGGTCATGCCGAAATTGCGGCGGCCTTTGTTTGTTTATTTATTACTTTCGGCGGTGCGGCTCCATTCGCACACGATATGTGTGTGATTGCTTGCATAAGACTCGGGCGGTGCAGTTGCTGGAAATTTTCAAGAAATAAAAATAATTTAAATAATAATAAATTAAATAATATATAAAATGAAATAATAAATAAAATAATATATAAAATAAAATAATAAATTAATTAATATATAAAATAAAATAATAAATTAAATTATATACATATAAAATAATGAAAAAAAATAATAAATAAAATTATTAACAAATAAAAAATGTTTTTAACGAAAGCTAAAATTTAAATTTCAAGTTTTTACCAATTCAAAATCTTTAAATATTTTCCAAAATTAAATTAAAAACTCAAATTTAACGGTAAAAAGCCAAGTGAGCCACTCGACTGCTTGCTGGGCACTGCTTATGCAATGGGTTGAGCGTCTCTTTTGACCAAGGTCAGTTTCAGCTTTCTTTAAGCTCTCTCTTTTGAACTCTCTTGTGCTCTCTTTAACTCTCTCTTTCTCCCTTAACTCTTCCAGAAGCCCAAAGAGCTGGCCCGCAGCGTTACCAAAGGAATTACCGCTCAGTTGGATATTATCGGTGGTCGCCTAGTGGGACTCTAACGGTAAACAGGAACTGGTTGCTTTTTTTTTGTTCTTTTCTTTTGTAATTTAAATAAATATTTTAATTTATTTTATAACTTAACGCAAACATGTTGTGTGTAGGAATGTATTTTCGATATATAAATATGTTTTGTATAAATAAAATAATCATAGTAATAATAATAATAGTAATATTTGCTTTAACTATATATCCATTCTTCCCTCTTCATCTGCTGGGTTATTTTTATTTATTTGTTTGTCGTTTTCCTCCTTGCTCCTTTGGGCAGTTGTGGTTTCTGCTATTTCGAATACTACAAAGTTCCATAAAGTAACATAAATATAATTTGTATAATGTATATGTACGTGTTATATATAGCTGATATATTGATTTAGTTAAAGGGTTACGAGCATAATTAAGCCTTGGGCCTTGTGTATTTCTGGTACAGTGCGTTTTCGATATAGTTATTTTTTGTGAACTGCAGCCTGATAATTATGAAAAGCACAGTAACCTACACTGAGGCCTTGGACTGGACACTATACTACTAGAGAGCACATCACAATATGGATACACCGCTAACTAAATACATATTTTTTGAGAACAAAAATGCCCTCTGCACACTGAATAACATTAACGGAAAGCATTATGCGGCGTTTACACTGAGCATAATGTCCTCTTCTCACTGTCTTTCAGTGTAAGTTGACCTGTTCGCATTGAATTTTTCTTTTTCGTTATGTTTTTGCCTACAGATTATAAAAAAAAAATAAAATAATAATAATACGCGTACACTTTTCTTTAAAAATTAATTTTTGGCACATTTCGCATTGATTGAATTAGAAACTAAACGGAGTTAACAAAGAAAAAAATATAATTAGAGATAGGGAGAGAGATTTGTTGTTATTTTTTCTTGAACATCCTCCACTACAGGCGCGTTCAGTCCTCCCAACTGCTGGTACGGGTCTGGGGATCAATCGAGGGCGAGTACGACTTGTAGGTGTCCGAGGCCCGCTTGTGCTTTACCGTGCAGAAGAGCAGCATGGAGGTGATCAGTCCAAAGAGCTGGACAAAGGCAATGCCCAGACCCACGGCCCCCACCACATTCAGCTGGCCGGTGAACCAACTTTGCAGCGAGTGGGCACAGCCCTTGTCCCACCACAAAGAGGGGTTTTCGGATCTAAAAAAAATGGTGGGTTTAATATATAGATCTATTACCCTTGAGGTGACTACTACACTTACCTGCCGCAGTCGGCGCGCAGCAAACCATCGCCAGAACCCTCAGTCAAAACCTGACGCTGATCGTAAAGAGTCCTGCAGCAGGACTCGGGCACCCAGCGCTTTCCCGGCCACGTCTGAATGTCATACCAGTCCTCGTATGAGGACACGCCACAGCACTCAAACTGGGGTAGAAAGGTTATAGTATTTTGGCTACAAATAAAAAAAGTATAACTCACCGATTGCTGAACACTGTCCCAAATGGCGGACACCGATGGGGCCACCAGGGAGCCCCGATCGCTGACATTATAGTGACGCTCGATGCCAAAGCGCAGCTCATTGGCCAAAGTACGTCCCAGGCCGCCGCGGAAGAGAAAGGCTATGGAGCCCACCAGGAACTCGCTCATGAACAGCATTACAATCAGCATAAAGTACTTGGGATAGAAGGAGAGGTAAGGTATCCAGTTTACCCTTCACCTTGGTCCACTTACCAGCACCAGAAGACACCTTGACTGCGCCCAGGCCCCGCAGCATCCAAAGAAGCTAACCACAAACCCTGTTCCGCCAATTCCCATGAAGATGGTGTCTGCACTCAAGGCGGCATGCTGAGGCAGAAGAGTGGCATAGCCCTCGTAGCTCAGTCGCAGCCAGAGTCCGGCGCCCAGAAAAGCGCAGCTACACAGCTGCAAGGGAAATGAAAATTCAGGGAAAAAAACAAAACAGGAATTTGGAATTAGAAAGGTTGAAATGAGAGAGAAAAACAGAGAACTGTGACTAGAACTAATTGCCAACTGGAATGAGCATCTTAAATCAGACTTAAACAACAATTTAAGACTATTAAGATTTGGAAGTAGAATTAATGGAATTCACCAGATCTCAGAGGGTTCTTAAAACTATAACTATCTTGTGTTTAAACAAAGTAACTTGGCTTATTTATATTTTTTAAAGAATTTTCAAGACAAGCTTAACATTCTATTTGTGTCACAGCTCAAAGCCCTGCTTGAGACCTTCTTTAGACATCCTTTAACCTTCGTTAACCTTCTTTAAAGTCCACCGCAAGACCTTGATTAATTGCCTTTCAACTTAAAGGATCTCAGGATCTAAACTGATCTGTTTAGATCCTTTAAGACCGATTGACAGCTGAATGCTAGCTTTATCGATACAAAGCAACAGCCACAAAGGCTGCTGCTGTCATTGGTAGTTTCCAGGGGGAAACGGATGAATGTCAAAGTCGCAACCCAAAACAGAAATTGAAACTGAAACTGAAGCTGTTGCTGGAGCTGCAGCTGCAGCTGAAGTTGAAGCTGAAAAGCTGGGAAACTGGCAAACTGGGAAACTGAAAAGACAATGACAGGCGCTCAGACAATGCAGCTGGGCGACGACGATTACAAAGACACTTCCGCTGCAGACAGCAATGTCGACAAAGTTCTGGGCTCTGATTTGCTGTGGCTTCCACCTTTTCGAGTCTGACTCTGATTCCGATTCCGATTCTATATGTTTATGCTCTGTTAGTGTTGCTGCATATCCGTTCTCAATGGGCAGGCACTGGGGGAAATGGTTTTATTTTTTGTAGTTTAACTATTAAAAAAAATAATATTATAATATTTTAAATATTATTAATAAATATTATAATATTATAACATTATTATAATTATTATATTACACATATTAAAAATAATAAAATGTTCTAAAATAAATTAAATAAATTGTTCAATTGATTTTCAGAGCTGAGAACACTCTTTATATATAATTTTAATACTAAATATATTTTATAGATCCCTTAAAGCAATTTAATCAAGCTTAAATGTTAGGTATTGTCCTCAAGAATAAATTTATTATATTTAAAATTAATTTAAATATTTATAAAAATAATTTTATAAAGGTTCTACATGTTTTTTAAATCTCTCAACTATTTTTTTTATATTTAAAAAACCCTTACTTACCCACAGAATAATGTTGAGCCAGCAGAAGGTGCGGCGAATGCATGTATAGCCGGCATTGCCCATGGCAGGATCTGAAAGAAAATCAACTTTAGACGGGAATTCTTCTGGCTTGAAACCCTCTTCCTCTATATCCTACACACGCACAACAAAAGCATAAATCATTGGAAATGTTTTCTATGCATTAAGTAGAGGCACACACCAAGTGTGTGAGATGACCCCAATAATCCATATAAATAACACTGAAATTCATAAATTTAAACAAAACCGAATATTTGTTGATTCTTGCTTAGATTATTTTGGTTTTTTATTTGTTTGTTGTTTTTGTTGTTTTTTTTAGCTATTTTGTTGATGGCATTTCCATTGGCATTTCCTTTGTAACTGGAGTAGCGTGTGTGCGGGTGTTCGTGTGTGTGTGTGTTTGCCAGCGGGGGTGTGTGTTTAAGCAATTGCAGCTGTTGCACATTCACAGACAAACGGGGCCGCCGTTTATGCAAATATTTTATATGATTGAATGAAAACAATAACTAAGGCAACAAAAAAAAAAAAAATAATAATAATAACACAAAAATTAACGACAAACAACAGACCAATGTCCAGGGTCACAGAAGCAAGTGTATATGTTATCATCTGTTGCTTTAAATTAAGAACAAACACCAAGCTCAAAGCGGGAAATTTTTAATAAATTTTTACAATAAAGTAAACATTATATTTCTCTTTTTTAAAAATTGAAAAACCAAGCAATTTTAAGCATAAATTCCCTTTAATCTCTAAACCTTATTCAAGACTTTATCTGGAACATTGAAACATTGCCAAAAATCTCCATTCCTCTCAACTTTCATGGGAAAGAAGCCGCCGCAGAAGAATCACTTTTTAGCCTCATGCAAATGATCACATGTTGTGCTGCAATCGAGCTCCATGGATCTGGGAATATTCGTGTTCATTGGCCACAAAGAAAAAAAAGCACAAAAAATAAAAGAAGATTGCGTGTGAATCGGCAGTTGAATGAATAATGGCGAAGAGCTTCTCCCCGTCTTCAAAAATGAAGATTTCGAATGTTTTGAAATAAACTGATGCTAGGTAGGTACTTTTTCTTTGAACCTGCTTGCAGGATATTACTGCTTTGGTGAGAAACTGCTTGCTAGAGCTTAATATAAGATTAATAAATGTAAATATAATATACAAATATTTAAAAAACAAGCAAGCCTCTTTACAAAGGCAGCTTGTTGAACACTTAAACATTTATATTTCCAAGTTTTGTGTTTCTATTTTTCAAATATTTCCCAAATTTCCCCAGACTATCTCAAATATAAGTCTTGCCAAGCAGTTAATCTTAGGACACACTGTTTTCTAAAGTACATAAATACCATCCTTGAGGCGAAACTCTCTACGAACCCGCTAACCTAATGGTTTTGAACTTGAAATCTTCCAAAGAGAGAGAAAGAGGAGCACGCGCCAGACGCATGCGTGCTAGCTAATCTCGATCCTCCTCCTACGATCCACGTAACCCCTTCTGACTCTGACTGGGATTTGGGAATGGGAACACGCCTGGCCGAGGGTCGAGCACTAAACTATAATTGGAATAACTATCATCACGACGATGATCGTCCGCATCAAACATAATAATGAAATAGTGCAAATAATAAGCAACGAGAAGGGGGGGACGGTAGGCGGTAGGCTAATGGGCTTGGCCCAGGGCTGTCCAGTTCGGATCGCCGCGGTTTTAGTTCCATTTTTTCCATTTCCATTTCCCATTCCCAATCCCGTTGTCGTCGTCTCCAAGTGCGAACGAACAATTGCAAAAGGCACAACAACAACACACAGAACAAACGAGAGCAACTGTCGCTGGCTCGCTTATTTTCCAATTTAACTCAATAACGCGCACTGGCTTAATGGCATTTGACGCTGAAAATTTGCGATTTACCCCACCGTCCGCCCCTTACACTTGGCTGCACATTTATCATAATTCGAGGAGCCTGGACCTGAGATGCTGCGGATGTGGGCTAGAGTGATTTATGCCAGCGAAATGCCACTCAAATTGCCGCCATTTCCCCAAAATAAAATAAAAAACTTAATAAAAACAAAATAAAAACTAAATATATATAGAAAGTAATATCTTTAATAGTTTTCTTTGCAAAAATATTGAGATTTGTTAGCTAAAAAGTAAAGAAATTTGTAAGAATGTATATAATTCTAGAATTTTTAATATAAAAAGTAGTAAATACTTCAAGTAAGTCATTGCAATTTGTAGTTTAGTGAGTCAAAGTTTAGTTATTAAAATTTCTAAGCCACGATTTCACTTGGTTTACATTTTTAATATAAAAAAAAGAGATTGAGAACATGTCTTAAAAATTGTTTGTAACCAAGAAAACTGCTAAAATAATTATATTTAACACCTTAAGTGTAGATGAACTATATTTCAAAATATCATAATATCAAGTTTCCCTCCAATTTTCCAAATATTTCAAGCAGTTTTCAACGAGTTAGATAAGCTCAACTTGGGGCCAAGCCGCGTGTGTTGCACTTGGAAGATCCGCCAAAAGTCGACAACATTTGCCAGTAGCAACAACTACAACAAATACAAACCAGTAACAAACAACAACAGCAACATGGACAACAAGATCAGCAGCATTAAAGAAAAGATTTTCACCATCTGACCATTGGAGACCTCCCCCCTTGACTTTATGTTGCTGCTGCTGCTTGCCTCTGTATGTTTTGTTGGTCTTTCAAAGTGTCGTCCACGAAAAGTTTTCTCTTTTTCTTTTTGTTGCTATTGTTGCTGCTTAGTTGTTGTTGCTTTTGGGGCCTGATCGGCCAATCTATGTGTTTACTTTGTTTGTGCCCCATTGCCGCATTTCTTTTCAGTTGCAAATTACTTCAAGTTGCTGCTTTTGTTGTTGTCCTCCGCTTGGCTTGGCTTTCAATCTGGTTTTTCTGTTTTTTGTTGTTTTTTTTTTTGTGGTTGTTGCTGTCAATAAACTGCAAAAGTTCGTTGTTATTGTCGTCAGCACTGCATCTGGCTTCTATATAGGAAGGCTGTATATGGGATATTTCAATTCAAAACAGGACATGTATTGTCGTGTTTTATCGTTATCGGTTTCGGTTTGTCTTGCTTCTAACCGTTTCTTTTCGCACTATTTAACACAGAAAAAAACAAAAACAAAACACTGTTCTTTTTAAATTATTATATATTTTTTTTAATTTAAATTCGTTTTGTAAATCTTCGTTGCACTTCTTCTTGATTCTTGGATCTTGGTATTCTTTTTTTTGGGATTACTTTAAGGGGTTTTGGTTTTGGGTTTCTTTTCGATTTGCGTGTTCTATGCGCTCGCCGCGGTTGTTCAAAATAAACTGACAATTCTGCGCGACTTTGGTTAAAAATAGTCAAGAAGCGCGACGCGTCGCAGCGCAGCAGCCGAACTGCCGCACGAATGGCAAATAGCCGAAGTGACTTCGGTTGCATGCAGTACAGGGGGAGGGAAAAGGGAGGCTAGGTGGCGAGGGGGGGTCAATGCACTTAAAGAAATATATATAAATAATAATAAAAAATGCTTTATAAGCTGTGAAACATTGAGATATGAAATCCCTCCGGACCTGGTTCGTTTTTTCTAATGTCCTGCAATCTGCTTAAAGAAAAATAATGTAATAAGCCTAAAACGATCGGTTCAATAAAGCGTTTTGTTCAGTGTCTTCCCCTGGTGACAGTTGTAATGCTCCGAGTGAAAAAGAGAAAGAGCTTCCACGATCTGTAGAGGAACAGAGAGAGAGAGCGACAGAGAACGGAGGCGAGCGCGTTGTCTGCATACTTTATGAATGAGATTTATGTTTAGATTTCAGTGTCACGTTTTGATCCACATTTCGAATGGAACGCGACTGGAAAGAGAGCCTACTCCAAAGCACTAAACAAAAAGCTAAAAGAAAAAACAACAAATAAATAATCCAGCACAAGCTGTGCAGATGGATCTGCCTTTTATTCCTTTTTTTTTCTTTCTTTTTTTTCTCTATTTTGCTTTGTTTGTCAGGCGAAAATTACGACGGGAAGTGGAAGTGGTCAGCGAATCACTCATACGCCCTGTTGCAGCAGCTGCAACAGCTGTGACGTCACACATTACAATGTAATAATAACAATTAATAGCGGATCTCAAAAAAGAAGCAAAGAAAAAGAAAATTAAACTAAGAGAAAGAAATAACAAATGACAGTAAGTAAATGATTAACGTAAAATCATATCAGTTGGCACTGCTTGCACTACTTGCATTTTGCCATAACGTAATGCCGTAAAAGGTCAACGAACTTCTGGGACGTAAGCAGGCGAGGGAAGTTAAAAAGGATAAGAAGATACAGTATATAAAAATAATTAATAAAAGTTTAATAAAAGTTATTAAAAAAAGAAAAAATGTTATTTAAAAATTTTCTTTTAGAAACAAAATTAACATTCTTTTTGTTAGGTTTTTTCCTCTTTTAGATAACTATTTTTTTTAAATATATAAAAATTATTGATATAACTTTAAAAAATACTATTAATTAATTATTAATTATAAAGAAATTTGGTTTTTAAGGGCATTGTATTAACTTTTTTTCACATTTATGGTCTTTTATTATTTAAACAATATATATAACCCTTTAAAAATGTACTACAACTGCATATTTTAAGGTTTATATATTTTATTAAAATTTTTAAATACTTTATTTTAATATATTTTATAAACAAAATACCCTTTATTTTAATTAGCTCATTTCTTATATTTATTAATTATTTGTTTCCCTTATGCATTGCTTAAATATTCAAATTTATTAAAATTAGCTAAGCCAAAATTGCCTTTTATGATTTATGTTTTCTGTGGGAATCCCAACTGTCATTTTTCCAAACTCTTTAAATTATTTATGTTTATTTTCTGTGTGAAATTCGCAAAACGTTGTATTTTTTTAATATTTTTTTTTTTTACTTATCTCTTGACCGTCAAACCGCTGATGGTGCAACCAGCTTCGTTATGGTGTTGAGTAACCCGAAAATTCGAAGAGACAGCAACGAAGCCAGAAAATGAAAGAAAACTAATAATATACAAAAAACGAAACATAAACAAATCAACGGAGTTATCGACACTGACTTGGCGTTGCGTGATATCGAACTTAGCATAAATGAAAGTTGAGAAAAGAAACTGAAGAGGGATTGCTGAAATTTTATATTTAAAAACTTTATAAAAAACATGGTTATATGTTTCAAACTTACCTGATATTCAAAAAAATATATATACATATATATAAATCATATTTGTTAACTTTCATTTTCGTCAAGCAAAGGTTTTTATTGCCAAAACTTGGACCAAATTCCATATAAAAATTATGTTTACAAAATTTAGAATTAAGGAAATAAAGATCATATTTTTCCCTATTTTCTTTCTATATTTATAGTGTTTAAATCAGACTATTATAATTATTAAAAAAAAATAAGCACAAATAAAATGAGGCAAGAGCTTATAAGCTGAGTGTTAGAATCCCTACTTGTCCTTGCGCAACTTCTGGCTGGACACCTCAATGGCATCCAGCCACAGCTTCAGCTCCTCGGGCTTCTCCGGCCGCTTGGCCGTCTCCGGATACGACTTGAGCACCTCCAAGACATCACAATTGGTGATATTCTGCTTGGACATGGCCACTGCCCGCACAAAGCCATCGGCCAGCGTGATGAACTGCTGCTCCAAATAGATGGCCTTCTCGTCCCACCACACCAGCTTGGTGGTGATCTTGTACGGATGGAAGATGGGTATGGTCCGGCGATACCTAACACTGCTGGCACCCTGGACAGCACCACCCCTGCGGGCACGGATCTTTTCGTAGAGACCGGTCAAAGCATAGAAATGGAAGCGGGCAAAGTCCAGTTCACGGACATAGCGAGCATTGTTCATGTGCCGGATGAAGATGTCCACATCCTGGGAGGTGCACAGACCATAGATTGAGGTGGTGTCCGTCACCTTGCGTTTGCTCTGGAACAAACGGCCGGCAAACACGGTGAACACGCAGCGTATGAAGTAGTTGACATCCCAGATCACATAGAGGATCAGCAACACCACCAGCCAAGACATGGTCGCTCTTTGGGGTTTCTTCTGGGTCTGACTTGGAGATTTCTGTGGAGTTTGGAGCGGGGGAAAAGAGCGAAAGTTATACTCTACAGTAAAACCCAGGGGAAAGTTAGCTTAGCTCATCTTCTGATTGAAACGGAATCGGAAACGGAATATTCCCTTTGCCGGCGAATCGGCAAAGTCCGCAAGTCAATCGTATCCAATGACCCCTGGAAAAGTACTCACTTTGCCTTGCGGGACGGTCGCTTACACACACTGAGAGAAACGGAGAGCGAAGCGGTAGGGCGGTGAGTGATACGAGAGCGACACACAACCGTTCCACAGAGCTGAAGAAAGAAGACTGAAGACTGGCTGCGAGACAGCGGCAAAAGCAGAAGAAAGCAAACAATCACTCGAAAGTTGACCAACAACACAACGCACAGGGCAGTGTAGCCAACAATTGTTTACAAAATTAACTAAAATTGGTACGGAAAAAAGGTGAATGTTAAAGACTAAAACTGATTTGGGGTTCGATTAAAATCGTTATTTCGGTGAAGTTTAAATAAATCTACAAAGAATTGGATGAATATATTATTATTATTATTTATTTATTTAACCATCTTGGTTTTTTATTATAAGTTAGATTAAAGTTGCAAAATTAATTTGAGGTTTTAAGTTTGTATTATTATTATTATTTATTTATTTATATTTATAGTTTACACTATATATTTTAGTCAGGATTTTAGGCAACAGTTAGAAGCTTGCAAAGCTATGAAGGAGGCATTTCCGACCCTATAAATCATATATATTCTTGATCAGCATCAACAGCCGAGTTTATCTAGTCATGTTTGACGGAAAAAAATTTTTTTAATTTTTTTCAACATTTTATAAGGGGTTACATCATTAAAATTTTTAGAAATTGGTAAAATTTTAATTTTTTTTAGATGTTAAATTAAGTATGCAGACTTGTTAAGCTAATAAAAAATAACATTACGCCGCTTTCCGAATTAAAATTAATGCATTATTGAGGGAGTTATGATTTTTTAGGTTTTTACTTCTCGAAAGAAAAATTATCATTTTAAAATATAAGCTAAAATCAATTTAAAGAATAAAAAAATTAAAAAATAATAAAGTTTATCAAAGTGCAGCGCCTCTATCGATAATTGTGATGAATTTTTCTTTCTGAAATATCCAAAATAATTTGTTTAGCCTAAGGTTTCATATATATATATTAATATTTTAGTCACCTTAGGCAACTACCTTACTTTACTTATTTATTTTAAACTTCAACTTTTATTTATCCAATAACTAATCACAATAAATGTTCCTATATAATTAAGGCACTCAATCCAGCTACTGATTGCTGTCAACACTGACAAAGGGCCCTACTCCCCTCATTTAGTAAGCCTCTCTGATCAGTGATCACCGGATTTAATTTTTGTTAAGCTAATCGCCGCTTGTGTAGGCGATCGAAGGGAATCTCTCTGTTTGAGAGTAATTAGCAAATTCGCAGGTAAGCTCAGAAAATGATACATAGGTGACTGCAATCGGTAAACAGCGGTCGAAGCCATCGAACTGTGATCATCGCAATGTTTTCCAGCTGCCAATTAACCGAATAGACAAAGTGCTGAAAGTTCAAGATGCCGAAAGGGGGAAATACAATATACCATATATAATTAAAGGTTTTGATTTAACAAAAGTGTGGGGGAATATATGTATGCTTTAAAGGTGTTATTAACAATGTAATCAGTAAATAACGGCTATGTTATCATCCTATTATTAATATTTACTAGTTTTTTTTATAAAGAAATACAATTTAATATAAAAACTAAGCAGTTTCTGTTAAATGAGTTCAATGTATCTAGCTTGCACTGCTTTCTTTTCTAACCTTTGGCCACATTAATTTCCCCTTTTTCCCTGGCATACTTTCAGGCGCCCAAACCCAAAGAAAACCTTTGTTTATTTTCCATGTTTTATACTTTATGTTTCGTTCTTTTCGTTTCTTTTTTTACTAAAACACTCATTGTACATCGTAAACTTACACACTGTGGACTACCAAGGGGGAGTATCAGGGGGGCGTGACTGGTCGATCATCTCTCTGGGTAATTATACAAATAGTAGTTAAGGCCAAAGGAGGGCGGGCTTTTGTTTCCAGACACTTAAATAGCTTACAATTTACACACTAATAACATTAGCACACATTAGCACACTTACACACATACATACACAGGGGCGCAGGCACACGCACAGACACGACACACAAAAAAAAAAATATATATTGGGTACCATTTCCGTTTCCGGTTGTCCCAGTCAGCAGCCACTGCGCAAATTCTTGCTAGACATGTCATTGTACTCGATCCACTTGCCCAGCTCCGGCGGCAGCGATGGCTTCAGCTTGGCACAGTGCGCCGACGCAGCTGCTCCAACCGTCGCCGCCGTAGGCGTGCCATGTCCATTCTCCGCCAGCGAAGTGTCCAACGCTGGATTGCTGATGCCACCCTGATCCCTGGTGCCCGAAGTCAGCGGCACCACTGGCGTTGTAGCCGTGGCCCGGAATCCATTGGAGGAAGTGCGTGGCAGTAGCTCCGCCATCACCGCCTCCATGGACACATCGATCACACGCTGCCGGCAAATGGCAATGCAGTGCACAAATCTATCCGAGGGACGCACAAACCGATGCTCCATGAACAGCGACTGGTCGTCCCAGTAGATGATCTGAAAATTACAGATTGGAAACATATAAATATATATTTTTATGTGGCTATAGAAACTACTAACCCGCGACACAATCTTGAACCTATGAAAGGGTCGAATGAAGCGTCGGTAGCGTATGGTGGCCGCCCCCTGGAACACAGAGCCGCCCATTCCTGTGATGGTGCGATACAGGTTGGTCCGCTCATAAAAGTCCACCCGGGCAAAGTCCATCTCACGAAAGTACCGGGCATTGTTCATGTGATACAGCAACGTGTCCACGTCGTTGGTGAGGCACAGTCCTGGTTAGCAGCCGGGTGAGGATTCAAGAGAGGAGTTTATTTTATAAATTTTTTGCTTATTTACAATTCAATTTGTTTTACTTTTTAACTAAAAAATAAAACAAATATCAGTTTAAGGAAGTTTTAAGCAGATTCTAAAAAAGATTTGAGATGAAATTTGAATCCTTAAATAATTCCAAGTCTTTAGTTGATATTCAAAGCCAAAGTATCCTTCCTAAAGGACTCTCTTCCATAGCTTAATACCCACCATTGACTGTGGTGGCATCCAGGATGTGACATCGCCGCTTGATGAAACGCGCCAGCACCACGCAGAGGCACATGCGCAGGAAGTAGTGCAGCTCCAGCAGGCCATAGAGCACAACGATGGCCAGGAGGAGGCCAAGAGCCAGGTACAACAGCTCCTCCATGCTGCTGGCTAAGGCTAGAGGTGGTGGTGGGAGGCGGGCAAAGGGCGGCGTCGGCGGTGGCGGTGGCGGTGGAAGCTTGGAGCAGGAGGCACTGCAATTGGAGAGATGGCAATCAAATTGCTAGTTGATTGCCAGCTAATTGGAAAAACGCGGAAGCGGGAAGCCAGGCAAGTGCCGGGCATGAGTCAGGGGTTGAGGTCGACCAGGGTTGTGGTCTCAAGGGTTAAGGCCTGGGTTCTGGTCCCGGCTAAGTCAAGATGCTGAGGAAAAATTGGGTCATCAGGAGCCAGGACCTTCCCTTTAAGGCTCTTAACCAAATTCTTAAATCCTTTTACTTGGATTTAAAATTTTTTTAAAATATTTTATTATATTTTATTGCCTTTTAAAATTACAAAACAAATAAAGAAAGCAATTCAAGGAAATGCTCCTTGTTTTGCTCACACACACACACACACATACACTATCACTGTTGGGCCCAGGACAACCCCTAATTTGTTGATTCCAATGGCTCGATTCATGGCCAGGACATTGGGACTTTGGGACACTCGGACATTTAGGCGTCAGGCGGCTTTTGCCACTCGCTTGAATTATATTTTCGACGGTTTTCCAATAACAGGAAAAACCACTGGCACGCGCACACACACACACGCACACTCAAGACATTATTAAATTACAAACACCAGAAAAAAATATATAACGTTACCCACGAAAGAAAATATATTAAAAAAAAAAGAAGAAATGAAAATGAAAATGAAAAAGAAAAACTATAAAAATGCAAGCGACGCGCCTACCGCAGCGACAACAGCGCACTGAGACTGAATCGCTTTTTTGGCCAAATCCAAATCCACTAGCCAGCCCAGCCGCCGACGTCTCCGTCTCCGTCTCCGTTGCCACCTTCGTGCGCAGCCTCTGCCGGCGCCTCTGCTTGCGCCTTTAGCCTCCACCCCGCCAGCGCCACCCACCGCCCCCCATCGACGCCGGCGCACTCAAGTCGAGTCCAAACGTGTGTGTGTGTGTGAGTGTGTGCTCTCAGCTGACGTCCTCGCAGCTTTTGGCCAAAAGCGGAAAGCTTCGCTGGCTAAGGGTTGAACCTGTTGCCGGACCCGGTGGGGCCATTCCCGGGACAGATTCCGCACTGTTCCGGAAAAACCATTGAGATACCTTTACACAGATTCCCTGTAAAATTTAAATATTTATTTAGATAACCTGCTATGTTTTACCTGTAAAATTTACATTTTGAAATCTACATTTTAAAATTAATATTTAGAGCAAGTCCCTGAGTTTTTAAATATTTTTATGTTGATTTTGGTTTTATTTTAATACTACTTCCTAATAAACTTGAAACCCCTAGTAATTCCAAAAAGGGTATTCCAAATTCGACCCCTAATTGCAGCTTTTATAATTGTTAATAACAGTTGTTGCTTGGTATGCTGGCAACTAATTAGTAAACATGTTTTTAAAATAGTAAATATTTCTAGCACAGAAATAATTAAGTTTTATGAACTTTAGTTAAGAAAAATTTTAAATTTATGCAAGATTTTCTAAAAAAAAAAACCTTTTTATACCTCGGAGGGTATTATAATTTCATTTAGAAGCTTGCAAAGCAGTGAAGGAGGCATTTCCGACCCTATAAATCATATATATTCTTGATCAGCTTCAACAGCCGAGTCGATTTAGCCAGGTCTGGCAGAAAAATATATTTTTCAAATTTTTTCAACATTTTATAAGGGGTTACATCATTAAAATTCTCAAAAATTGATAACATTTTTAATTTTTTTTAATGTTTCATTAAGTATGCAGATTTGTTAACCTAATAAAAACTAACATAAAACCACTTTCCGAATTAAAATTAATGCATTTTTGACAGAGTTGTAATATTTTTAAGAATTTGATTTGCTTCCTTTTATTTTAAATTTAAATTTATATTATTTTTAATTTTCTTTCTTAAAATATCCAAAAGTACACTTTGCTTGTAACAAAGTTTATCACTTAATAAACTGATTTTTGAACTTGCCAGCTTAAAAATGGAACGTCTCTGGCAAATAAGGCAAAGTTCTTGGGACTGTGTTCCTTGAGTCAGAGCTCTCCTCCGTCGCTGGTCTCCTCCAAATCCCAGCTCGAGATATTTCCGCTTACTCGGACCGAAAAAAGGCAAATAAACTTGGATCGGTTCGGGGCAGTTTGGAGTGTGTACGTGTACTCGGTGCCCAGCCAAGCGGATGCCAAGAATTCGCACCTATCGCATCTGTGGGCTTTGCAATTGGAAGCCATCGTGTCGTCGCGGGCAATATCCACCGGATCCGTCGGTATCATCACACACCCACATCTCCGGTATAACTAAGGTGGCCTTTGGACCGCTGGCAATGGGGAATATGTAAGCTGTTCCATGGATGCCAACAATACCAAGTGGTGGTGAGTGAGCTGGGAGTAACACAAATTAGCTGGCTGTAAACACTAGCAGGGCGCACACGCTGTTCAAATACGGGAAGTTTGCACCCATCGAACAAAAAATCGAAGAAAAATATTAAAAGCCATTGGGCTTCCTTCCCCCTCATTGATTTTTCCTTCCACATATTGATATATATATATTTTTTCGTGTTTTATTTTTAGCTTAAACAAATTGAAAAGTCCAAGCGAGTTAAGCTTTAAACTAGAATTGTTTTTGTTAGTTGTATTTGTTGTTGTTACATGGTTGGTGTTGTTGTGGTAGTTGTTGGGCTTTCGATTTAAGGTCGGTTTCTACACTCTCTGTTAAGTGCCGGTTAAGAGAATTTGGTTTCTTTCTGTTAAATATTTGTAAGCTTGATAAAAAAGAAGCGTTAGAGTTGTCGCTTAACAGCTTAATTCGTTGCTTAACAGCACTTTGTTATTTTTTATCGTTTGGATAAATTACAAAAATAACAGTTGGCTTTAACAGGTGATTATATTTTTCGATCACTTTGTTTTATATTTTATTGTTTGAATAAATTACAAAAAGAACAGTTAACTGATTAGTTTTACCAGAATTTGTATCTGTTGATTATATTTTTCGATCGGTTAATTTAACAGCGAGAGTAGAAACCGAACCCTAGACTTTATAATTAGTGATTAAAGCCTTGGGCACTATGTACACGGTGTCTGATTGATTGGGCCTCTTCCTCATCACTTTCTCTCTCTCTCTCTCCTCTCTCTAGCCATCTCTTTCTTTTTCACTGAGAGCTGCTTTGAGAATTGATCTTTAGGAACCCAAAATTTGTTCAATTGCCCTGCCTTTGCTCCCACCAATCGTTCCTATTTATAGTATATATCGGGGTTTTGTTTATAGGTATATAACACAAGTTAGCACAACGAACGTTTTTTCTAAACTCTCTTTTTTTTTGTTTTGTTTTTTGGGGGAGGCAAAGGAAGGTTTTGAATTGATGAACTTGTATAGTTGTATATATCAATTTTATATATGGGTGTATTATAACTTTATAATTATTTATTCTAAGACATCAGTATGTATATATGTACACTATGCGTTTGCCGTTTAGCTGGGGCCTGGCTTTCAATTTAAACTTAGGTTTAAGGATAGGTTAAAGTTAAGATTAGGGTTAACGTTAAGATTAATATGAATAACAACAAAAAACGGGTTAAGAAATCAAGATTAATTTAGTAGAAATCTTTTACAGCAGGGGAGACTTCCAGATATAGATAAGGGTATATATATATATATGTATGTATATAAAGCGTGAAACGCTCCCCCCCGGTCAGCACCTTCTTCTCTCTCTCTCTCCGAAGTTCGCTTGCTCTGGATTGGATGGTCCACATTGAATAATAAGGCATACAAAACACACAGATATCGACTCATCAGCGCTTCTCCTCTACACACACACACATTTTCCAATCGCTTACAAAACTAACCTTAGCTAGATCTTCCTTAAACTCCAGCCCCCATTGCAGCATCATCATCAATTTCAAACTAATCATTACAGGTGTATCCCAAACATTTCGACGAATCCTTCCATGGTCTTGCAGCGGAACAGCAGCAGCAGCAGCAGCTTCAGCTTCAGCTTCACTCACTCAACCGGCACAGCTCCTCAAAGTCACAATTCTCCACGCTGTCGGCATAAATGCGACGCAGCATGGCCAGCGGGCAGAGGTCCTGGTCCTGCGGACACTTGGGCAGGCGCACCACTCGCTCTTGGTGCAGAACCACAACCTGCGGCTCCATCTCCTCGCAGCTGCTCAGAAAAACAGAGAGAAATTATAACATGTCCATGTGGGTGGGAAGTTTGGTGTACTCACTCGTAGCGCAAAAAGGCCAAGTTGGTCGCGAAGGCATCAATCTGGCTGGTGCGCCAGCGACGTTCGCTGGCAAAGTGCTTGTGCGTCAGCGGCTCCTCATCCCTGGCCAGTCCGAGGTGTGCCAGCAGCTTTAGCAGCGTGCCCGAATGGGTGAAATAAAATGTGGCATTGGCCCTGCCTGGCAATTGCATTTCCTCGTTCTCCAACTTCACGGAACTGCTGCAATTTGTGATGGTTAAAAAGAGGGTTTAAAGGATCCTAACCAGATTCTGATTCGTTACTTTACTCACCCAATGGCCGCAAACATATCTGCCATTGCCGGACAGGCAATGCGATGGGTCAGTTCATAGCCATAGCCATCGTTCCAGTAGTACTCCAGATCCTCAAAGAACTCCAAAGCATCCAAAGCCGCCAAATCAAAGAAGCTGCACCACACTGAATCGGCATGGCGAGTGCCATCACGTTGCCGATGCCAGGCTGTTTCAAAGGCACAAACCGTATACATAAGCTGCACATCCTCCGGCTGGAGGTCAGGCAAGCCTGTGCTGCTGCGCAACTGCTCCACTGCTGACTGTATGGGCGGCTCCGCAAGGAAAAGGCGTGCATTAACCAAGGTTTCGGGATTCTTATCGACGTCAGTTTTCCACCTGTCACAGCGCTTATAGAACTGCAATGATGAAGAGGGGAAAGGAGAAAAGAGTTAGATGAATTTATAAATACAGAAAAAATCCTTAAAGTAAGTTCCCTAAATTTATTTCTTATATTTGTTATTATTTAACTTTGCTAATCTCTACCTGGCGTGGGACTGTAGATGGCCACCGTATTGTCCACAAAGCCCACCGCCAGCTGCACCTTGTACGCGTGGAATGACAGGCAGGTGGGATGGCCAATTTTCGGGCCAATGAAGCCCTCGTTCGTTCGCAGCACCTTCTGGACGCGTCCATCCATCGAGTAGATGCCAATCTTTGAGGCATTGCCGCAGGCCACCCTATCCGCTATCTGGTGACTGGCAATCGCCGTCACATCCCCGCCGGCATCCCATTCGTAGAGCACCCGATTCCCGGCACCCGCTCGCATATCCACCACACTAATGCGTCCCTCGGAGCAGCCACTGACCAGTATTGGGGTATTGGCGCGCAGGCAGGCGTGCAGAATGGGCGCACTATGACGCCGGTGCACGGAGATCGGGGAATATTGCAGGGAGCAGCGGCTATCAAAGAGCCGGACGCTGCCATCCTCGCAGCCGGCTAGGATAACGTCGCAGCGCATGTTGGGCAGGTAGGGTGCCAGCACCCGGGCACTGGTTTCGCTGCGTCCCAGCGGTATATCGCTGAGCTTTAGCTCCCTCTCCACGTCCCATATTCGAAGGAACCGACAGCCGCCGCCGGCCACCACCAGGTGTTGATTGCACTGCTGCCAGGCGGTGACGATGCTGCCGATTCCGGCTAAGCTCGAGGCATCTCCTGATGCTGCTCCTCCTCCTCCTCCAGCTACTGCTGCTCCTGCTCCTGCTGCACCCTTGCCAAGGCTCCCGCCCGAGGAAATGTTGCGTTGCCGATAACCCTGAACCGTGGGCAAACCCAAGGCTGTCCAGGCTGTAACCATACGCGCCTTGGCTGGCGGATCCTCGGGAGCAGAGTTGTTCGAGGGCGAGGACTGCCAGACACGCACCACACCGTCCTCGTGGGCCACCAGCTTGAGGGCCTGATCCTGGGCATTGATGAACTCGATGCTGCTCACGCGGGCAAAGTTGGTTAACGTCGAACCCGACTTGCGGGGTGTGCTGCCATTGAGCGAGGAGGAGGAACCGGATCCAGAGCCCGAGCCCGAGCTATTGATAGTGCTGGCGGCACCGCCCAGAGCCTCGGCGCCGTACGTACGCACCGAATTCCATTGGAAATCGTAGACCAAAACCTTCTCCCGGTAGGCCACCGCTATCTGCGGCTCATACGGCAGCAGCCTGACAATGGAGGGCGTGAACTGCGTCTTCCGGTTCCACACGCACACATCGTAGGCAAAGCGATCGCTCTGCTCCTGCTGCTGGCGACGCGCCATCCGCCGGACATAGTCGTTGCGCAGGTAGCGACTCCGTCTGCGTCGCAGCTCCGTGGAATTCCGATCGATGGGGAAACGCTGGCGTCCCTCCTCCGCCGCACCCTCGGCGCTGCTGTAGCGATCCTTGCCCGGCCGGGTGAAGTAGGAAATGGCCCAGGGTATGAACTCCGTTTGCACAATGGGCGTCAGACAGTGTCCGCCCGGCTCCAAGTACTGATTGCTTTCGCTGCCGCTGCTCCTGGCCGAATGGGTGCTCTCCCGGGGACCGCTGGGCAGGCCCATTCCCACGGCACCCGATCCTCGGGAGTAGCCAATTCCACTGTCAGTCTCATCGTTGATCGAGCTGGTGCGCAGCTTGCGCTGCAGGATCGCCTGGGGATCACCGCCGGCAGCTCCTCCGGCCACACCACCGCTGCCTGATAGTCGCAGCTTCTGGGCCCAGTGACTGGCTCCAGATGCAGTTGCTCCCACGGGCGGAGATTCACCGGCTGCTCCGCCAGCTCCTCCTCCTCCGCCTAGGTAGTTGCCCCTGGTATTTGGACTTGGGGGTAGGCTTACGCTTAGGCTGCTGCACTTTTCCGTGGCCGTGGCAATGGTGGCCTCCTTGGCCGCCATAATGGGGCAGAGGGCGGTGTCCCTGACATGGTCCACAATCTCCTGGGCAATGGCCGCCACCCGTGGAAAGGGATCCTGGGCGAGATTGCAGATGCCCAGCCACAGTTTGGTGAAGATCGACTGGAAGGGTATGGTGTTGGTGCCGCCAGCTGCTCCTGCTGCCGCTGATGAACTGCCACCCGAGCCGCTCTTGGAGCGCACCGAAGTGCCAGAGGAGTAGCCGCTGCTGGAAGTGCCCGAGGCACCGCCCATATTGGATATAGAGCTGGAACTGGCGCCCCTCCGCATGGTCACATGCCGCTCCAAACTGTGCGTGGATGAGGCCAAATCCCGGGGATCGCCGCACATCACAAACGAGGAGGCGGAGGAGGCATGGCCACGCATGTGCTCCGCCAGATAAACGGCCACAAATTGCGATTCAAAGAGCAGCACCATCCACTGGAGGGCAGCGGCCAGTTCCATGCGCACCAGCGGCGACATATCCTCGCCCACAGTCTCCAGCATGGTGATGGCAATGATACGATCAATGTTGTTGGCCTGCTCCTCGCTGCGATCCGTCACCGAGCTGATAAAGGTGCCCAGAGCAAAGACGGCGGCGGCTCTCACCTCCGGAATCGAGTCCCTTAGCAGGACATACAGCTTCTCGTGGGCCAAATCACGGGCTCCCGACCAGCGAGCCTTCTCAAAGTTCTGCCATAGCAGGCCCAAGCAGATGGCCAGCCACTGGCGCAGCAGCCAACTGCCATCGTTGAGCTGCTCTAAACAAATGGACAGCAAGGGACCCTGCAGGGCGCTCGTCTGGCCCAGCAGGAAATTGTGCACAATGGACGCCAGCACAAAGGCGGACAGGGTGCGGTGCTCCTTGGAGACGGTGATATCCTGCAGCACGGACAAGAAGTACTTGTATTCCTTGACCAAATCCACCTGGCAGCTGGGATCAACGGCCAGAATCTTGGCCCAAATGAACACCAAAACGGGTCGCAGCTCCCGCGTTGAACTTTGGAGCAGCTTGAGCACATAGGGAAAGATGCCCACTCCCAGGGCAAGATTAACAGCCCAGGGACCCAGATCCAGGAAGCGGGCCAGCAGCTCCAGTGCCCTTAGGCGATGAACCTGCGACAGCAGCACCTGCAGCACTATGGGCAGCTGCTCCGGCGGCGTTCGTGACTCCGATTCACTGTCCAGCCACACCTGGAAGGCGGTTAGCTGGTGCTCAAAGAAGGGCAACTGCCGGTAAGGAGCATTGTGATCAAGTATATCCGGTAGCTGTTGCAGGGCCAGATCCACCACTAGGTCCCAGGCCTTCCACATGGGATGACGGTAGCAAGGAGGCAGAGCGGGTAGCGACACTGGCGTACAGTCGTGGCTGCGCAGGATGCGTTCGGCGAGCAGAAAATTACGAAACAGACTGGCCACCAGCAAGTCCTGGCGGAACAAACGCTGGAACAGCTCGCGGGGCAAGGTATTCCAGGCTATCGTGTCCGTAATGGCGGTGAAAATCCAATTGAGCTCGCCCATCATGGTGCGGCGATCGTTGACCTTGCCTGTAAGAAGGGTAAATAAAGATTAGTTACAGATTCTCGAGGGGATTTGTGGGTTGAGCATCTTGCCTGGTATCTTGTCAATCAGCTCGCTCTGGATGCGCGGCACCATGCCCAGCTTCTCCTGCATGGCATACCACTTGAGGGCTATGTTAATGGGTGTGGTCAGGCAGCTGGTGAACAGATCCGCCGGCAGCTGGGCATTCATGGGCAGAATCTCATTGGCGGCACAGGCGGCCAAATGTATGCAGTTCTTATAGCTGACCAGCTGGTTGGGCAGCTGCACCTGGTTGGCGGCACCAGTAGCTCCCGGCGCCAGCTGCAGCTGCTGCACTCCTCCTCCGCCACGTTGCTGGGCGGCGGCCAAAGCCTTCTCCAGCTCGTGTTCATGCTGCTCCGCATATGGCTGGAAGGAGTTGATAATAATCCCAGCATTGGAGCAGTCGTACACATAAATCGAGGGCGCCGACATCCAGGTGATGAGCTCAAAGATGCTCAGCGGTATGTACTGGGTGAAGGTCTTGTTGAACACCCAAATCTCGCCATTGGCCGTGGGCTTGGGCACTCCATGGCCATTGTAGTGGAAGAGGATGCGCTCGCCCTTGGCATTGCGGCGCAGCGAGGTGCATAGCTTCTTCACATCCTCGACGGTGGGATCATGACACTTTTTGTAACGCGCCCGCGGCTGCCATCTCTCGTACTGCATCTGCAGGTTGTTACCAATCTGCTCCATGGCCTTGGGCGGCGACACCGAGCTGGGATCTATCCAGCATTCGAGACGCGAGCAAGGCTGGATTTTCACCACATCCGGCGGATCGACGCCAATGTTTAGGCAGAGCACCAGAGCCACACTGGCCGTTTTCATGCGCTCCCGGATGCGCCAAGGCTGTCGCTCGTACTGCATGGACTGGATCAGTTCCTTGTGCCGCTTGGCCGTGAGGGACAGCGGGCACTGGTCGTCGCGCAGCAGTTCACTACAAATAACCTGGGTTTTCCATAGAAAGTTCACCTCCTCGTCGCTTAGTGGTGTTTCCTGGCCACTGGGCGGTGACTCTTGGCCGCGGGCAATGGGCATGGCCATGGGACTGACAATGGACACCTCCTGGCTGCCAATAATGTCCACAGAGCTGCCGTTGCTGCTGCTGTTTGTGTTGCTGTGGCTATTGTTGTCGTCGGCGGAGGCGGCGGCGGCGGCTGCAGCAGCAGAGACGGAGGCAGAGGCCACCGCACTGAGCATGGCGTTGTAATGGGACTCCAGCATGTTCCCGCCGGTGGTGCTGCTGCTGGTGCCCTTTTCGTTTTCTGTTTGTTTGTATTTCTCCTCTTTTGCTTCTGGTTCCTGGTACGGGCCGTGCCGCACAGCTGCAGCTGCAATTGCACGTTGGAGTGGTCTGGCTTTCGCGCAATTAGCGAGTCGAGTCTGTGATTACGTCTGCGTCTCCGTTTTGGTTTTCCCGATTCTCCGCCAGGTGAAAGGTCCCTTCGAGGGGAATCTTGCACATAACCCCAAACACTTTTCGCACTTCTCCTCGCCTTTGCCTTCTCCTTCTCCCTCTCCGTTTAGCCGCCCCTCCGCTGCTTCGCACGTTTCACGACGACGACGACGTTTGCGGATCGCGGCGGCCCATTTCCCCGCACACACGGAATGGAAAACGAGATGCGTCAAGTGCACGGAAACACGCGGCCGCTGCGCCACTCAAGAAGTCTCGCGTTGGCCCAGAACAGAGGCGGACAAACCCGTGTTACGTTACGCGCTGTGTGGGCGCCGAGTGTGTGTTTGATGATGCGGTGTTTGTGGAGAGTTAAAAAAAAAATAATAATAACCACGGTGAAGGAAATACGCATTTACGCTGTAGTGTGCTCGCAGGTTTTCCGCTTCAAAAGCCAAACTCTTGAGCGAAAAGAGAGGATTTTTGCCTCCGCGGCGGCTGGTCACGCTAACTGGGGTTCCCCCAACGTAATCGAAAAAGGGCAAACTGATCGAAGACGTAATTAGGTGACGTTAAGTGATGAAGAATATCAAGAGGGTAAGTTATAGCCTATGTTTAGAGCCGATTTAAATATATTTTAGAATTTATACTAGAGCTTCTACAAGGCCTTTGGCCTTTCAAGAATGGGTGTAAACTTTGATGAAGAAAGGTGGAAAACTTTGCTTTGAACAAGAACGTAAGCAAACATCGTAAAACGATCTTTTTACGTAAGTAAAGTACTTAAAATCTATTGATTTAATAACTATTATTGAAAATAAACCACTTTTCCTTGAATTAAAATAAAATATATTATCAACTCACCCTTAAAACCGGATCCTTGTGCATTGGTGGCGGATATTGGACCGTATGTATCCGATGGCGCCCAAATAAACCCGTAGCAAAGCTTTGCGCACTCATTAAGGTTCTTTGCGTTGCCGTGTACTTGAAATAATACCACTCCGGATTGTATATATCCGGCAGGAGTGATGGGAAACGATTTTGCATTCGCTCCGCCAGCTCTGTAAGCTCATCCTCGCCCTCCGCCACCAGTAACTTTTCATCTTCCTTGGCATTTAAGTGTTCCCAGCTCCATTTACGCAGTTTTTTCAAATCCTCAGAAGAAAGATTCGGTTTGGTTTGCTCCAGTATGAGGTTCTTTATTTCCGCCAGGCGATTTTGAGCTTGAAGGATAACGGATTCGCTGGGATTTCGCGTTCCGTGACGGATAATGGACCAGATTCGGGTGGGGTGGCAACCTTGTGTGACGAATAGGGGGGAAAGGAAAATTTTTAAATCAGCTGTGGCAGCAAAACACAAACAGTTACAGTGGGCATCGGCTAAGACAGATGGTCACGTGGTTTGTTTTGTAAACAAATATTAAAGATTATTTTTTTCTAAACCAAACCAAATTTGAAACTTGCTTGGGTTTTTAAATAAATTACTAATTCATTTTTTTTTGCTTGTATCAGCTGACGTAACCAGCTTTCGTCTGTCTTAGCGTATGCCCACTGTACTTCTTCTAGGGGAAATACCCACCCGCGTACTGCGGCGGCGTCTCGTCGTAATTGGCAACCGACCGGTACGGCGTCTTCGTGGACAGTCGCCTCTCTATGTCCGCCCGGCTCAGGCGGATGCACTGCATCCCCTCGCCGCCGGCGCTCTGGAAGAGCAGCAGCAGCACCACCACGGGTAACACAAACAAAAACAGACAGTAAAATGGTTTTAGCATTTTTCCGGCACGCGGGAAAACTTGTCGGAGGTGGAAAGCGTAGTTTGGACGAAGAAAAACAAACAAAACAAAGTCAAAACATGGAAAATGGTAAATCTAGAAGCTGACACGCGACGTACACCGGGCTACTGCAGCGATGTGGCAACACTGCCGGCCACTAGAGTTTCCGTCCAGCACAAACAGTGTGACCGCTTCCAAGGCGCTCGTATTCAAATCGTTATTTCGAAATCGAAATTCAGAACCCAAACGAATAGGGTTTGGAATGTAAATGAGACTTGAAAACCATTTGGTTTTCTTTCCTTTAAAAGGAATATAAATATATGTAGCTTTGGGCAAAGGTATATATATATTTTTAGATTTTAGGTTCCCCGCTCTCTTAGCCACTCAACAAGTGTTCTCTTAACCGCCTTGAGCTTTCCCTGGCCAAAAGCTTTCCCTTTGCCGGCCCGCCAAGCCCAGCAGCGGCTGTAGTCGCACGGCGAACCCTCGACAGGAATCAAGCGGGCTCAATTTTTCTGTTACAAAACCAAAATACAAAACGCGCAATTCAAAAGTGTTCAATATTGTAAAGGATTCGGGCCAAAGGACACTATTCCTTGCTCTTCTGGCTTCCTGGCTTCGTTGTTTAGCCCAGTTCCGGCTCCTTGAGGCTCTGCGCACACCTTTGGTTGGCTGCCATATGGCATCATCCACATCCGCCAATGTCAACAGGAACAGGAGCACCTGGATGAAGAGGAAGCCAAAGCCAAGCCACGCACGTGCCGCAAAAAGTTTTGCGCCAAAACTAGAACTCCAGCCAGGTAACAGCCAGGTGGGGGGGGGAAGGAGTGAGTATGTTAGGTGGTTCGGTGTCGTTGTCCTGTTTTTTTATGGCCGAATACAGGTATTCGGGATTTCAGGAGGGTTGGCGATGACTTTGATTTGTGGTCACAAGGCACGCGATATGTTCGTATTGCACTGAAAGCAAAGCCAAAGGGGAAATAATTTGTCCCAGGGGAGCACAGGTTACAGATTTTAAGAAACATAATAGAAAAAGCTTAGATTTAGTGCAGAAAATTATAAGTTAAGTCAATTCTTAAATATTTTTGTAATGATTAATTTTTAAAACAATTTTTTTTCGAGTTTTTCAGAAATATAAAGACATTATAAAGTGCTGAAAATTGGAGCTTACATATTAATACTTATTTTCTTAATATAATAAATAATTTTTAAAGCAAATTCGATTCTATGAAGTACGTTTTAAGAGGTCTTAGAGTCAAGCCCCTGTATCCAAAGTTTTATATAATATTTAAACACCTTTTCGACTTAACTTTTCTACTAAAATGCCTTAAACTTTCTCTCAGTGCAGAATTGCCACCTGTTGTTGTGGTTTTGAGCTTTAAGCGCGTGTTTGGAATCTTTCAATCTATTTTTGGTGGGCAACGACGAATGCAGGCAAGCATAATAAAGGGCTAACGAAAATCGATCAAATTATGTTTTTTTTGTTTTTTATTTTTGGGGGTGGCAACGTCCATTAGGAAGGGGAAATCCCTCATATATACACTTTTATATATATATTCTGGATGGATGGGGGAGTTAGCTGCTGAACTGAATGATCGCCGAGGAGTTGTTCGACCGACAGACAGACAGACAGGCTGGCAGGAGGGAGGGCTGGGGAGACAGGTGTTCCATCAATCAGCCAAATCGAAAGGAGAACGCAATTTCGCCGATTACCACCCAAAAGTATTGAGTGGCCAAAACAAAGCAATAACACCACCATTGATTCCCTAGCGGCTTGCTCCGCAGAGGAAGCGCGCTCACCCTAATCTCCCAACTTATCGGACAGGGTAATTAATTTTTTTGTTTCGGCTCGGCCCCCGAACCCATTGACAATGACACGATGATCACGCACTGATAATGCCAAAGCCAATGACCAGTGACAGTGTGTGGGGGGTGGTGGGATTCCGCTTCAGATTCCAACCAGGCGGCGGTGTAAGGGTCTCCTCTGTGGGTTCCATGGGCAACACAGCGTCATGCTGGCTGGCTGTGGCCCCTGTTGTGTGCGGAACGTGCCAAATGGGCTTCCATTAGACCGTATAGGTAGTAACTGGTAAATGGTGTCTGGTATCTTGTAACTGGTAACTGGTGACGGGTAACGGGTAACGGTAACAGGAGAACCGCAACACCTGCTGCCAGGAGTGGGTGTGCTTTTTAGCTTGGGGTGCAACCTGTTTCTGGAGTTGATTGACTGGCAAGTTTGGTCCTGGAAAAGCTGTGTATATCGAAAGTCAGTAGTTATTATTATTTTAAACAATTAAAAGGCAATCATTTAAGGTATAAAATAATATTGATTATTTATCTTAATTAATTTTAATTTAATTTCTAGGAAAAATCTTAAACGAAAGTTCCTAAGTTGATTGTTTTGCTTTCTAAATTATATAAGTAATCATTTAATTTCTATGAAAAACCTTAAACAGAAGGTCTTAAATAGTTTGGTTTGCTGTCTAAAAGTAGGCAACAAAACTGAGTTCTTGAAAAGTGCTGCCTAGCACACTTTTTGGCATCAAGGATAGTAAAAAGGATCTTCAGACAATTTTAATATTAAATAAAATATATAAAAAAAAAAGATTAAGATTTTAATATTAAATCAAATAAATTAAAAAATATCCATTAAGCAATTTTAAATAAATAGTAATTAGATATCTCTAAAGAATTTTAATATAAAATTATCAAAGAAACCGCTTAAGAATTATGTTAAAATCAATATTTAAACTGTTGGAAAAAGTTTACTAGAAAATAAAACATTTACAAAAAATATTTAAAAAATATTGAAAAAATATAAAACAGTATAAAAAATATAAAGTATATATAAGAAATATTAAAAAAAAATGTATTAAAATGTATAAAAAATGTATAAAGAAAATTATTAAAAATGTATAAAAAATGTATACAAAATGTATATAAAATGTATATGTATATATGTAAATAATGTATAAATTTATACAAAGAAGTTTAGGAACTGAACACATTTTTAAATTGATTTTCAATATCCGCTTTCCCTAAACACTTTCATATTTAAGTTGTATCTGAACCTATAGCTCTTCGCTAGTCTTGAGTTTAATTTAAGGTTATCTCTTGCTGACAATCCAATCTCCTGGTCCATATTGATCCTCTCTTTTGGCCACAAGTTCCTGGCTGCTTTGCTTTTCGGCTCTTGGGACGTTCTGTAACCAACTTAGCATTAATTTAATATACACCTTATGGGTGTCACTTGCCATTGGCAATACTTTGTTCATATTGTTGTTGTTGCTGTTTGTTGCTGTTGTGGCGTCGACAGCGACGCTGGCAGCGACGGCAGCGGCAACAGCGACGGTGACAGCGGCAGCGACAGCAACTTGCTTAAAAGCTAAGGACACGCGCTCAGAACGTTCAGTTCGCAACGAGAAGTCGCCTCGCGCGGTTTTTGCGGCCAAGCAAAACATAAAACAAAAGAAGAAATAAATTAAATAAATTCGAGACGGAGTGAAGGAGAGCGAAAAATAACACAAAAAATCTAAGAAACACGCACACCCGCAAAACAACAAACAAAACACAAAAGACGCGGCGGTGAAAGTCATAAAGAACGTATATAAAAATAAAAACAAAAGCCAGAAGAAGCCACAGTGTAATAATAATAACAATAAAACCAGCCACACAACAAAAAGTAATGCACAAATGAGTTATGTTTGTAAAAACTACAAAATAAAACAAAGCAACAATGCACAGCCACAAAATTTTAGTTCACTGGGAAATAGTTTACTTAATTTAATTATTAGAAAATTATAACAACAAAGATCGTTTTTTAAAATAGATTTTAAGGAAATAAATTAAAGAGTTAAAAAATATAAATAAATAAAATAGAATAGAAAAAATTATACAAATTAAATGAAATGGTTTTTAATTGTATTTGTAAAATGCAGAAATTACATTTTGAAGTTTTAAAATTCTAGGAAATTTTAAAGTAAATTTATCAAGTTTTTTGGAGTTAAATAAATATTAAATTATTTAATTTAAGATTTAATATAACTAATTTAAATATGAAATTCTAATTTTTTAAATTAAATTCAACTGTTTCCTGAATTCTTTATTTAACTTTAAAATATTCTAAATATATTTGGAATAAATATAAATATTATAAAAAGTGCACTTAATCTAAAGAAATATAAAATATCAACTATTTCCCATAAACATTAATATTTTTTTTAAGTTTTTGTTTAGTTTTGCGGCTTTGGCAGTGATTATACAATGCGAATTTAACGACGGTCGCATTAATTTATTTTAGTTTGTGGCCGTTCGGTTCGAGTTTCCATTCCCCTCCACACTTTGTTTGTGTTATATATAATATTGTTTATATATATACACATATATATATATTTTCTTTATGCATATACCGATCGGTATCATCGGCGTTTCACATTTCACGTGGCTAATCAAAAGTAACGAGTTTAATAACCATTTTGCCGGCGTTCGGCCAGTGGGGAAGATTGAAATATTCATGAGCATCACGAGATTTGGATTCTTTTGGCTCTTGAATCAGATCAGATCAGATCAATGCGGGGGGCGTCTATATAGATATAACTGCGAAGATATAGAAGGGGACCCCCTCTGCCTCGAAGCCGGCGCGCAGCTGGGTTAACTAGTTTCGAGTTTTGCAAAATTTGCCGCGCATTAATCCGAGCTTTAAGTCACAGTGGTAATCGGTTGGAGAGTTCCAAACGAAAGTGTTGGATTTTGGGTCTTAGAAGTAATTTTTTTTGTGTGCAACACCTTTTTTTTCTATCTTTTTTTGCCTTTCCAGGGTATCAAAAAAGCTTGCCAGACAGTGAAGGAGTCATTTGTGACCCTATAAATCATAAATTCATATTCTTGATCAGCATCACAAGCGGAGTTTATCTAGCCATGTCTGTCATATTAAGCTGTCATTGAAGACTTCCGCCTTAGCCAGTGTTCACTGTGAGCCAATCATTTGGCTTTGCATCCCCTGCTGAGCCGGGTTGAGCTGCCGGCTGCGATTGCGCGAAACACGTTGGCCCTGATCGCACGTCATGGCAGCAACAGCAACAACAACAACACAGAAAATGACAACAACTTGGCCAGAACGAGGGAGCAGAGTAGAGCAGAACAGACCAAGAACGACGAGCAGTCAGTGCAAAGGAGATGATATCACAAGATCATTAGCTGTCAGAGTCGTAACTTCCGAAGCTCATCTCCGTGGAAACTCTGGGACACATGAATGGGGGCTCGTGGGGGATCTGGTTGTGTCCAGTGCTGACCAGTATCCATATCGGTATCGGTAACTAAGGGGTTTTTACGAAACACCGGCCATAAACCAACCATAATTGCAATAACCAACCCTGAGTTGACCCTCTCGGCTGTCCATCAAAGCCCCGCGTCAAGGCAGGCCAATTGTATATCATCTCTTATCAGTTATCGGTTATCTGTTATCAGTTATCTATTTATCGCTAGCTAAACTCTTTATTTTTTTGTCTTCCATATTCCCCCCAGTGCGATCGCCGCTGATGTCGCCAGCGTTGCCGGCGTTGTCGCTCTAACTGCGAACGGTCTGTGCTCCGCTCTACCTGTCCCGCGGGCTCACCTGGACAACAGCCCATAAATTAGTTGCCCGATAAAAAAAAAGCAGCAGCAACATGTCGCAGTCGCAGTCGCAGTCGCTTGAGGCCTCCGGCGGAGTAGCTGCTCTGGAGGAGAAGCCCCTAAACAATGGCTATCTGCAGGCGGAGGAGCTGAATGCCACGGTGGTGTCGCCGCTACTGGGACAGCAGCAGCAACAGCAGCAACAGCAGCAACAGCAGCAGCAGCAGCAACTCCAGCAACAGCAGCTCCAGCAGAATAAGCTGCCCACTGTGGTGTTTCTCTCGCCCGATGGCAGCGGTGGCGTTGGCCTGGGCAGTGCCCTCCAACGGAGCAGTACCAATCCTGGCAGTGGCGTTGTTGGAGGTCAATCCACGCGCAGCAGCAGCGATTGGTTACTCAAGGAGTCGCAGCAACGTCGTCGCCTACTGATCCTGGCCATTGCCTTTACCGTTTTGGGAGCAGCCATCGGAGCTTTGGCCATTTACTTTGCCAGCGTGCACCAGCGATGTCAGCTGTATCACCTGGAGCCAGGTGAGTGTCTGTCCAACTGCCAGGAAATGTATATCTTTTAAGACTCCATCATCATCATTTATTATGGTATTTATCTAGAGCTTATGGTTGCCACCAGGGGAATTATTGTTGGGAAAATCCATCCGTAAAGTCAGCATTGAAATTTCCAAAGTTATTAGTACATGACACACATGTCTATCTGGAGGGCTTTGACATTGATTAATTTTGTGTGTGTCGACGAGGAGGAGGAGGTGGAGGAGGTGGAGGAGGAGCTTTTAGCTTGTTGCCGACTGCTAAATGGGCCAGCAGCTAATCAAGCGGCATCCTGTGCTCCTGATTCCGTATTTTGCCCTGTTAAGTGAATTTAGCGCCTGTTCTGGCCATCCTCTCGGGTGACTCAAACAAATGGAGCAAAAACTCAATTTCCTTGGTGGAGGAGGAATGGGAGGAGCGAGAACAGGATAACAGAGCAACAGGCTAAAGGATGTCCCTTTTGGGTGGGGAATGGAAAGGGGGAAGGGGCTTGGGCTTGGGCTTGGGAATGCGGCTGATATGTCGGGGTGTTGTAATCTCCGCCCTGTTTGAAATTCAATTACAGAATATGCCAAACAACAAGCGGCAACAGCTCTCGCTCTCCTCCAGCAACAATGACAGCACCTCCTCGGCTTCCTTGATGCCGGTGCCTCCGATTCCTGGAGATTCCTGGATTCACTCTACACTCATCGATGCCAGGCAATGCCTTTTTTGTGGTCTTTCAGTGGTTACAGTGGGGCGATTTTTGGTTTTGAGGGGGGAAATGAAATCAGAAATTAATTGGGAAAAACTATAAGGTTGTTAGGGATTTTTCTATAATTTTTGTTTTTTTTTTACCACAAATTTTATGGAAAAAAATTAATCCTTGATTTTATCCCACACAAAAAATATTTAAAAATAATAACAAACTTATTTATAACGTCTTCAGTTTTCCCTATTCAATGACCACTGTCCACTCCCCTTCCCTTTGGCTTATCTCTTGGTATCCCAGCTCCAAGTCAGGGACATGTCCTGACTCCAGGACTCAATCGACTTCCCTGGGAACACATGGAATAATGCGATTCAAAGCAACTGAAATATTCAAGAGCTGCGAACCGAGTTGCTGCCTGCTTCTGTTGGGGAGCAATTTACATCTTCATGTGCTGCCTCGATTTCGGTTTTATTTTTATTTTTTTGCAAAAATAACAAGAAAACATGAAAATAATACCAACAAAAAGCAATCAATCGGCATTTGCCGGGGATGTCTATGAATTTTTTAAAGGCTGTTAGCATCGATCGTGCATCCTCCCAGCCTCTTTCTTGGACAATCTAATTGAATATGCACACACACAAACATACACACACACGCACAGCGACCATTATCCTGTTTATATTTTGCCGTTATAAAACGTGTTTTAAATGTTTTCATTCATCGTTTGCCAGGCGAGAAAGCCTTGGACGTGGTATGAATTCCACGAACCACCACCATCAAAGCCTATTTTTTATGCCAATTTAAAAATATATCTCCATAAATACCAAATGGTCATCATCATCGCTATCGCCATCATCATTGTCATTGTCTTCATTATCGAGCAGAGAACTTGTGGTAGGCCTGGCCTTGACTATGATTTTCCCATCGCACCACTTTTCCCATTTCCCAACTCTGTTTGGTCCATCGATTTTCCTTCAGGTTGTTTTAGTGGCTGTGAGCCTTAAAGGGAATTTATGAAAATATTTAGCTAAATAAATAAATATATAAATATATTTATGGGAAATATTAGTACTTTCCTTTTAATCTTTGCCTTTATCATGTACTTATTTGTACTTAAGAAAATCCATTTTTAAGGACTTTATTTAATAGCAAATCGATGGAGTTGAAAAGGCTCTAGGTCCTGCTGATTTCCCTTTAATACCCTGGCCTAATCAAATTCCCCTCTTGAAGCATGGCTTCTGGACATTCAACCCAATTGGTCAGGGGAATGTGGCCAGTGGCCAGTGGCCCAGTGCCCAGTGGCTTGTGGTCCTCCACTTAAACCTATTAACGCCCTGGTAAATGTTATTAGCTGGCCACTGGCCAGAGGAGTGCAAGGGAATCGCTTTAATTAATAACTAAAGCTGCCCTCTGAACATTCCATTTTTTATTGACAGCCTCGGCAAGGACAACGTGCAACATGTGTCTCTGCGAGAGGGAATCGTAAAAACACACAAAAAAATATTTATAATTCAAAGAAAAAGAAATAAAATAAAAAAATTAATATATACATTCAAAAATATATAATAAAGAATAATAACAATAAATAATAAAATAAAAAAAATAATAAATAAATATATTACTATTTTTTTTTTATATATAAACAAATTCTTTATATAGATAAAATGAAAAAAAAATAATAGTAGCCATAATAAATGTATCTCTAAATATATTTTAAATTAAAGGATATTCTCTTCTATTAATATTATAAAACAAATAATACAATAATTTAATAATATAAAACAAATAATACAAACAATTCAATAGAAAAATACTACATTTATATACTATATATTATATTTTTAAGGATACCGACTTCTATAATATTTTTTTAATATTTTATTTAATATTATTTAAAAATAACTCTGGCTTTTTGGTTTCTCCAAAAATTCTTTGCTGTGCATTTCCCTGCCAAGAGCTTAGTATTTCGTTATTTTAATTTAATAAAGGCCACGGAGCATGGGACTCCTGGCTTCTCTCCCTCTTTTAATGGAAAATTCAAATTCAATTTACTTGAGTGGCCCGCGAATCGCTTGTCGTCTTGGTGAGGTCTTCGACTTGGCCCCCCTCTCTCTCTCTCTCTCTCTCTCTCTCCACATTGCTCATACGCCCCGTGTGCCGCACTGAACAGTGAAAATCTGTTAACTCTAATTGCAGGCCATGATGACAGCAGACCCAATTCCAGGTGGAACCAGGCAGAGGGACAGGAGGGCAGCCGTGAGGGGCAGGACAACATTTGCATGACCCAGGAGTGCGTGAGAACAGGTAAGCTGGGCAGAGGTTTTTCCGGGGTGAAAAGTCTCCTTTGGGTTTCTAATTGAAATTAATGCAGGTGGTTGGTGGGGATTTGGAACTGTGTGTGGACTGGGAATTTGGGTTCGACAACTTAATGATACCAATAGGAATATAATAAGGGTAATTATTACGAAAGAAGTAGCTAAGATTGAAATTTTAGAGGGGATTTCAGGGGTTATAAGTTTAAGGGAAAATCTGGAAATTAAATTTAAACTTTAGCTTTAAAAGTAAGCATCCTTTTTTAGTAGAAAGAAAATACATTTAAGAAATATTTAATTATAAAAAGTAACCTTTGAAGACTTGTATATACATCACATTTAATTTTTATTTATTTTCATTTATTTTCACTTCATCCTTAAGCTTAAATATATCCTTAAATTCAGGCCAAAAACGGCATTATTTCCGTAGAAGGGTGTCAGGGCCTTGCACAACCATCTAATATGTGTGCGGTTTTATTTGTGTTGTAAATTATTTATCAGCTATTAAAGACAAGTTAAGTGCCGCGGCCATCGTTTAATGATGGGTACAGCGACATCTGCTCCCTGAAATGTCCCTGCCAAATGCACTTATGCCCAAGTCAGACACCTCAAAGTCAGTCCACCCCCAGAGGGGAAATTACTTTGGTGATTGATGGCTTGGCATACCGCTAGATACACCTGTCCAGGTGCAGGACATTCCGGGAATAAGCAAAAGCTACAATTACTGAACAAACGACGGACAGGCAGTAGTGATGCAATCAATTCCTTGGACTGCTCCACTTTGGCTAGCATACTTTTTGGGGCTGCATGAATATTAATAGAGGGATTTACGTCAATTGGTAACCCAGATTGGGTCTTAAGGAATACGCAATCGAAGTTTTGGATTATAGTATGGTTTTTAGTTGGTACAAAAAGTAAGGGAAGTCGGGTAAAGAGTTGGGTTAGATGTGGAATACGGATTTTAAATCGATATTTTAATAAATAAATTTTAGGGTAAGAAAACCTTAAACCTTAATAAAGAAAAAGCTTACAAATTACGTTTCCCTTCTTCTTTTTTAATGCTCAGACTTTTAATTTAATTTCAATTCGAAAATTCCAAGAATGCAATTTTCTTGCCCAAAAAACCTTTACCATAAATCAAAAGGCTTTTCCGGAAAATTCCCAAAAGAGTGCGAGCTGCTTTGTTTGGTTTCTGCTTAATGATTCCCAGAACAAGTCCTTGATTTATGGATTGTCAACGATGCAAGACCAGGTCGGCGGCTTGTTCCTCCTTCAAAACTTTTGTCTGGCGCAAAAGTTGGCGGTTAGCAAGTGCATTCGCTTATCGGAAAAGTTTTTCGGCCTATGATTTGTGGGCCAAAGTTATAGCAGGTGGTGGGTGGTGGTTGTTAAGTTATGACCACAAAAAAGGGTATTAAGCAGCTAATTGCGCATCAGCTGCACCGCTTTCCACGAGGCTAATATAACGAAAAAGATAAAAAAGATTAAAAAGATAACCCTAAACCATAAACACACACATTCACAGCGGCCTCCCTGCTCTCGGCCATGGACCTTGGGGCCGATCCCTGCGAGGACTTTTTCCAGTATGCCTGCGGCACTTGGAACAAGCTGCATCCCATACCCGAGGACCGCAGCTCCATTAGCACTTTTGAGGTGGGTTTAACCAGGAATAACCTGTTGATCACTTACCTTTTTAACTTCCTCCTGCTCCCCCCAGGTCCTGTCTGACCAGCAGCAGGTGATCCTGCGTGGCGTCCTCGAGGAGCCCCTCGATGAGCGCGACAACCAGGCCACCATCAAGGCCAAGACCTTCTTCAAGAGCTGCATGGACATACGTGAGTTCTATATAAACACCCTACAAGCTACATATCCTTTTACTCCCTACCTCCTTTGACCTTAGCCCAGATCCGTAAGATCGGCATTGGGCGGCTGAAGGAGGTGCTGCGCTCTCTGGGCGGCTGGCCAGTCATCGAACGCGACTGGCGTCCTCCAGAGGATCTCTCCGTGGAGCGTCTGATGGGCCAGCTAAGGCTGAAATACAGTGAGCCGGTCATGATCGAGCTGTATGTGGGTGCCGACGACAAGAACAGCTCAGTCAACATCCTCCAGATGGACCAACTGCAGTATGCCCTGCCCTCTAGGGATTACTACCTGAAGGAGAGCAGTGCCAATGACCGGCGGGCCTATCATCGCTACATGACGCAGGTGTCCCTGTTGCTGGGTGCAGATCCAGCCTCGGCCGCTGCCGAGCTAGAGCAGGTGGTCCTCTTCGAAACGCAGCTGGTGAATGTCTCCCTGGCGGAGGCAGATCGTCATGACACCAGCGCCGTTTATCGTAAGACCACACTGCCGGAGCTGCAGCAACTGGTGCCGGAGGTTCAGTGGACGGAGTACCTGCAGTCGGCCTTGGGCAAGAATATTGCCCTGCAGCCGGACGAACCGCTGGTCACCTATGGCCTGACCTATCTCACCGAAATGGGCAAGATCCTGGCCCGCACCGAGCGGCGGGTGGTGCACAACTACATGCTGTGGCGTCTGGTCATGTCGCTGACCACCCACATGATCGATGAGTACCAGCGGGAGCGGGTGGAGTTCCGCAAGATACTGCTGGGTATCCAATCGGAGCGAACGCGCTGGTCTCAGTGCGTGGAGTGGACCAACAAGAAGCTGGGCGTGGCCGTTGGAGCCCTCTTCATACGGGATAACTTCAACCAGGAGAGCAAGGCGGTGGCTCTTGAGATGATTCATACGATAAGGGCGGCCTTCAACGAGCTGTTGGCCGAGAATCACTGGATGGATGATGAGACGCGGGCGGTGGCCAAAGAGAAGGCGGATTCGATGAACGAGCGGATAGGTTATCCCGAGCTGCTGACCAATGCCACCGAGCTAGAGCAGGAGTATGTGAATGTGAGTAGCGAAAGGTTTCTTTAGGGTTAACTTTGAGCTTTATTTAATCCTTGGGCTTGCCTTTAGCTGACCATTGTCCCGGACAACTTCATAGACAACGTGCTGAGCATCCTGCAGTGGGAGTCCGAGAAGGTGCTCAATCTCCTCCGGCAGCCGGTGGACAAGGAGAAGTGGACCACCGAGCCGGCGGTGGTGAATGCCTTCTACAATCCCAACAAGAACGATATAGGTGGGTCTTTAGAGTCCCTTTTAAAATTATAAAATTATGTATAATCTTTCATCTTGAACAGTATTTCCCGCTGGCATCCTGCAGCCCTTGTTCTATAGCCAACACTTTCCCAAATCCCTGAACTATGGCGGCATTGGTGTGGTCATTGGCCACGAGATCACCCATGGCTTTGATGACAAGGGCCGGCAGTTCGACAAGGAGGGCAACATGATGCAATGGTGGAACAATGCCACCATTGAGGCCTTCCGCGAGCGGACGCAGTGCGTCATTGATCAGTACTCGCGCTACAAGATCAACGAGGTGGACATGTTCATGGACGGCCGGATGACGCAGGGCGAGAATATAGCGGATAATGGTGGTCTCAAGCAGGCCTTTAGGGTGAGCTAAAAATAGAATAATAGAAAATCTCTGGGATCTCTAGCTGGAACCTCCTTTTTTTTAGGCCTACAAAAAATGGGAAACTCTGCATGGGCGGGAGCCCCAGCTGCCTGGTCTGAACATGACCCACGATCAGCTCTTCTTTCTCAACTACGCCCAGATCTGGTGCGGTTCCATGCGCCCGGAGGATGCACTGACCAAAATCCGTTCGGCGGTCCACTCGCCGGGCTTTGTCCGTGTCCTGGGGCCGCTCTCGAATTCGTGGGATTTTTCCCATGCCTACAATTGCCCGTTGGGCAGCACCATGAATCCGGCGGATAAGTGCAGCGTGTGGTAGTCATTGGCCAGTAGTCAATAGTTGGCGTTTTTTTTTATATATTTATATCGCATACTATAACGGTATATAATTATATATACACGATAATACACGAGTAGAGATATGATCGATCACCTGAGATGGACAATGCGAGACGGCTCACTTGTTCCCAAATTTTTTTGTGTAGTTTCCTGTTTTCCCTCCTTATTATTATTATTTTGTTTTTGTGTTTGTTATAGCGCAGTAATGTTTACCCTTTAAATACCTGGCTATAAAGATCTATAGTGTAGCTATGTACGAGTATTTATGTGCTAGGCGAGAACGGTACTCTGGGCCCCGCACTAGCCACAACCCTCCTAGGCTCCTCCCCAAGCGAAGAACAAACAAAATATATTCGTGAATAAAGAAAAAAAATATGAGAAAATTAAAGGTATACTTTGTTATTTGAGTTTTTGGTACGTATACGTGATATTTCTAGGAAGTGGGTCTATATTACGTATACGTAATCTTTTTTTGGATCGATATTGGTTACGTGATTTTTAATCTTGTGGATTATCGGAAAAGCTTAGTTTTAAACGTAGATAATCTTTAACTTGAATTAAGTAACCAAATGCTGACCGCCTGGAAAAAGTAACGAGTAAAGAAATACTGGAAATCTGGAGAAATTATATAAACATTTTTCGAGTAGCATCTTGAATTAAAATCATGAAAGAATGACCGTTTAAGGAGTAACCACCTCCTGAAAAAAGTAACGAGTATAAATAAAAGCAGTTTAGAAAAGCAACCTTTCTGAAAAGTAACGAGTAAAATAAGCATTTCTCCAACACTCTTTTTTTCTTTTCAAATTCTCTTTAATTTATAATGTTTTTGTTTTTGTTTTTGTTTTTCGCTGCTTTACATAGTATGTGTTCTCAGTATATATACGTATCTAGTGGAACCAATTGAACCATTCAAATCATACGCAAAGGGCACGCAACGAAATGATTACAACTTGGCTATGGCTAATTTCTTGCAGATCTTCTGTGTTATTTATTTTTAATTTTTGTTTTTTTTACAGCTGAGAGGGGGGATAGTGGTGCTCGATTCTAACTTCCGTTTGTTTTTTTGTGGGGAAACAAATTCATTCACATTTAATTGTATTCCTTTTGCTCTAACTTGGCAAGGAGAACTTATGTTTTATGGTTTCTGGGTTCTGTTGTTGTTCTGGTTGTTGTACCTGCATGGAGCTAAAAGCAAATTTGCTTAGTTTTGCATTTCGTTGGCCTTTAAATGGCATTTAATTTTAAATTTAACTCACTTTTTTGCTAATTTTTCGTATTCGATTTGTTTAGTTTTTGTTTTTTTTTGTTGTTGTTTCTTTAATGAACTTATGTTTTGTAGCAGTGTTTTACCTAATTATTAATCAACAAGAAGAAACGCTCCTTATGGGCTGCATTAAAACAAACACACACACAACTAAGATCAGGAAAGAATATAGTTTCGTTTCGGTTTACTTCAAGCGGCTACGTTTAAAAAATTACAAAAAAAAAACATTACATACACACACGTTCAAAACTACTAATGCGCATTACATTAAACCTAGTCATAAACTCCATGCTGTTTTAATATTATAATTTTTTTTTAGTTAGTTTTAGCTTAAGTAATTGTTTGGTTTCGTTTTCTTTACGTTTTTTAGTTTTTTTTTTAATAGTTTTCAGAACTGCCTAGCACTGCTTTCTCTTAGTTTACAACGCCATGCACTGCTTGGATTGCTTTCGGTTTACGTTACGCCTTGCCGTCGCACTGCTTGCGTGGTGTCTGTGGTGAGTTTGTGTGAGAGGGACAGAGACAGAGATAGGGAGAGATAGATAGTTATATCTAGAGAGAGACAGGGGACTGGAGCTAGGCGAGAGAGATAGAGAGAGGGCGATTTTGTTGTCGAATAAATTTGTATAAATTGTATATATATTTGTGTATATATATATATTCGTAGAGAAAGGCACAGATGAAATTATCATATAATTAAATTTGTTGTCTCCTTCGCTTTCGCCCGAATCCTTTTTTTATACCCTTGCAGGGTATTATAATTTCAGTCAGAAGTTTGCAACGCAGTGAAGGAGACCTTTCCGACCCTATAAAGTATATATATTCTTGATCAGCATCAACAGCCAAGTCGATCTAGCCATGTCCGTCTGTCCGTCTGTCCGTCTGTCCGTTTCTACGCAAACTAGTCCCTCAGTTTTAAAGCTATCTGAATGAAACTTTGCATATAGTCTTCTATATACTCTCACTGCTATATATGTCGGAACGGGCCGGATCGGACGACTATATCATATAGCTGCCATACAAATGTTCAATAAATTTTTAGAACAATAATTTTAACTTGGCTGTTTTTCAATATTATTCCATCATTTTTGAGATATAGCCTTTTTATATTATTCCAGAATTTTGGTAAAAATTTTATGAAAATCGGACCACTATATCTTATAGCTGCCATAGGAACGATCGGGAAATTAATCAAAAAAATTATAACTTCGTTGTTTTTCAACGTATTTTAATCTACTTTGACACATGAGCTTCTGGTATTATTTCAAAATTTTGGTAAAAATTTTATGACAATCGGACGACTATATCTTATAGCTGCCATAGGAACGATAGGGAAAGTAATAGAAAAAATTATAACTTCGTTGTTTTTCAATGTATTTTCATCTACTCTGAGATATGAGCTTTACTTATTATTATAGAATTTTGGTATACATTTTATGAAAGTCGGACAACTATATCATATAGCAGCCATAGAAGCGATCAGATGTAGAGAAAATGTAAAGCTGGGAATGTATAACTGTAACTGTCAAACTGCAAACATAATAAGTATAGGTAAAATGGTATGTAACTCAGTTTAGTGTCTGTTTTCGGCATTATAATTTATGACATAAATATGAAAACCAATCTGCAAGGGTATACAAACTTCGGCGTGCCGAAGTTAGCTTTCTTTCTTGTTTTTTGCTAAGTTTGATTTTAAAGTTTATCTAAACTGGAGAGCTCCTATTCTTCTTCTTAACTTCACTTCCCTTTTGTCGTTTCCTTTTCGTTTCTTTTTGTTTTTGTTTTTCTTTCCTACAGTAACAGTAACAGTGTGTACAAAGAGTGTAAAATTGTTGTCCTTCCTTTCGGTTTCCATTTCCAGGGGTTTCCTTTGAAAAATTAGCTTAGATCATGTTTTTTAAAAAATTGACAGTGTTAAGTTAGTGTTAATCGCGATCTAGATCAGTGGGAAGGTATGTAGGGATGCCGACCACTGATCTAGATCATCATCTATCCTTGTCTTGTTCTACTCGTATTATATTTTTTTTTTACGCTGCAATCAAGTGCCTAGAAATACTCTCTATTGTAATTCGTTGATAGTTCCATATATACACTTTATATAGTCATTAAATATTAATCTTTAAGTTTCTACTACTTCTCTGGGTTTTGTTTTATAAATGCTACCTTTTTAAGTTCTTCCTTTTCTTGTAGTTCAAATGTCTGAGAATTATTTGGGTTGTTTTTATATTAAAAAAAAAAAAAAAAAACACAAAAGTCCTTGAACTTTTAACCTTAATGCATTGGCCTTGGCACTGTGTGTGGGGGTCCTAGAGTCTGGAGTTTTTTGGAAGCCTTTGGTGAGAGGGAGAGAGATATAGGCAGAGATAGAAAGGGAGAGAGGTGAGCAAAGATTGTCGACCAGATCGTAATAGTAAGGGTGTTCCATTGTTCTAGTGTGTGTGTTTAAGTACCTAAGTAAATTCGTTTGCACAAGGTCCATGTTCTGCCCCTTTTAACCGGATTTCCTGCCAAGAACGCCATTTTGTTTTTCTCGTTTGTTTTAGGTTAGGTTTAGGTACAATCTTAAGAGCTACAGTTTTTTCTATTGCTTATCAATTCTGGTTTCTGTTTTATGCTTTCTGCTTTCAACTGCTTTCAACTGCTTTCGGTTTCTGCCTCTGTTTTTAGGGGTTTTCCTGGGGCTACGCTACATAAAATACACTCAAATACATATGCATACATACAGGCTTCCTATATATACAGATCGTGTTTCCGGTGTATCGTATATAAACGGTTTCAACTTTAAGAGCTAATCACAGAGTTGATGATTCTTTGTTCACAAATTTCCATCATGTTTTTATCTTTTTTGTATGTGTGTATGCAGTATCGCTATAAGTATCATATATATATGTGTATATATGTATGTATATTTAACTGTATATATGTAAATCGCATATAACACTTGTATATAATCGTCATCGGGCATCGTTATCGTTTTTGTTTGTTTATTTTTTTTGGTAATCTCGGCTGCTACTTGAAACGGAAAACACTCTAATCAACGTGAAACGTAGCTACGCTGCTCCTTTTCCTCGTATAGTTTTTTGTTCTTATAAGTTCTGGTTTGTTAAAGTTATGAAAACCGTAGGATTGCACTAAAAACAGTTGACAATTTAGCTTACTTGCTTTGCTTTTACGTTTACTATTTTATTTTTACTTTTACTTTTACTTTTACTTTTACTTTTACTTTTACGTTTACATTTACGTTTACTTTAACGTTTACTTTAACCTTAACTTTTTGCTTTTTCTTATGTTTTCTTTTACTTTTACAACTCTTTCTTTTTATTTTATTTTATATTTTTTTTTGGCTAAGAATAGTTTTTACCAATTATCGCTTTTACTTTTACGTTTACTTTAATGTTTACTTTTCGTTTTTCTTACGTTTTCTTTTACTTTTACTTTCTCTTTTACTTTTACAACTCTTTCATTTATATTTTTTTGGCTAAGAATACTTTTTACCATTTATCGTTTACCGTTTTAAGTTGTATTTGCTATCGATTAAACATTACATTTGTTTTTACTTCTTTGCATGCTCTGCGATCGTTATCGCTTATCGTTTATCATCTATTGCCTATCGTTTTAGTGGTAAATTTCCTCCTCCTGAAAGCCTCCTAAAGTATTCTCCTAATGTGTGTGTGTGTGTGTGTGTGTGTTGGGAGGTGGAATCCAGGACTAAGGTGACCTTCGTCCCGGATTACATACGTTACATACATATTTATAGGTTGCAAGGATATATATATCTAGGATCTAGTCCATGGAGGACTGCGGCGACTTGACCAACAGCAGCTCCTTGTAGTCACTGTCCCTGTCCTCCGCCTCGTTGTCCTGCTGCTCCCGCTGGTCCATGCGCCGCCGCTCGCTGATGATCCGCAAAATGTCCGCCGAGTCCGACTTGCTCAGGCCGGACACATCCGCCGGCGGCTTGGCATCGTTGCCCATGTCCAACGAAGTGGCAGCAGCCACCGAACCGGAACCGGAAACGGACACAGAAACGGATCCCGAACCTGCAGATCCTGCCTGAGCTGGCAGCAGCAGCGAGCTCTCGTCCATGTCGGCGTCCTCGTCGAGGGCCTGCTGCTTGAAGAGCTGCTTGGTGCTGCCGCTGCGGCTGCGCGGCGGCATGGACCGGGGCACGGACAGGAGCAGGCTGCTCCTCATGCAGCCCTGATCGACGGACTGCGACCAGCCAAAGGGTCGTCGTGGGGCCAGGGGCATAGCCATGGGCATGGGCATTGGCATGGGCATCGGCGATGGTAGCGACAGCTCCATGGGCATTGTTATGGCCATCGGTGGAGGCGTGGGCTGGGTCGGTGGCAGTGGCAGCGGCAGCGGTGTGACCGGCGTGGCCACCAGCGAGCTAACCACAGCCAGGGTTTCGCTCTCCGAGGTGTTGTCCATATGGCCCACATCCGCGCTGCGCACGCTCCGGATGTCATAGGGCACCGCCGACGACTGCACACCGCCCTCCGACGACTCGAGGCTCTCGAAGATGGTGCCGCGCCTATAGTCGAGGGCGTCTCCGCCCCAGGGCAGCGAGTCGCAGCTGGTGCGCTTGGCCTCCAGGTTGCGTCGTCGGATGGCCTGCTCGTCCAGCGAGCGCTCCTTGGACAGCACGCCGCGCTTACGGAAGCCGGCGGCCGCGGAGGCGCGACGCCCGCGGCGGCGATTATCCAGCGGCGGTAATGGGAGGCCGGCACTGCCACCAGCCGGCAGATCACCCGTTCCACCTCCCGTTGCCGTCGCTGAACCGCCGAAGGGCTCACCCAACCGGGCGCCGAGCGCCTGAGGCGTCAGCGTGCCGCCCATCTCGGCCAGACTCAGGCCGAGGACAGTCTGTGGCTGGTTGAAATATTGAACGGTTTGGCGACGGCCTCCAGCTCCAGCTCCCGCTCCCGCTCCCGTTCCCATTCCTGTGCCAGGAATAGTCGCTCCCGACGCTGCCTGGTTAAGATTCGTGGCCGCCGAGCTGGTCAAACTCGAGCTGGGATTTGCTGGAAACTTTTTATCCAGCGATGGGGTACTGTAGATAAAGTTCTTGGGCAGCGACTTGACCTTGGCAAGGGGACGCGGTGGAGCGGCCGCCTTTGATTGCGCCTCCGCCAGCTGCTGGCACAGCTTCTGCTCTTGGGCGAACTCCTGTTCGCGCACCAGCTCGCGCTCGAGCTCCACCTCCATATCGAGCTCATCTTCCATTTGCTTGTGGCTCTCCTCGAGGTGTTTCATCAGTACAGCCACGACGACGTTCACCAAAACGAATTGCGCCATTAGCACGAATATCACAAAGAATATGGGAGCAATAACCGAGCTGACGCAGCAATTGCGTACACAATCGGCCGCGTCATCGCAATTATCCCTCAGCGTGTCCTTCATGATGCCGTTCCAATTGTCGCCAGTCGCTACGCGAAACAATGTGAGGAAAGCCATGCCAAAGTTGGCGAAGTGCGCGTGCTCGCCCAGCCCCTGGCAGGGTATCTCATCGGAGCACTCGAGTCGCCCAAATAGCTCCACGCCCAAAGCAGCAAATATGAAGAATAGCAGGAAGAACAGCAGCCCCAGATTGCCCACCTGGGGCAATGCCTGCATCACGGTATCCAGCAGAGCCCTTATGCCCTTGGCCATCTTCAGCAGCTTGAGGACACGGGCAATGCGCATCACACGCATCACCCGAATGATGGTGGGGTTGATCGGTATAATCTTGGTCTCCAGCTCCTCGAGGACGATGCCCACAATGGAGAGCAGGACAATGCCCACGTCCAGCTGGTTCCAGCGATCCTTGAGGTACAGCTTCCAGCCGAGAGCCACCAGCTTCATGTTGGCCTCCAGTATGAACACCGCCGTGAAAAAGTAGTTGAAGATCTTCAGGGCGTACTTCAGGGGATTGGGCATCCGGTAGTATTCCATGGCCATGGTGACCACATTCAGCCCAATGACGGCGGCAATGGCCAGATCAAAGTACTTGGAGGTGACCACATTGTGGACAAACATCCGGGTGGGCGTGTAGTTGGTGTAGTAGGGAGGTTCATGCATCCGGCGGCGCTTCTTTTCCATTTGCAGCGCCCGCTTGGCCGCCCGCCGGATCTTCTCCTCCTTCTCCTGCTCCTCGCGACACCGATGGAAGTTCTCCACCACCACGCCCACGAACATGTTGAGCACGAAGAAGCCCACCAGCAGGATGAAGGCAATGAAGTACAGTAGCCGCCACTCGTTGTAGTTGACAATCGGTTGTTGGTCAACGCCAACGGCATCGAGTCCAGTGTACATGATGTTCACCCAGCCATCGCGGGAGCTCAAGACAAACAAGGACATCAAAGCCTTGCCCAGATCGTCAAAGTTGTACTTCCGGTTTGTCCAAACGTTGCCCGGTATCCGGCGGCACTCGTCCGCGTTGCGCACGCCCTTGATGTTCTCGCCCTCGCAGTAGTAGAAGGTGCCCTTGAACAGCTGCACGCCCAGGATGCCGAAGATGATGAAGAAGGTGCAGCAGATCAGGACGATGTTGCCGATGGGACGCAGGGACGATAAGAGCGTTTGCACGACTAGTTTCAGACCCGGGGCGCGGTTGATCACCCGCAGCGGCCGCAAGGATCGGAGTAGTCGAAACACCTGGTAAAGGACACGGCGAAGAGAAGGGGGGAAACGAGAGAAAAGGAGAAAGAAACGACAGTTTCCTTTGATTAATTGAGCTTGGATGTGGTTCGTGCATCGGCTGGCGGATTTCCGTTCGCACTGCTTGCGCGCACAGGACGCCGCCAGGCGGCGTCACCGGGCAACATGTAAGTAAGCATGAAAGCAAGTAGCAACGGTGAAAGGTGACTATTTCAATTATTGTTAAATTTAATAAATTATTTAATTCAAAATCAGTGTAGCAACCGGCTTCAAAATGGGCTCTAAAAAAAGAGGAATTAATTGTAAGTATTAAATGCAAATAGAAACTCAGCTTGGGAAATAAAGCATAAAACGAGGTAGTTTTATAAGGAAATAATTAAATAACTAATTAAGTGACGTAAGTAAATTAAATAATTAAATTAAATAATTAATTAAATATTGAAATTAATTAATGAAATTAAATAATGAAATTTAAATATGAAATGACAGATTAAATTAAATAATTATATTAAATAATTAAATATAATAATAAAATTAAAAAAAGAAATAAAATAATTAAATGAAATTATTCAATTAAATAATTAAATTAAAATATATATTTAAATAATTCAATAAAATTTTAAAATAAATTAATTTAAAAAAATTAAATTTAATACTTAATTAAAACAAATTAAATAAAATAATTTAAAATAAATTAAACTTTCATTTTCAAAGCCACAAGATTTATGGTCAACATTGCCTGAACAACAAAGCAAGTCAAGTGAACGGTAATACTGACAATTCAAAATGAATATTTATGAGTTAAAGCGGATGTATACTGGGTGTAATTTATAATTTATATTAACTATAGATGAGGATGTTTCTGGGTAAGACTTGGACTGGCACTGGCTTGGGCAGAGATATAGGGGTATGACACTAACTACTAATGAAGTCTTTGAATTTGAAAAAAAAAAAACTAGAAGACTGAAGAATTTGCATGGAAAGGGAGTAGAAATAACAATTTTAAATTATTTTTTAAGTCATATTTTTAAGGCTTCTTTACTTTGTTAAGCTTACAGTGTCATATCCCTACCAAAATTATTAGGATAAGGGTAAACTATTTACAATACAATTACGCAATGAAGGCGAGTCAACAAGATACTTAAATTTTGTTTTTTGGGGAATTTTATATATAAGTTTTCTTGGGGAAAAGGGTTTTCTACACACACATAATAAATGGTGAACGCAATTCGGATTTTTTGTTTTGTTTCTTTGCTGATTTAACGCTTATGACAGCGGAAATTTACCTGCGAGTTTCAGATCGATATACAATATTTATATATAGAAATAGAGAGAGAGACCCGATTTAGAGGTAGGAAACCAAAACGAAAGAGTTTTCGGAAAGTGTTTTCGTGTGTGAGTGTGTGTAAGTGAAAGAGATAGCACATATAAAGACAGAGAGGGCCAATCATTAAGATTAAGAAACCAGAAAGAGGCAGATAGATAGAGAGAAAGAGAAAGACAGCTCTAGGTGTTTTCAGTGAAAGCGAGACATAGACAGAGCGATAGCGATAGCTTTTCTGATCCGCGTGCACAGCCCAGCAGCCATATCAGGTTAGATTCTATATATAATGGGCGTGGTCGGATCTGGGCGTGGTTCTTGTAGCTTTTCTGGCTGATTTGATGGTCTGCGCGCTGGTGGCAATCGCTTGTTTCTGAAGATCAACTGCTTCGGCGGGATAGCTCTACCTGTCCCGGGGCCGTACTTACCCTTAAAATCCCAAATATCCTCGGACTCGATTCGCTAATCAGGGACATTAACAAATCAATTATGGAAATGGTAACCAAAGATCCGTCCATGATATTCCAGCCGGAGGTGAAGTAGGCATCGTGGCCATAAAACATGCCAGTGGCCACTACCTACGAGAATATATTTTAGATTAATCCGAAAAGGATATAAGGATATCAAAGGACCTTTACCTTGATAAACATTTCGACGGTAAAGACAACGGTGAACACGTAATTGGCTGTGGCCAGGAACAATCTTTCGGTGCTGGTTGGAGGGATGTTTGGTCTTTCCATTGCCAAGGTGATGCAGTTGAGCGCTATAAAGAGCAGGACCACATTGTCGAACCACTTCTGGTTGACGAACCACGTACAGATTTGCCGGAACCTAAGGGAAACAGTGGGAGTGACAGGTTGAGAGAGAGGTGGAAAAGGTTGAGCCAGAGAGAGATGCAAAAGGAAGTGAAGGAAAAACTAGCAGACAAAGTTCAAATTGAATTTTCCGCTCGGGGGGAAAACAATCTTCGATACTTTGAGAAATAATTTAATATCTCAAAGATACTTCAAAGAGAGAGCTGTATCTTTGATACCCTCAATGTCAACACTAGTCCCTTAGAGAATCTTCCAGGATTCACCCACCTATTGTCCTCGGGGAATATGTAGAGCGAGTAGTCCTCGCGCTCGGTGGTAAAGTGCTTGGGCGTGAGCTGCTCGATGAGCATCCTCAGCTTCGAGACTCGCTCGCCGCCATGTGGCACCATGGAAATGGAATGTGGCTGCATCGCCAGCTGCTGCTGCTGCTGCTGCAGATCCTTGGACAAGCGGTGGCCACCGGAATGCTGCTGCTGCTGTTGCTGCGGACTTGCCGAGGAGAAGGAGTCCTGCCGTTGCTGGAGCAGCTGCTGCTGGTGGAGCTGCTGCAGCTGCTGCAGCTCCTTCTCCTCGAGCCGCTTCTTGAGGTTGTAGTGACTGATGGAGTTCTTGCGCTTGTCCCGCGCCTCCATGTACTGCTGCAGCATGTTGTCCGGATCGTTGAGATTGCCATACGACTTGTTCCACTTGTCCAGGTCCATCTTGGAGTTCGTGTACGACAGCGACTTCCGGTTGGCCTCCAGATTGTGCAGGTTCAAGTGCGATGTCTTGCTGAACGCCAGCTCAATGGAGCTCATCCGGCGCTGTCCCGAACCGGGTCTCAGCTTGGGCGGCTGGTTTAGATTCTGGTACACCTGCGAGTTGAAGATGCAGGCCGAGGCTCGCCGGCTGCCCGCTCCATAGGCAGGTCCGCTGCCAATGCTCAGCGTGTTGGACAGCCGCCTGATGGAGTTTTGGGGACTCAGGCGATTGGTCTCCTTGGCGCTGCCATTGTTCAGATGATGATGATGGGGTTGGGGATGGGGATGGGGATGCTGCTGTTGCTCCTCGTCCTCCTCCTGCATCTGGGCCTGACCCTCCTCGAGGGCCGAGGACGTACTGGTCTGGGTTCTACGCTTCTTGGAGCTGCCTTTTCGGAAGCGCTGCTTGAAGCTGCCACTGCCACTGGCCAGCTGCTGTGGGGTGGCAGCTGGTGGCGGAGCCAGTGGTAAACGCTCGCTGGAGGAACTGCCACTGGTTGATGCCCCACTGGGACTTGGACCCACACTCACATCGTTGAGACTCTGCGCCTCCGCTGTGGACGAAATGGTGGGCACGTAGATGGGCGTGGCGGCCGCCGTTGAGCTGGAGCTCTTGGAGATGTCGTCTATGATCACGCTATGCATGCTGGCCGTGCTGCAGGCTCCACTGCCTCCGGCTCCGGTGCTCATACCCATGCCCATGCCCATGCCCAGCTGGCTGGCATTTAGGATATTCAGGGGCTTGTGGGCCAGCACCGGCGAGGGCGGGATGAGATCGATGGAGGGTATGCCCTCGTCCAGACTACGCTGGCCGCCGCTAAAGATGTTGGGAGGTCTCAGCAGCGAAGGAGACGGTGGCGGTTGGGGCTGTGTTTTGGGGAATACAGATTAGACAAAGGAAGGAGATCAGAGATTTGGTTACTCACCTCCATGTCCCCCCACTGGCGGAAACTCATGCCCGGCTCTAGGGTGGTGCTGGGCGAGTCCTGCGGCGTGGCCGCCGTGGTGGTTATGATGGGCGGATCCCTTACCAGCCGCATTTTGGAGAGACGCGATCCACCCGGCTCGCTGCGTCGCTCCTTGATGGAGTATGTCTGTGTGCAAGGACGACAGGTGGTGTGGGTGCTATCAGGTGTCAAGTGTTGATGTCTGGCTCTCTTACCTTTTTGAGGCCGCCACGTGGCTTTCCATGAGCACCATCCTCCAGCGGGCCCAGCTTGCCGCCCGCCTCTCGATCTCGATCGCGATCTCTGTCCCGCTCCCTTTCGCCGGCTGAGGCGGCCGGGGGCGTGGCAGACGAGGCGGGCAGCTCGTTGATCTGATAATCCTGGCTGGGCTGCAGCAGGCGCTGGCGGTGCACATTGCTCTTGGCCTCGATGATTAGCTCCGCGGAATCCTGCAGCTGGAGGGGCGGTACCAGAAGGATACACAACTCTGGCACACCACTGGCACCCACTCACACTCACACACACACACACACACACTCTAGGGCATGCAGCATGCAAACACACACACTTCGGGACACATTCACACTCGCTGGACACCTCGTCTGCCATGGCACTTACCTTGCGCACATCCTCCGCCGAGCGCCAGCGGTTGCGCACCTCGTAGTAACTGTCATTGGTGGTCGAGGAGTCGGCCTCGCTCCGGGACTCATCGTACATACCATCGCTGTAGTTCTCGGCCAGCGTCTCCTCGCGCAGTTTCTTAACCAACTCGCGCTGTTCGCGCTCGCGACGTTCATTTCGCTGAGGGAATCAAAATTTCAAAATTAGACTTTCTCGTCAACGCGACGTGGATCTTGGATCGTGGATCTTGGTCTTGGTCTGGGAGCGGTCTTGGGCGGGTCATGATGGGACGCTGCAGGTGGTCCCTTCATCGCTGGCTGCCTCAAGGCGAACTGGTCCGGCCTTTCGATAAATTGGTTTTTTTGGGGAGGATCGGTCACGCGACGCTTGCCAATGCTTCAATTTGTGGTATTGATTTTGTAAATTCAATTTAAATTAAAATTTTTTAAATTGTTTAATCTATCGAAACATGTTTTCTATAATTTTAAAACTCATTAAGCCTTTTACAAATAAACAAGGAAAAGGTTTTCGAATTTAAATGAATGCCTTTGTTTTGACTAAGTTATGGTTTTTAGACTTTGATTTGTCTAAAAAAATAGTTGCATTTAATAAAATATTAAATATAATATTAAATATTAAAAATATCGATTTTTAAAATGCAAATATTTTCAGGGTGAAGAAGTCATTTGCGACCCTATAAATCATATATATTCTTGATCAGCATCAACAGCCGACTCTATCTAGCTATGTCTGGCAAAAAAAAAAATTTATAAATTTTTTCAAAATTTTATAAGGGGTTACATCATTAAAATTCTAAAAAATTGAAAAAAAAAATTAATTTTTTAAATTGTCCAATTAAGTAAGCAGATTTGTTAAGCTAATAAAAACAAACTTAACACTGTTTACCATATTAAAATTATTGCATTTTTGGGAGAGTTATGATTTTTTTAGGTTTTGATTTTTCATCCATTTTTTTTTAAATTTTTTTAAGGGTTTAAATTTTGATTTAATTATCATATAAATATATTTATAAATATAGATTTAAAAAATGCTAATAATTCAGACCTTTTTTCCAAATTGCAATTAAAATCCTAATAAATTAATAATAAAAAATTGAGTAAAAATACCTGAAATAATATGTAGACATATCTCCTGTCTAAGTACTAATCCCCTATATTTTCAATATCAAAACCCTGAAGCATGGCAAGCGTATAAAATCAACGCAAATATATATAATTAATTTCAAAAGAAGAATCAAAGAAATTCTTCTGATATTTTCAATATAATTTTAAATCCGCGAAACTCTGGGGAAGACTGGTATGGGGGAAGTGGGCTTTTGGGGGACAAGGGGATTTGTTTGTTGGCAAAACTCTACCTCTGAACTGAATCCCTCAACCAAAATGGCCACCAATAAATTAAAGAGCACATAATTGCCGAATGTCATTAGGGCCACAAAGTACAATGCGGCCCAATGACTTGTCTTTTCCATTCCGTTGAACAGCACGACGTTCCAATCCTCTTGCGTTAGAATCTAAAAACATTTTGTTGTTGTTGTTGTTCGTTTTTTTTTTTTCGTTTTTTGTTGATGTTGTTGTTGATTTTTGGTTGTTGGAGTTTTGTTGGAGTTTTTGGAGTATCAGTTGTTGTTGTTGTTGTTGTTGAACGGTGGCGATTGCAGTGGCGGGCGGCAAACGTGGTGCAGATATAACATACATACGCATGGATATACATATGTCGTGAGACACGATATCGATAATGTATCGATACATATCGAAAGAAGCGAAAGAAAAAAAAGAACGAAATACGGAATAAACAAATTTTTTATAATTTTTGTCATTGTGGCGTTTTGTGGCAAGTAAAAGTAAAGAAACGTAAGGAAAGCAAAGGCAAGTAATTAGTTACGAAACACGAAATATGCCAAAAGACAGACAGAGACAGAGAGAGCAAGAGAGAGAGCAAGAGAGATAGATAGAGAGAGAGTAACGGCAAACGGTGTTATATTGCAGTGGTCAGTGCCACATACATATAGCTTCATAGGGTGGTTAGGGTGATCAGAGGAAACACTAGCTTTTCGATCACCTGCGGTTTTCACATCGAACGAAAGTCGGTTTAACTCAGGCGCATACGTGAAATAAGCAAAACTTAAGATATATCCTGAAAGGACACTGACACAGGTGAGAGAATGCTCAAGCCAAGCCGGGTAAATTCATTTTAATTAAGAAACACCTGGATATAGGTCGGCTTGAAGATATATGTATATAGAAGGTGAAAGACCAAGGCTGGACTTGGCCTTAACTATAGCCTCCGGCTGTGGGCTGCTCGAGCCTATTTCAAACAATAATTCGTGGTGTGGCGTACAAAACATAACTTAAAAAGCAAAAAGCAAAACTAAACCGAAAAATCCATAATCCAAACTAAAACATATATATGCTAGAAGCAAAGCCAAGAGCAAATAATTAACGAGAAGTGGCCAGGACTTCCGTTCTAAATCAAAGAGCAAAAAGGCGCACAAAAAAAAACTCTTGCATAGGAATTTGTAAAAAACTTGAATTTTTCATTGAGTTTTCTCTCTGTACACAAGGTGCGCCAATGGAGTTTTCTATTTCATTTTTAATTTATATATATATTTTTTATTTTGTTTTTGCTATACAGTATACGAATGCGGTTTATGGAAAAAGCAAATTAAATTGATTTCGTTTTTGTTTCTAATCTTTTGTGGCTGTACATTTGCATTGCGCATAAGCAACTTTAAATATAAATATATGTATAAGTAACGCTTTTTATATAGCTTGGTCAAACTGATTATTAGGACTAAGGTGGAGGAGGAAAATAGCAAGAGATATTGGGGTTATAAGCAGCAGCAGCGGCAGCAGCAAATTCAGAAATAAAGACTTTCGTTTCCTTTTCAACAAGCCAACGGAAGCAACAAACAAACAAACCAACGAACAAACGGAAAACTTAAATCAAATATATACATATTTTCAATGGGTGTGTGCATGTGTGTGGTCTCTGAACTGATTTGGAAAACTGATTCGAAAAGCCGAAAGCCATAAGCCAAAGGCAGAGGGGAGAGTCTGGTGAGAATATCCCAAAAAGCATGCAACAAAATGTGGAGCGTGTGATGAAAGAGACAGACTGAGTGAGAGATGGGGAGAGAGAGAGTTCGGGGGGCAAAGTAGCAGCAAATGTGGAAGAGCCTAGTTCTAAGGCTCCGTGGCAAGCCTTGATCTTATTTTAAAGGTACAGTTGCCGCAAAAACTGGCATTGCCTTTCGGCGATAAGTTTGGCAGTAAGCTATCGAACTTATCGGGGCTGTTATTGAACTATAATCTGGTTTTTGATTTAGCTAGATAGCTTTACAATGAAAATATTTATATAATTAACCTCTAGTTTATTATTTAATTTTTAAAATATTAAAAACATCTTTGATCTTACTAAATTAATCGATCATTTCGATAAATGATTTTCAAAGGCTTGTTTTGTGGTAAGGAACCTTCTGATTTGATTTACAAATTAATTATTTGAGTTAAAAGTAAATAAAGGTACAGCAAAATCGATCCTTATCGATTGTGTTGTATTCACATTATTTACAGAAAATCTGATTATGGAACAATGTTTTTCCCTCAGTGTTCACGAGATGTATGGTTTAAAGCGTGTGTTTGTTTAATTCTACAGCTACATTTGCTGGCATCAAAATCGAAATAAAATCGAAAATAAAGTCGAAACAAAGCTGATCAAGAGAGAACTCAAGGAATACAACCAACTTGATAACTGGATAATACTAAGATAAGGCTAGGATCAGGACAACGAAAGTGAAATCAAACAGAGAGGCCAAAGAGAAAGAGAGCAGAAACTAGGAACTGGGGAACTTTCGTGGATATACGTGAGAAATTGTTAAATACTTTGTCAAAATCGCAAGAATTTCAGACTGGGTTTTACAGGTAACTGTTGTAACTGTTGTTTAAAAGTACAGGTGGATACAGTGGGTATACGGGGGGTACAGTGGGGAGCCTGGAGGGATGGAGGGTTCTGGGTGGAACGGGTTCGGGTTCGGGTTCGGGTTCGGGTTCGGTAGTTTATTGCTGTTTAATTGTTCTTACTTGAAATACTGTGACTGTGGCCCATAATATGTTGTTGAAGTGTTTGCGATCGCACTCACATTGCGGATGACGGCTGATTATTTCGGGACACGTACACTCGCGTTCGAGTCCGGATTCGTCCAAAAATTTACAAAACTTACCGCCAAACAGATACATGCCGAGTATGCTGCAGGTTTATATATATGTTTTATATATACCGTATACATATGTATTTATTTATAGAGTCATAGATGTGTGTCTGTTATCATAGTTCATTAATGGCTATATAAACTGGTTCATAGATATATATATATATAGAGAGAGAGAGAGCTGGGTTCATATATATATATATAAAGTATATATTTTTATATATATATATTATGTATATAGTTGCGATTCTTAAATTTAAGGATATAAACGAGTGGGTTCAGCTAGAGGTCCCTGTACAGTTGCATCAAAGGGTGAGAGAGAACCGAGACTATAGTCTCGTCTTCTCTAGATATCGGATGATGCCTGGGAATCTTCTTCTCTACGCTGTCCTCGAAGGAGGTTCTGTTCTGTCTTTTTATATACAGAGTGGGGGGCAAGGGGCCTCATACTATATATATTTACAAAAAGTTTTTAGAGAAAAAGAGACCTTTTTTTAAATTTACAATTGGTGGCCTTGCTTTCTGGGAGAGAGTTCTGAACTCTCTCAAGGACTCTACCAAGGAGAATCTGTATGTGTGTTGGCATGTACGTATATGATGTGCGTGTGCCTGGGTCTCAGGGTCTTGGGGGGTCTTGGGTCAGGGGTCAGCTTAGTTTACATTGGGATTCGGTTGGTTGGTTATGCACGTGTTACATGTGTGTGTGTGTGGGCGTGTTTTGAGGAAGAGACAGAGACAGAGAGAGTTCTCTTTTCAGAGGTTTCGGGTGGTTTTCGGGCAGAGTTCTATACAACTTAGAGTCTAGAATAGCAAATATGGACTAGGGATAGATATACACTTAGACATAGGACATAGAGCAAAGAGTGTGAGACAAAAATCGAAGCGTAAGAAGAGCACATGATACAGACAGAGAGAAAGAGACAGACAGAGAGAGAGAGAGAGTAAAAGAGAGTGACAAACAGTGTGTTTTCGGAGGTGTATGCAGAGTGTTCGAGTCGAGGCAAATGTTGGATGCAAAAACAGAGTTCTATAGTTTAAAGAGTATATAACTAGACGTACAAAGATTTATATATTTATATGTACACAAGATGGATCATGCAAAGCGCAAAACAAACTCGAACGGAAATGCTTACCTGGTGCAATGTACATCACACAAATTCATACATTCATACATTCATGGAGCTTATGAGTGCTGGCTGCTGCAGCACTCACTCTACATACTCATATATATTATATTCACATTCTCAGACGAATACTCCGTTAACGAACGACATGCGGATGCGCGCTGCTTGCTAAGGAACTCGATAACAGATAACGATAACGGGAAGGGCAACCAACGGTAATGCCAACGAGATAAGGCTAACGCTACTAACACTAACATGGTTAGGCAACGGTAATTGCTAAACGGCCATCGTTAATCGGTAACCGATAATCGACAATCGTAACGGTCAACGCATGCATGCCAAATCAAGAGACTTAATTGAAATCGAAATGAATATCAAAGGATACCACACTCAATTAGGGACACACCACAAATTAGTGCGAGCGAGCGAGACGGCTGGCTAGCGGCGGTCTCGACGTCTGGCAATCGAAATGCATATCGATAAAAAATCATAAAATCAAAAGCGCACACAGACAGACGAGACAGTGAGAGGACGACAGTTATCGATTGAAGCGGAAAACAAACGGTTAATCGAATTGAAACGGAAGCGGAAATCAAAACGAAACGATAAATTAAGATGGAAGACGGAAGAAAGCAAAATGCTCAAACGTATCGTAACGTATTTCTTCTGGGGTTTTCATCGGGGTTTATCTTTTCTTTTCTCATTTTTTCTTCATGAACAGTTAATCGTAATCATATAAGTTGCAGATTATGGCGTAACATTAGGAGTAGTAGTAGTAGTAGTAGTAGTAGTATAGATATATATATATATATAGGTTTACATAAGGTATAAGGCTGATAGCAATGGGTCTACCTGGAACACTGTGACGAGCGCCCAGAGCAGGCTGTCGAAATTCTTACGATCGCAAATCATCTCTCCGTTAACTTTCTCGCAGAATTTACATCCGAACAGATTCATGCCGAGTATACTAAAGTGATGGTTTGGTTTTGTTGATTTATAATATGATATATATAGATTTTTTGTTGTTTGATTGTTTTTTTTTCGATTTTATTTTAATAAGATATATTCTTATATATTTTTGTGTTTTGTTTTTTGGGTTGTGTTAAGCATACAGTTTTTTTTTAAGTATTTATTTTATTTTTCGGTTTTCATTTTATTCGATTATTATAGGTTTGGTTTTAGTGGGTTTTTTTTTTAAATTGTGTGGAGTGTGACAAAGAGAGAAGAGAGAGAGAGAGAGACAAAATATAGAAAGAGAGAGAGATAGTTAAGAAAGAAAGAGACAGAGTGTGAGTGAATGAGAGGCAGAGAGAGGAGATAGAGAGAGAGGATAGAGCTAGTAAGTGTTCTTGTAAGCGAGGTGAGCGGCAAAAGGAAATAAAACACTCGGAGAAATGGTGATGGCGATCCCCTCCAGGATCAAGGCTCACCCAATGGACTGGCAACGGACGACGGAACAGAATGGAAACGAAACAAGGGTACAGTTCCTGTCACAAGGAGTAGCTTAAGCCTGCGATTAATGGGAAAAGACTTGGTGGTGGTCCTTGGCTTGTCTGTTGTTTGTACTTTGTTTTCATCTTTCAGGATTAGTATTTAGGTTTCTCTTGCGAGTTTATTTTGGGACATTTATTGAGTTGGTTTATCGGTTACGATGTCGGCTTCGATTGCGTGTTCAGCTCCATTTAACGTTCGATCGGTTCATTATTCGCTTGTTAATACATGTATGTATATTGTGTGTGTGATATGGAGTTATATATTTATATATATAGATAGAGTCTGGTGTGGCTGTTAGCTGTTTTTGCTATTCTAACTACACAAACTCGATTACGTTTACTTTACTTTACCAACTAGGCTAGCTAGCTAATGTGTGTGTCTGTGGGTGTTGTGGCTGTTGTACTGGTGGTTATTCATAGGTGGTGTGAGTATATCAATACGAGTAATCATATATATTTATAGGTATATATAGAGATAGAGAGAGAGAGAGTACGGGTATATAAGAGGTATATGTATCAAACTGCAGCGACTGCAACTACACAATAAGTAAGCGTACGTTCTTTTTTTTGCTTTAAGGATATTTTCTTAATATTTATTTTTCCAAATACTTTTTGTCTTTTGAGTGTCGCGTGAGTGTTTCTTTTTTGAGGTGAGTGTGTAAGAAGCTCTGAGCAGCAAAAGCCTTCAAGCCTCAAACCAAGCCGAGCTTTTATGTGTGGCAGTGTGTCTGTGTGGCAGTGTTTGTTAACGCTAAAAGAAGCTAGGATACACACTTAGTTAATTTGAAATGGAATAAAGCGTTTTTGGCTAACTAACTAAGCTAACTAATTGTTTCTGTGGCTGTTATTGCTGTAGTTGTGGCGGTGTTTTGTGTGGAACTTAACTTAACCAAATGATCATGATACAGAGAGAGAGAGAGAGTGAGAGAAGGAGACAGCGATAGAGATAGTGAGTGTTGGAAAAGCCAAGTAAAGAAGGAATTTCACAAAAACTGATCAGAAGCGACTCGGTCGTTGCTTGAAATTTGATATCAAATCGAGTGTTAGAAAGAGATTTATTTTGGAAAATAGAGAGGGAGAAATATAGCATAAGTCCACTCAATTTGTCCGTGTTTCTCAGTTTCAGCGAGTGTTTGTGTGTTCGAAAGAGTAATGCAAAGTGAACGAGCGAGGAGGTGTACGACAACTAGCGGCACTTTAAGGGTTAGAGAGAGACATAAAGAGGGGTTAACAGGATCGGGAGAGAGGGGAGATATTGTTAGAGAGAGATAGATAGAGAGATCAAGATCAAGTGATAAGGGTTCTTGCTGGTACGGATACGAGATCGATTGCTTAAAAAGTTACTCAAACAAGTAACGTCATCTAACTACGATTCTTCAATATTATCCAAACGTTACTCAGAGATAGTAAGTGAGAAAGAGATCAAGAGTTAGAGCTTAAGAAAAAGAGGTGTGTGAGAGAGAAATCGTTAGGAGATCGCTTACGGAGAGAGAGAGAGATAGAGAGACATTTAGGCAAATCTTTACTCATATAGGCAATACTCAAGTGGTACGCATGGGACAGTGGTAAGAAGTTGAAACGATCGTGTCGAAGGAGGTTGGGAAAATCCGGGGGAAATAGGGCTTCAAGAGATACGTGTCAGTGTGTGTATGATAATGGCATGAAAGGGGGTTATGAGGCGACTTTGGGGAAATTTCTGGTTGGGAATATCTTTTCAAGTTAAATCAAGAGATCACTAATAATTTATAATAATTAGGGAATCATTTATAATCTAGTCAAGTTGTAGGTCTACTGAGAGATAGACTGTGAAATCGTATTCCTTTTTGGGAACTCTCAAATTATCTAGAAGCAATTATTTACTGAGATTAATTACTTAAGTACTTTTTATAAGCCTTTTGGATAAACTTCTTTGGGAGATAATGGGGGTGGTAATGAATTGATGGCTGGCCAAGGTGGGTTGGTGGGTTGGCGGCGGGATCTGGGGTTTAGCTATGTGGGAAGCAGCTAGTGAGGCGCTAGGAACTGTTAGACATTAGACGACTGGCTATGGGCTAGCGAAACTGAACTGTTTCTGTTTCTGTGGCTCGGGTTTTTTTTGGGTTAGTCACTCTTTTTTTTTTTTTTTTTTTTTTTTTTTGATTGTTTTGTGCAGGGTCGCGTTCGATAACTGGTGGGCTATCGATTGTTGATTATATAGAATATTCTTTCTTTTCATCGATTCATTTTGTTATCTCCGCATTCTTCTTGTGTGTGTTTGCTGTTGTTGTGTGTGTACTTTTCTTATAATTTTTTCTTTTGTCTGTCTGTGGTGTGTTGTGTTGGTGTTGTTGTTGGTGTGGTGTCCTGGTGTTGGTGTAGGCTAATCAGCGCGGCAAACTTACCTGAATATAAAGATAAACAGGACGAGCAGGGAGAAGAACACAGCCACATTGTCCATGGTGCGCAGCATCACAAACAGCTGGCGCCGCAGGTTGGGCATAAAACGGACCAGCTTGAGGATGCGCAACAGCCGGAAGGTCCTTAGCACGGACAGACCAGAGCCACCGCCTCCAGTTCCATTGCCCACAAACTGCTGGCATATCTCAATGGCGCTGCAAAAGTCAATCGAAAGATTAAATAATAGAAATCTCCAGGAGGATCCCCCGAACACTCACCTAAGGATCACAATGATTCCATCAAAGACATTAAACCCATTGGCTATGTAACGGAACGGACCCTCGGCCACCACCTTGAGCAACATTTCCACGGCAAAGATGCCAGAAAAGACCACATTGCTCGTCTCCACGATGGCGGTTAGCTCCGGCGGCTGGTTATGATACTCAATGCCCATGGACAGGGTGTTGATCAGGATGGCCAGCAGGATGCCCTGCTGGAAGTATTTGTGCTCCACCAGCCGCCGGATGTAGCGTCTCACCCAGCTGCAGACCCGTGACAAGCAACGATACACGGCGATCAGGCAACGCGTTGTCGGCGACCTGTGACGCTGCCCGCGCTCGTCCAGCGGCGACAGAGCGTTCTGGTAGAGATCATAGCAGCAGGCATAGTCCTCCATGTAGTTCCCGGTGGGGGCATGGCTATCACGGCCACGGGACTGCCTTGCCCGACTGCCCCCGGCGTTCCGACTGTGGCTGGTGGTGTTGTTATTATTGTGATGGTGGTGGGAGCCATGCGACTGCTGCTGGTGCTGCTGGTGATGGTGCTCCTTGCGCCGGTGGTTACCGGTCTGACTTTCCCCAGGCACCACCACAGCCGACACGGTGGCGGGTTCCAGGGTCTGAGCGGGTTCGCTGGCTCCCGTGGTGGCCACCACTCCAGCTTCAGCAGGAGACTGGCCCTGGTTTTGGCCAGCCGTTAGAGGTCGTGGCTTGTGGTGTGCCTTTAATGCTTCCGCTGTGTGTGGGTCACAGCGGGCCAGGGATGTGTAGAAGGACTCAAGAGTGCTCTGGCCCGTGGGCAAGGCCGCCGAGAAGGCCACGGAGAAGGCCAATAGCTCCTGGCAAGTCATGGCATCGTGAATGCCCAACTCAGAGCAATCGGCATAGGGATTAGCGATGGTGCCAATGGTCTGGGGTAGATTCACCTGCAGGGAAAGGTATTAATGTAAGGGGAATCCCTGGTAGAATAACTCTAAGTTTACTCACCTGCCAGATGCTACCATCGCCGGCCTGAGTCATTTTCTCCGTGGAGAAGATGTTGTTGCTTTTATCTGCAGCTCCGCTGGCGCTTGTTGCGCCTCCGCTGGCTGCTCCCCCATTGGCTCCATTTTGGTTGCTGTGGCTGCCGCTTCCGGTGGCACTCGAAGCCGCCGCCGCTGCTGCCGCTGCAGCTGCCGCTGCAGCTGCCGCCGTTCCAGCCACAGTGGCCACTGTGGTAGCCGCTCCAGCGGAGGACCCACTGCCCACCGCTGTCACCGCCGGATCTGCATTGAGGGCAGGCGGCGTGTGCAGGAGCACATACTCGTTGAACATCACCGAAGGTCGGCGACTGGCCGAGGTGGGCGGACTGAGGAAGCCCGAGGTGCACGGATGGTTCTGATGATGGAACAGGTATTCAAAAGTGGACAAGGGTTATAGTTGCGGGAAGGAATCATTGATTATTTTACAGGGGATATGAAATGAAGGATAAAGCTCAAGGCTACGAAATACCAGCTCTGATTACTGGGGATAAAAAGAAGGTGTCTAAAGAGGCGCTTTGCTGTAAGGTAGCCTAAATTTCAACTTGGTGGGTCTTACTTTTAGGGCTACATTTGACCTTTAAAAAGGCAAAAAATTTCATAAATTTAAGGGATTTTTTTTAATGGATTTAATAAGAATATGAGTTACTTTTAAAACCTTAAAAAACTTTATATATGGTCGCTTGCCTTGATTTTATGCCTTAAATTCATGAAAACCTTATCTTTAAAACGTTCATAGTTTTAAAACTATTTTCCTTATTAATATACAAATATTTTGACGACTGTAATTCTTAGCATTTCTGAAACCTAATTCCCTGGAGATTTTAATCCTTTAATTCAGCATTTGTATTTATTTTTTGGGGGACTAAACTCTAACCCATGGTGGCTTTAATGGAAAACATATGCACATATCCTGTAAATAGTATACGGGTCGAGGTACTCCACTCTCAAACGGCATTTACATACGCAAACAAAACGAAATGATATAAATAATTAATGGGCATTTCGGCGGGGACAATGGGCTGGAACAAAGGACTATGGATTTATCAATGGGACAATCAATTCGCTATATGTACAACCTACATATATACATATATGTTTGTATATATCTTTATATAGACAACAGAAAAAAGCTATACCAACTGCACTTAATATGCAAACGTATCTACAATTTGTTACATGGAATTTAATGGGAATTTCAATTTGCTTGTTCGCCGGCTGAATGCCCTTTTGCCTGATTTGTTTTTTTTTTTTGCAGGACATTCAGACTTTGAAGCTAATTCATAAATTATGCTGGATGCTGGCATTTATACATAATATTTTACTGGGTTTTTTTTTGTGTGTTTAAATCGTTCAGTACCTTGCCTAAATTTCCCAACTGCAGCTATTTAGGTTTTATATAACAGATATACGAGAGATTATTATTTAAATTATTTAAAATATTATTTCATTAGAGAGAGAGAGAGAGAGAGAGTGAGAGAGCTGTCTGTTTTTTGGGGAATTTTGTAAGATTTATACAAGATATATTTGGGGTTTCTGTGGCTGTTTTTCTTTTCTTTATCTTTTTTTGGTTTCGAATCGCTTGGGTGTTCTGATTGATAAATCGATTGATTCACTTATGTACTCATGGATACTCACAATTAACTGATCCGAATCGATCATTTGCTGTGGGAACTTGAGCAAGATGGTCTTCTGCTCGGCAGCACTGCCCTCCGGCTTCAGCTGGTGGTGGGCCGAGGTGGAGGCCGAGCTGGATTTCTTCAGGGAGCTGCTCCGAGGTAGCGCTCCATCGGGGGCCAGCGATTGCTCTGTGTTGTCCGAGGAGGAATGCAACTGCTGCTGTTGCTGCTGCTGCTGCTGATGCTGCTGCAGATGCTGTTGGTGGTGGGCCGAGGACATGGTCACACTGGCTGCACTACCATTGATACCGTTAACCAGCGCCACTGTGGTACAGCTGGGCCCACTGTTGTTGTTGTTGCTGCCATTGTTGTTGTGGCCATTGTGATTGCTATTATTGTTGTTGTTATTGTTGTTGTTGTGGCTGCTGGCCGAATTTAGGGGCACCATAACGGTAATCATCTGATCCTGAATGCTGGACGGCTTGCGATTACTGTACTTGGGGCACTTGGGATGATGGCACTTGATCCGCGAAGGCGAAAAGGTCAAATTGTCGGCATTGGGTAGAAGGCCCTCCTTGCGCTGCTGTCGCTGGTACCTGATGGTGGATGGTGGGTGGTGGTTGGTCAGCAGCAGCAGGTGGGGTTTTTGGGGTAAGAGTAACAATTCGATTAGCGACACACATTTCACAGACAATTCGCGGGGGTTTCACACACATGTCTGTACACAAAACATCGTGTTCTTTGTGTGGGGTCAAGGGTTGGGTGGGGTCGGAAAATGGGGGGGCTTTGGCATTGCACGTGCACTCGTCTTCGTGTTCCATTGTACGTGCTCTCACATCAGTGTCGGTGTGCCATGTGTGTGCCTGTGTGTGCGTGTACTTAGCCATTAGACAGACAACAATCGCAATTACATATTTCAATCAAATGAACTAAGGACAACGACAGTACAAAAATGCAAATGATCCAAATTAACACGGAGTCCCAGCTGTGGATTCAGTGCCAAATGCTTCTTAGATGCTCTGTGCTAAGACTAGGTTTAGTTGCGGGTCAAGTTTTTTGCTCTGCAAGGTCAAGGTATAGGGTTGAGTTCAGTTCTTGCTGATTCTTAATTGAAGCTTCTTTAAAACATAAAGCAAAGGTCAACAAAGTCATTTTAGTCTGCCAACAAGTAAATGTCTTGTTTGGTAACAGATTTTAGAAGGTTTTTATGTATTTTTCAAGTATTTTTTATGTCTTTTCATGTCTTTTTTATGTCTTGAAGCACAGTCTTTAATTAAATTTGGATTAAAGTAAAGTCAGTAAGCTCAAGTTTCAGTCAAAGTTGTTTTAGAATAATGCTGATGTGTGATTTCCGAACTAATACTTCTTTCTAATTTCTAGCCATGAGTAATGCCTTACTTAAAGCCTTAAAAACTATGATTCTCCTAGCTCTGATCTAGCTCTAGCAAGTAAGAATACTTTCAGCTATACACATTCATGCCCTGGCCAATAATTTTGCTGTTACTTAAACTACTATAAAATGCTAAATAAGCTAATTGCCAGACTCTGGATTAGATGCAGGCATACAAAAAAAAATTCAGAAAATTAAAAAAAACATTTAAAAATTCAGGAATTAAAAAGCAAGAACTGAAAACTAGAACTTAATAAGAAGAGTTTCTAAAATAAATGTTAAAAAATATATAGAGCCAAGAAAATAAATTTGTAAATTTAAAAACTTAAAGAAAAACTAAGACGAAATTTAATTAAGGTAGAAAATAACAAACAGAGGTGGGAATTTAATACAAATTGAACTAAAGTTTGAGAATATAAAACATAGAAAATTAGGTTTCAGAGGAATAATAGTTTTCATTATTAGGAAAACATATATTTCGTTTCCTTCAACTTGGAATTTTACTTAAAAACTTTTTTTTTCTAAAGAAAAGTCCTTGTTCTCTGCTCGAATTTTTCCTGAATATTTGGCAAAGAGATTTGTGAGCTAACTACTCGCTTTAATGGGTTAGAAATCAATCAATCATGTTTCAAGTGACTAAGGCCTAGAGCTTTATCTCGTTTTTTCTTTTGGAGCTTGGCGTTTGATGGGCCAAAAAAAAAAGGAATACAAAGAGATATTTTCAGAGATAGAGGAGACAACGAGAGTGAGAGAGAGAGAGAGACTTGGGAAGGAAACGGAAGGCGGAAACCGGAAACTAAAAGTACCAACAAAAGACATAATTGAATGAAATTAAAAGGTACAAGCAGCATACTTATATAATCTGTACTTCTTTAACATTCGTCTCTTGAAGCGCCGCCACAGGTGAGCAATGTATTTCACGATCTCCGCATAGCAGGTGGCCGGTTCCGAGTTATTCGTGCTGCTGGCCAAGGTCGATGTGGAGGTGTAACGGGCCCGCTCCTGCCGCATCCGTTCCATCTCACGCTTCTTGGTCTCCGAGAATTGCGTGGCAATGACGACCAGGCACAGGTTGATCATGAAAAACGAACCAATCTGTGGGTAGTGAAAAGATATTAGAGATAAGTCAGCATTTATTTCAAGAAGGAAGTCTTAAATTGGGCAATAAAAGGTCTTAAATTCCCATAAATAAAGGAGAGTAAATTGTACAGACTATGAGATGCCCTATGAATAGGAAATCCTGGTCAAAAAATGGTTTAAAAATATTTTAAATTGAAATTCACAAAAGTGGCTTGAATAGGGAATTAATTTTTAATAATTTCTAAAGACTAAAGAACCCCATTTCTACAATTACAGGGTATAAAAGCGTATAACAGAAATAAGTGCGCGAATCGGTTGGGGTTCGCCCCGGCAGGTGGCGCTTTGTAGTTGCTGCAAAAGTTTTCGCATTTCCGTTTAAAAGTTTTCGTTTTCATTGCTGCCAGCGACAAATGCAAACTGAAAGTTTTCTTCAGCCTTTTTGTTTATGCCCCCACCCACCACCACCCACATGCACAACCCACCATCCGCCCCCACTGATGGGTCCTTGGGGAAGGACCTTTTCAGCCAGCCACTTAAATTCAATTAGCTGGGGGATCGGCAGCCATCACCTGGTGGTCAACCTGGGACTTACAAGTCCGCCAAGATGCCGATCTTAAAAACTTGAAATCGCAAAAGTTCCGAGGATTAGTTTGCAAATAAAAATGCTGGAAAAATTATTGTAACGAGCAGAGATGACCGAAAAATAAGTTCAAACTCTCAAGAATTGTAAATTTAAAATATATAAATATTAAAAATAAATAATAAAATATAGAAAAATATTTTTATAAGTGTTAAAGTGTTATATTTCAGATACTCAAAGTTAAGTTTATTGTGCCAAGAATAATCCACCAACATTGTAGTTCCCAAGGCAAACAAGTACTATTACTTTTCGAAATGTTGTCCAACTTTAAATTGAAAACATATTTCAGAAACAAAGACGGCACTTCTAATTTGTAACTCGTGAGCTTCGGAGAAAATGCATAAAACATAAATAAGCAATTTCCCTCCAATAGCCAGACGAAGGGGGGTGGCGGTGGGAAAACTATTTGCATACCAAAAGTTGTTGGCAACAAGAGTAAAATCATTTTGCACACGAAATGAACAGCCACAAAGACAGAGACGGAGCTAAAGGAGAGACAGGGACAGAGAAGACAGAAGAGGGTGGGCTCGAGAAAACTTCAAACATAAATAATGAAATTTTCTCATGTGTGTCTCTCGGGTCTGTATGCGAGTCTGTGTCTGGGTCTGTGTGGCATAAAGGCTTTTAATTAGTCCAAGGACACCTGAGCACAAATCCTGCCATGCAAATGACAGCACAACAGACTGGAGTCCACTCGAAGATGGCACTGGCCAAAAGTGGACAGTCCCAGGTTGTGGATAAAGTAGGGAAAAGTGGGGGGAAAAGTAAGGAAAGGGAAAAAGGAAAATGGAAAAAGCAACTGCTGTCGTGTCTGCTGTCTGCGTTTGCAACATGTTTCCAGGCAGCATCATCATGAAATTCATAGCATTTTTCGTAGACAAACTTTGCCCGGCCACAGAATCCGGCCTCTCTCTCTCGCTCCTGGCCGTTCGTTCGTGTTGCGTGTGTGGCCATAGTTTAAAAGTAATTTACTTATTTACATTGCCAAATTGCTTTAGCATACTTTCGGCCAACAATCGCCGCACCTCAAGGCTGCCTTTTTGGAGCTCAATTAGTCTGGGTAAGGCAAGGGGAGGGTGGCCCACTTTAAGCCGGGTCCGCAATTAAATATTCAATTCGTGATCAAAGCCAGCCAGACATATGGCCTCTGACCCGTGACCCGCTAACCCACTGACCCCCCCCTAGAAAAGCACTCACCACAATCAGCAGCACAAAGTAGATCCAATCCCAAAAGCTGTGCGCATCCTGCACGTAATACATTATGTCCGTCCAGCCCTCCAGTGAGATGACCTGCAAATCCAACAAATATTTCACCGTAATTAGCGTGCGCCGTGCAAAAATATACATACATCATTTATATATACAAAATGTACGAGAGGGGCAGATGGCGAGTGTTTTATTGTTCACGCCCCGTCATTGGTCAGAGAACAATTAGGATGGACCACGTCACGTATACGTAATGTGGGACTTTCAGGTGACATGAGGACTCTGTTTTGTCCAATAAAGTTAAACTTTTGACTAACTAAAACTTAAAGACTTGTAAGAAACTTAAAATGCTGTGCATAAGTTTAAGAAATTCTTTAAAAATAGTTTCTTTAGAGTTTTATATATTTAATTTATCACGTATACGCAATGTAGGTGACATGAGGACTATAAATTCAAACTTTTAGACTAACTAATGCTTAAAGAGACTTATAAAGGCTTGTAAAAACTTAAAAATACTGTGCCTAAGTTTAAGAAACTCTTTGAAAGTAGTTTTATTTGATTTTTCAATATTTAATTTATCACGTATACGTAATGTAACTGACATGAGGACTATAAAGTCTAACTTTTGAATAACTAAAGCTTAAAGAGACTTATAAAGGCTTGTAAAAACTTAAAATAACTGTGCCTAAGTTTAAGAAAATCTTTAAAAATTGTTTCTTAAGAGTTTTATATATTTAATTTATCACGTATACGCAATGTGGGACTTAAAACTGACATGAGGACAATTTAGTCAAATTTTTGACTAAAAAAAACTTTAAAATACTGTGCTCAAGTTTAAGAAACGCTTTTAAACTAATGTTGTTATATATATTTTAAATATTTATTTTTAAATATTTAAATTTTGTTTTCTTAGAGAATGAACCTTCTTTAAAAGCCCAAAACCTTTGAAAATCCAAAACCAGTGTCTGTTTAAAATACCTCACAATCTCTCCCAGATGAAAATTAATAATAAAGAACCCTCTCTTAAGCTTTCAAGACTCCTTAGACTCCACCCAACTCTGGCTCACCCATCCTGCCGAAATTCTAAGCGCTCCCCCCTTGGTCATGAAATCGATGCTCCGCGCAATTCGCTGGTTGGTTTCATAGCTTAATGTGCACTTGATTTCGGCTTAATTACATCATTTGACCTGCATATCAATTGATTCGCTTGCGGTGTGCGCCATGTAATTGGCATATCAATTAAGGCCTCTGCTGCCCCTCGAGGCGGAGTCCATTTCAAGTGGTGGCATCCATTTCGGCATCACTTTCGGCATCATCGCCAAACCCCAACACCATTCATGTCCCCCTTTCGTTTTCGAATGGAATGCAAATTGATGGCGTTTTGTTTTTGTTAGTTTAGGGAAAACACAGGACTCGGGGAGTTTTCACCGAATTAGCATGCAACATTTTGTTGTTGTTTCTATCGCAGATTGTCGCCTGTTGCTATTTGTTGAACAAAGTTGAGAGCTAATTGCCAACCAAGGGGATACACAAGGAACAAATTCATTTGAATTTAAGGTAACTCAATTAAAGGAATTGCTGAGGATCATAGAAATGGGATTTGAATGTTACAAATTGTTTCAGGTTTCAGGTTTGCATGGTTTTTAAATAGGATTTTGGTATTTAGTTAAGGTAATTCCTAGTTTATAATAAATATAGTTAAAATTTAGTAGAAACTCACCAGAAATATGGCCACCCAGGCCATGCCAATGTTATCGAACGATATCGTTCCCTGAAAGGGATTCTCGCCCTTCGGCATACAGATGGTGTAGTACTGGTTCCAGTTGACGCAGGACGTGTTCGTCGGCTCGTTCAAGTCAAACAGCTTGGCCTCCTCTGCGGATGAGAGGGGTTGGAATGGAGGTACAAGTACAGAGAGGTGGAGAGGTATAAAGCGTAAAGCGTATTGTTGTAATTGTGATTGCTTCGGTTGGCTCTGGCCGTCATTAAGCGACAGCGAGAGGGCAATTAAAAATGCCATCAAATTTGATTACAGCGCAATTTGCACTTCATTTAGCTTTAAAGTTAATGTAATTGGCGACGACGACCAGGGGATGGGGATTGGGGATTGGGGATTGGAGGATTTGGGGTAACTTACCATTGCAGACCATTGAGCCGATTCGGTATGGCGGAAAGTTGCCACAGAGATGCATTCCCGAGTCATTGGGCGTGGAGCAGATGTAGTCCTGATCCTTGGAGAATTCGTAGTACTGCGACACGCTAGGGGTGCGATGTGTACAGAGAGAATTAGGAGAGTCATGGGTTGCGATTGTCAGTATAGATTTTGGAAGAACATCCAGCACACAAATAAACAAAGTGTACGAAAGAGAAGTTCACACCAGAGGGAGAGAGAAACAGACAGAGAGAGAGAGAGAGAGAGAGATAGAAAGATCACACGTAGTAGTGAGAGTGAGAGTGAGAGAGAGAGAGAGAGAGAGAGAAAGAGAGAGCACAAAGAGAACAATTAATAATCGTAATCCGTAATCGTAGTTCCATTTAAGTAATCTGTATGTTCAATGCGTATCGTATAGACATTTACATCAAGATTTACGTAGAGAGATGTGTACAAATAAAGCAAGTACATGATCGATAAGTCAATTTTGATGGTGCTGAGTTTCGTGTGTCTTTCACTCACGCTCACGCGTGACACGCAGCTACACGAGAACATTCAACTAATTAGAGTAAGACAGAGAATGCCAATTGGTGAGGCAAAACGAAAAGGCTAATCAGAACTAAACAGAGAGTGACAGAGTGAGACACGGTTGACCAATGCAAGACAGAGACAGATAGTGAGCAGGTGAGCGGGTGAGCAGGTGAGCAGGTGAGCAGGTGAGCGGGTGAGCGAGTTAGCGAGAAGGAGTAATAACTAGCGAGCGAGTAAGAGCGAGTGGCAAGCGCAGGTGAAACGGAAGCACAGTCTTGAAAGGTCTCCCAAGCTCAGAGATCGAGGGAGAGAGAGAGAGGCAGAGTAAGAGAGAGAGGGAGACAGAAACTGAAAGAGATCTAGCTAGCGACAGAGCGAGTGCTGGGAAGCAAAGCCACTGTACAGTGAGACACAACTGTACCGGAAGCGAGAGTGAGACATAAGCGAGCCACAAAGCGCAAAACTAACAAAATATAAATAAATGAAAGAAACCAAGAAGAAGGGCAACAAAAGAGTCAGAGGCATAAAGTAGAAGAAGGAGGGACAGAGGGAACCGGGGCAGGGACGGGGCAAGGACTACACACTCGTAAAAAAGGGAAATGAAAACGCCAAAGCAATTTAAATTAAACGCGCAATGTTGCCACAAAATGGCCGACGCCGGAAACTCGCGACTTCAAAAAATGTCTGCCTCAACCAAGTGTCAGCGTGTGTGTATGAGTCTGTGTGTGTCTCCTCCGTGTGGCGTGTGGCAAGTGTGCCTGTGTCCTGTGTCCTGTGTGTGAGTTCCCCTGCCCGTGGTGTGCGTGTGACAATAAAATGTGTTTAATATGCACGTGCAAGCACGGCACTGACAGCAGCAGGGGACACCGGAAAGGAGGCGACAGAGGAAGCAGAGAGAGACACCGCAAGTGAATTTTGAAATATTCTCCGCTCGCATTTCCTCTTCTACTTTTTTTTTATACTCCCACCTGTTTTTTTCTTTTTCTCTTTGCACAATTCGCACGCTCCAATGTATGCAAAACTTGATGGAGTTGTATATGTATGTGTGTGTATGTAATTATTGTACTTCATTTGCGTGTATGTGTATGTGAGAGAGAGAGAGAGAGAGAGAGAGAGAGGGGGGTAGCGTATGGAGCAGGGGCAGCTTTAAATACCTTTGCAATAGAAACTGATGGTTTTTCCTGTAAAAAGAGTTCAGCTTACAAGAGATACACGTACATACGCACACACAGACAGCAGGGGGGGTGGGGCGGGGGTAGTGCGGTAATAGTGTGTGTCTGTGTGGCTGCTGTGTGTGTTTACCGTACTGCACTGTACTTTGTGTGTTTGGTGTCTCTATGTGTCTGTGTGTGTGTTTGGACCCGAAATGTTGTTTAACTTGGTGAACAAATTCTAAAAAAAAATAGACAAAGTGCCTGGAGAGTTGAGGCTTCCGACTAGCAGATACCCAGTAACTGAATTTAAGTATGTGACTGACTAAAGTGCAATATAAAAAGCACTAAAAGTAAACTATTTAAAGTGCTAATGATGTTATAATTAATGCTTTTTATTAAAACCTGCCTGGACTTTGCATATTTTTTGTTTTATTTTTTAAGCGGAAAAATCAATGAATCTAATTTATTTTTTTGAGGTATTACTAATATTTATAAATTATATATATTATATATTATTTATAAATTATTATGGGAAACATCTAAGTAATATTCTAATATTGCTTGAAATTAAAGCCCAAATGCAAGCCCAAATTCAGAATGCATTTCAGCTTTAAGCACAAATCCAGGGTGCATTCCTGCTTTTTGCTCTAATTGAAATCCTAGCCATTTTCAGCTAAACAAGTATCAATATTAATTTCCGCTGAAAGGATTATTAATTAATGCAGCCTAATTCGTTGAAAACTAAGCATTGGATGGATGGAAATCGAGACTGGAAAGACCATTTTGCTTTAGTATTTCCCCATAACATGTAAAGGGATCTAGGATACACGTTTCGGTCCTGGCATATGTATGTGTTGTTGCTAATTGGTATGCTTGTTATTTCGGCTGTTTGTGTGCTCTCTCCGCTACCGAAACATGTCATATTTGTGTGTAGAAGAACCCCTAAAAACAATGATGCGAACGAAAACAGAAAATTGCAAAACGAAACCCAAAAAATGGCAAATGCAACGCAAACAAACACAGGGGCGAACAGGGGCATATCCCTGCCTCTTTTGACCCCGATTTCTTATGTGTGTTGTTGTTGTGTATGTGCATATTATAAACTGTACGAGTACGAGTACATGTATGGGTGTGTGTATCTGTGTCTGTGTGGTTTGGTTGGCAGTTGAGTTGAGATCAGGTTCAAGTGGTGCCACACCAACAACAGCAACAGCAACAGCAACAACAACAACTCTAGACGACGACAACACAAAAAAGGGAGAGGGTGAGAGCGTACATCAAGTGAGCTGGCTAAAAATATATGAGTACTATAAAAATATATGGGATATACGAGTACGAGAACGAGAACGAGAGAACGAGGGGAGGTTCTAGCAAAGCAAATAAAATGCGGCTTTGGGACGGGTTAAGACAAGCAGTTAGTTCAACTGGGTGGTACAGTTGTGCTCGGTGGTGGTAAGAGTGAGCGGGTCAGATATACATATAAAGTAGTGTTGGTAGAGCGGGACAGCTAGCTAGCTACTCGGTTTTTGCTGAGTGGTTGTCTAGTTTAGTTTAGTTTAGTTCAGTTGAGCTCAGTTTAGCTTAGTTTAGTTTAGTTTAGTTTAGTTTAGTTGATATTTAGTATAGCTTGATACTTTGTATATATATATATATTCATATATCTTCAAATATTACTTAGGCAAACAGAAAGAGAGAGACAGATAGAGAGTTAGCTGGTAAGACGTCAAGGAAGTTAAAACAAATCGTTTGGTATTATCGTAGTATATATATGGCCAAGTATTAACTAAGACGAGTATATATTGATATGCACATCTACGGACAGAGTGTGTGTGTGTGTGGCGTCTAAAGAACGAGTGTGTATTTGTATGCGTGTGTTTGGAAGAGTGTGACGTCTAAAGGAGCAAGGTATGAAAAGGAGAGGGCTATAGAATATGAAGAATCTGTAGAATTCTTCAAAGCCTTTGTCATTGCTTTTAGGTTTTTAGAATCCTTTAATTAATATTATTATTTTTGATTTAATAAAGCTATAGGCAAGGGCAAAGGCTTTAGGCTTAAGGATCTTAGAAGATCCTCCCCAGAGAGAGAGAGAGACAACGAGAGTTAGGAGCTTGAGCTAAAGAGAGCAGGATTCCTTAATCCTTTCTCCTTTTTAGCTTGTAAATTATACTGGAATAGAGTTAAACTTGGGGCTTTAAGGGGTTAAGGTCTTAGCTGGCGTAGAAAGAGAGGCAAAGACTTATAGAGAGAGAGAGAGAGATAGAGGCTAGACAGAGATAGCGGCAAGGGTGAGGAGGTTACATTGATATCAGTATCTATAGACAGAATCTAGTTGGACTAGCTAGTAGACGGCTATTAGAATCTGTTTTGTGTCAAACTGGGTCTTCTGTTGGTATTGGTGTGCGTGTGTGGGAGTGTGTCAGAGTGTATCAGAGTGTATCAGAGTGTGTGTGTGTGTGTGTGTCAGTGTGGGTTAAGTAAAGGGGGGAAAATAAATCATTTTATCTTACGAGTTAACACGGACTCGAACTCTGTACACTTCAGGTAGTCCCCTGTAAACAAAAAATTTGTTCCCGGTATGATTTTTGTTTTTGTTTCATATCATCTGCTTTTGTTTTTGTTTTATTTTATTTATTTGTTTGTTTTTTTTGGTTTTCTGTTTTTGTTTTTGTATTATTTAATTATTTTTAAGCATTTTCAGCTTTTTGAAGAAAACTTAAAGCTCGAAACATAAAGAGAAACAGTTTTTGGGGGGGACTAGAAAATATCAGATTTGAGTTTTTAGAATTTTAGTTTTCAAACTCTTGACTTTCGCTTGGCTGCCAATTCGTTAATAACTTGTTCTCTTGTCTGTTTTGGTTTCATTTTGTCACAACTAAACACAAATCGAAGAAACGAAAAACTGGAAAAGAACATATATGCATATATATATATCTATACTCTATATGCCATTATTTGTCATACTCTTTCTTTTCTTTTCTTTTTTTGACAAATTGCTGGCTTGTCTGTGAGTGTGTGAAGGTGTGTGTGAGGGTGTTTTGTATGGGTGTGCTGGTGGTGTGTATTTACAGCTTGACTTCGAGGACTGATCACAGAAAGTTGGACTTGTATGGTACAAAATAGCTCTTCCTGTGCGAATGAAGGTTTTATTTTTACAAAACTAAAGACAAAATAGAAAAAATGCCAGCTCAAAGTCCTCGCAAAAATTGCTTTTAATAAGTACTCATAAAAATTAAATATTTAATTAAAAAAATATTTATGAAAGGTTTTTCCGAAATAAATAAATTATTTATACAAAGTTTCTTTCACTTTTCCCATATAAATCTTACAAAACTCCAAATAAAAATTGGAAAAATCATTTTAAACAAGAAAGAAAGCTAACTTTTGGCCAGCCAAAGTTTGTATACCCTTGCAGGTAACAATTAAAATATATCATAACTATGCCAAAAATGCATTAATTTCGATTCGGAAAGCAGTTTTGTGTTAGTTTTTATGAGGTTAACAAATCTGCATACTTAGTTAGAAATAAAAATTTTGGTAAATTTTTGGGAATTTTAATGATGTAACCCCTTATCACATTTAGCAAAAATGGCTCAAAATTTGATTTCCTCCAAACATGGCTTAAACGATTCGAATTTCAATGCTGATCAAGAATATATTTGGTTTATGGGGTCGGAAATGACTCCTTCACCTAAAAAAATATTATTTTGTATTATAAAATCTGATTTTTTATATTAAAAAATAGCATAACTCGGCCAAAAATGCATTAATTTTAAATCGAAAAACAGTTCTGTGTTAGTTTTTATGAGGTTAACAAATCTGCATACTTAGTTGGAAAAAAAAATTTTGGTCAAAAATTGAGAATTTTAATGATGTAACCCCTTATCAATTTCGCAAAAATGGCTCAAAATTAGATTTCCTCCAAACATGGCTTAAACGATTCGAATTTTAATGCTGATCAAGAATATATACGGTTTACGGGGTCGGAAATGACTCCTTCACTTAAAAAAATATTATTTTGTACTATAAAATCTGATTTTTTATATTAAAAAATATCATAACTCGGCCAAAAATGCATTAATTTTAAATCGAAAAACAGTTCTGTGTTAGTTTTTATGAGGTTAACAAATCAGCATACTTAGTTAGAAAAAAAAATTTTGGTCAATTTTTTCGCAAAAATGGCTCAAAATTAGATTTCCTCCAAACATGGCTTAAACGATTCGAATTTTAATGCTGATCAAGAATATATACGGTTTATGGGGTCGGAAATGACTCCTTCACTTAAAAAAATATTATTTTGTATTATAAAATCTGATTACAGGCAAGACAATCTTTGCTCTTTAATTTCCAGAAAATCGTAACTGACGAACATAGTAAAGCATCAGCGCGAAGGTGAACTGTTCCCATTATAATTTCAGCGTAAAAGTATGCTTTGTATTGGCTCTTTCGCTTGTTGCTAATTAATTCAGCCCAAAAGATGCACCATTATTTGGGTAGAAAGGCAATTCAGCCCAAAAGATGCAGCATTTTAAGGGCAAAACATTTTTAATTGCATACTTTCGCGGTGCACGTACTATTTTTTGCTAATTTTTTTTTTTTAATTATAGGTAGGAATTTAAGCAACGGCTTTTCCGAGGGATCCTCGCCAGCCACCGGCACCAGCCTGCTGCGCTACGGAGAATACGCCACCTCTTAATTTAATTAGTTAAAAAATTCTAATTTTGGTCAGTTTTTGAGAATTTTAATGATGTAACCCCTTATCAAATTTCCCAAAAATGGCTCAAAATTTGATTTCCTCCAAACATGGCTTAAACGATTCGAATTTCAATGCTGATCAAGAATATATATGGGGTCGGAAATGACTCCTTCACTTAAAAAAATATTATATTGTATTATAAAATCTGATTTTCTTCACTGCGTTGCAAAGTTCTGACTGAAATTATAATACCCTGCAAGGGTATAAAAATATAAAGAAAGCCCAAATGCTTGGCTATGCTTTGCCAATTTACTGAGAAATATGTACAATATTTTTTTATTAGAAAAAAGTCAGCGTGTGGCTCACGCTCTTGAGGAAGGTACGGCAAAAAACGTATTTATTTGCGAATTTATATGGAATTTATATAGTACAGCCGAGCATGCATAAGCAAAACAATGGAACGCAGGTTAACAAAAGCCAACGAAATGAAAATCACAATCAAAATCAAAATGAAAATAAAGATGAAGATAAAGTTTCTTGAGCGAAGCGCGCAGCGACCCAAAAAATTCCATTGCCTACTTTAAAGGGCTGCGCTGTTTCTATCTGCGTGTGTATGTGAGCTTAAGTGTCCTTAGTGTGTGTGTGTGAGCGAGCACGCGTGTCCTTCTGTGTGTCTGTGTGTGACGTTGAAATGCCGCCGTGGCACAAACACAGACGCAAACACAATGCCAATGATAAATGATTGTTTTGGCCAAGTTTAAAATCTTTTGTCAGCGGCCGACGAATGAGAAGAGCACAGTGGCTGCCAAAAAACAAGCCACAAAAATGCGATTAAAAAATACTAACTTTAAATGCTTAAAAAACAAGGTTTTAAAAAAAAAAAATGTGGGAGAAAAATTACTTTTGAAAGTTGGTTTAAATTAAAGAGATATTTTCTAGAGCAGCGTATCCATAAATTCTCTTTTTCAATTGCTTTAATATATTTATAATTAATATTTAGAATATGTTTTCTTTATAAATAATTCTTTGAAATACTCTAGAAAGCTTATAAAAAAGGGTTTTAAAAAGAAATTGAGCAATAAATTACTTTTAAAATTGGTGTAAATAGAAAAAAGTATTTCTAGAGCAGCTTAAAAATCTCAAAAATAAAATCGATAAAGTTTATTGATTTGCAATGGCTTTAAAATACCTTAAACGTTTATCTATTAATATTAAGAATATATTTTCTTTGAATATACCTCCTTGAAATAACCTAAAAAATTTTTTAAAATTTTCTTTATATAATTTTTAGAAAATTTCCCTTAGCTTTACATTATAAGGCCCACTGTGCGGGCTTCTTTTTGTTTGTTTTTTTTTTTTCTGGCATCTTCCTGGTGCTGTCACAAGCACAAGACGGCTGTTTTTAGAGCCACAAATGGGCCATTGCCCAGCTGGAGGAAGGGCCAAGGACCAAGGACCCAAAAGCCAGCGGGAGACCTGGCTGACTTAGTGACTTACAGGACGACGAAGGACTTCATCAAATTGACTTGGTGCCTTGAATTTTGTATGCAAATGCAGCGGCCTCGGCGGTATTTCAACACCAGAAAACAGGCTGTATTGCGTAGAATAGTGTAGTTTAGTGTAGTGTAGTGTACTGTTTGTTGTGTGTATTTTTTCGGTGGCTAAAAACCAAAAGCTAAGCCATGGAACCAAAAAGCGAACAGCGGGGGGATTGAGAAAGCAGCCAGCAGCAGTTGAAAAAAAACTTAGCTCAAAGACGCGGCCACAAAAAACAAACAAAGAAAAATATTTTATAGAAAACCAAAAAAACGGAAACGGAAACGCAAAAGAGTCAGGAATCGAATCGGAATACACGATACGAGTATATAGTTTATGTACATTGCCTAAGGATATGTACGAGTATGTGCCTATATGTACGATTATGTATGAGAGATTCAGAGAATCCGCCCGCAGACAGAGGCCAACACCTGGCATTCCCCAGAGTCGGGGCAGGGGCTCGGAATCGGAATCAGCAGAATCACTAGAAACCAACTCCAGAGCCCAGAGTCAGAGCTCTGAGTATGATCCTGGCTACTTACGTGATGGGATAGACCAGGCCATCGGGACGCTCCATGGTGCAGCGCTGCCGCAGGATGCCCTCCCACAGCTGCACGCCGATGATACCAAAGATGAAGAACACGAAGAAGCACAGCAGCAGGACATTGCCCAGCATGGGCAGGGTGTCCAGCAGCAGCATCACCAGGATTCTCATGCCTTAGTTGGGGGGGGGGGAATAATATTATTATAAATATGCAAGAAATCGAAATGGATTTGCAAGCTGCTTACTGGGTATGCGATTGATGGCCCTCAGGGGACGCAGCACACGTATCGTCCGGATGGCGGTCAGATTGAGGTTCTCCACATGCATCACGTACTCCAGGAGGCCGGCCAGGACAATGAAGAAGTCCAGGCGGTTCCAGGAGTCGGCCAGGTACGTGTTCTTGCCGCACATGCCCATGGCCACCATTTTGATGGTCATTTCCAGGGCAAAGAAGGCAAAGATGATGTCGTCGAAGATCTGGTCAGAAAAGTTAAAGCATTTCAAAGTTAGTTATGGGGAAAAATATAAATCAATACATGTGAACCTAAAAGGAGCTAAAGGACTTTAGTTTTCAATTTTACTTTGTTATTTGCAGGTTTTTCCTCTGCCTTCAGCCTTGATTTGACCTGGAATCCCATTAATCAGCTAACGAACTAACGAGAGTTGATTAAATTAAAATTAGCAGTGCTAAAACTGCTTACAAGGACACCTCATCAGGATCAGGCGTCACCTACATGCACGCCAAATGAAATGAGTTTGCCTTGGCGGCGTCATCATCATCATCATCATCATCTGAGCTTCCTCGTCCTTGTCATCTTTTTCGTGCAACGTCAAGTAATTTTGGGTTGCCCTTTGGGGGTTGAAGGAAGACAACGACAAGGAGCAGGAAGGACCAAGGACCAAGGACCTGTAACGCCCACTTATGTCACTGTGACTGTGGCTGGGGCTGCGGCTGTCGTTGTCATTTTGACTTTGTGCTGTGTGCCAATTTGGCGTTGCCTCTCTTGCCTCTCTTGCCCCCTTGTCCTCTGTCCTCTGTCCTGCTGGGGCTCCAAAACTCCATCTTGGTCCTGGGTTGCTTTTTCTGTCGTTTCAGTTTACACTTGGCTGCCCGACTTACATATCATTTACAAGCATTTTCGCACGGCATCCACTCTATGCTCTGTAATTGCCCCACTGAACACCACATCTCCCTTTCTCTCTGTCTCTCTGGCGCCGCCTAATGAGGCGAAGTGCCTCGCCTGGATGTCATCAGGCCTGGCAGGAGGCGGCAGTCAGGAAGTGAGCCAAAAAATTGCTTAAATAAATGGCATTTAATGTGACACCGATGCTGACAGGCCCACCTGGGGAGGCGGGACAAGAAGAAGCTGCCATTCCCAGGACTTTACTTTATATATTCTTTTTTTCATTCACCTAATCTTGAGTCCATCTTTGGTTGATAAATGATGGGAAACTAATTTTGCATGGGGACCAGCCAAGAGTCCTTGATAAGCCGCTTATCACATGGTTTTATGTGGTGTTCATTATACTTTTTATAATTTAATTTTTGGTAATTAAATTAAAAACTCACCTGTAGGATTTTGCAGCGGTTCGTCACACAAGCATCGTCGACGCAGGGCTGGTACATGCCCAGGGTGATGCAGTTGAGCAGGATGACCAGGATGGAGACGCGCTCGAACCATGTGCCGGTACCAAATCGGAGACGAGTCCATTTCTAGTTAAGTGGCAAACCAAGAAAAAGGCAAAACAGGGAAGGACGAGGGACCCCCTACCCCTAGATCCTGATTGAAGGCGCAGCCAGTGAAGCGAACAAAAAATAGAGAAAAACAGAGAGAGCCAGAAGGGGATAACAACTTGCAGTTGCCTCTAATGCGCACTCAAGTGCCTGTCAACTCCCCAAAAGGACCTGCCCCAGCGGTTGCTGTTTCTCGTTCTCGTTTGGTTTGGGTTTTGGTTTGGTTTTTGGGGTCAAAGGAGGGTAGTCTGAGGATGCTTTGGGTTGAGGATTGCCAGGCAAAGTGCAGCAAATTGATGACAGTTCATAACACAAGAACCGAGTGCATTGACCAAGAAGGATATTTGGAAAGCAGAACAGCAATAGTTTTAAGTTGCTGGTAATGAAGGGACTTTATGATCAAAGAATGAATTACAAAGTATATGAAAGAGATAACCCACGACTTTATTCTTAAAAAATAAGTATAGATTTCAGAAAAGTAAATCCTCATCGAACCCTTTGCCTGTTAGATCTTGCTTTGCTTACTTTCAGTTGGTTTTCTTGTCCTTCACAAATACAAGACCAAGGCATGGCACTCGTCCTGGCACTTGTCGCCTAAAAGCCTTGCCTGCTGCTGCACTTTGCTGCCTTCGAAACTCGAAAACACACCGACACACACGTACAACACTCGTCCAAGGACGATAGCTGAGCGTAGTACTGGGCTTCAGGATTTTTCAGCTGGCTTAATGCATGGCCAAATGAGCGCCAAGGACTCGTTAAGGATCGAGCCAGCACACACGCGCAAAATGGCAAAATGGCAAAAATGTTTACGCTATTAACGCACAATTAAAGATAAAACGTCCTGCACAATGGCACAAACAAGCCGCAAAAAGGGCAATTCATTAGGGGGCGCAGTGGGGAATTGGTTTCGGATTCAGATTCAAATTCAGATTCGGTTTACGATTCGGTTTCGGTTTCGGTTTCGACAGCAGGCCATATGCAGGCAGGCTGAGGGTCAGCTTGTACTGAGTCCGGTTTTGGGGTCATAAAAACAAATTGTGAACCCGGGCCAGACGGCACAAAAGGCACCACCGAGTGGGAGGAGGAGCCTCCCCGTATCCCTGCCAGAATAAATACTGCAGCAGCACAAATATGCGACAGTGGGGCACCCAAAGAAATTGGGTTTAAACATTTTTAGAGAGTTGTAAGAACTATAAAAAAATATAATATAAAAATGTATTAAAGAAAAAATGAAATAAAATATAAAAATATATATTTATAAATATTATAAAAATATATATATTTAAAAAAATAAGTTGAAGGAATGAAGAAAGGTAGCCTGAGTCTCTTAGAAAATGTTGAGCTTTTGCTTAAGGAAAAGGCTGTGAAAAAGTAATAAAAATAGTAAAAAAAAGGGTAAAAGACATAGAAGAATAATATATAATAAAATATACAATATAAGAGCAACTTTAAGTAATTAAAAAAATATATATATTTAAAAAAAATTAGAAAGGAAAGAAGTAAAGAAGAAACTTTGAGCAGACAAAGTCTTTTTCAAAATTTTGAACTTCTGTTTCTTTGAATATAAATATTAAAATATATAATTATAATTATTAATTAATAATGTTAATTAAAATTTAAAATTCCCTAACCAAAGTTCACATCATTAAATATTTGTTATATATTTATATTTATATTTTTTCTTTCCCTGTAAAAGCCACCGCACCGACCCTGAGAGCATTCAATTCATTCAGCTGCCTTCGCCAAAGGGGGGCGTGGCGGTTCAGGTGTATATGTGTGTGTGTGTGTGTGTCTAGGGGGCGGGATGGGCGTTAAAGTCCGGGACCCCTGGCTTTTGCGCGCATTATTTTTGATTTGGCAACAGCAATGGCCCCCAAACCAACAGTAAACAAATTAAGTCGAGCGTAAAGTGGGCCAGCTGGGGCGAACAAAAAGGGGGCGTGGCAGTGGTAGTAGTACCCATGGAAGCGTGCAGAAATCGCAACAAATTAAAAGAGCCGCAAACAAAGCGAGAGCCGAAAGCAAAAGCCGAATAAGATGACTGAACATGCCCCAGAGAATGCTGAATGCTGAATGTTTGAATGCTGAATACTGAATGCCGGCGACCAGCGACTGGCTGAATGGCAAATAACGAATGCGAGTGGTGAAAAAAAAAGAAAACAAATATGGAAAATAAAGAAAAATAAAGGAAAATAAAAGAAAAAAAAAAGAAAATTCCAAATAAATAAAAAAAACAACAGCAAAAACAACTTGAGGTAAATTGGCCACAAGACACAAGTTGAAACCGATCAATTTAATTGGTTTTTCAACATCAAAAGGGGTTTTGGGAGTATATATATAGTAAAGAGATATATTTTCTACAAATTTTAAAGCTTTTTAAATTAAGCAAATATTTTAATTTTAATTTTAATTAATAAATAATTTAATAACCTTTTAAATCCAAGCAAAAACTAAGCTCAGCAAGTTAAAAATTATATTTTTTTACTTGAATTCAAAGCACAAAATCTGGCAAAAATCATATAAAAACTCTAAACAAAGGTCCTTTAAGATCAGTAAGTCTCTTTGTTCCCCTCTCTCTCCCTTTCTCTCTCCCTCTCCTTCTCTGTAAATATTTAAATAACATAACATTCATAGTCCTTGCTCTCCATTCAAATCCATCTATTGGCTATTTTCCAGTTGACTCTCCACCATTCATACGAATGACCACAACGACGACCTGTTGTCCTGCCTCCCCGGCTTCACCTTCTGCAGGACAAGAGAAGCATTTGTGTAATGAATACAATGCACGTACTCGGTGGCGGTCAGTGAGGCTAATGGGTATTGCCAGGATTCAGAGCCTCCACCAGCTGCTTCTCCACTTCCACCTCCTTCTGCCTCTCTGGTTTTCTGTCATAATTAGTTATGGGCGTGGCAGGCGGTTTCGCATTACCTAAAGAGCCTCCTGCACACACACACACACAGACGTACACCATGCTAATGATGCCTGCGTGTCCGAGCTGCCTTGCGGTCCTAATGGCTACCGCACAAGGATGCAGCAGGTCCTGACCCCTCCCCACGCTCACTGCACACGTGCCGCGCACACATTTCACGCTAAAAGCGCCATAAAATGGCGGAGACAACTTTTAGTTTATGGCTGAAGCCCCAAAATGCAGCCACACATGTGGCAAAGTTGCAACGCTAATTTGGCTAGAGAAAAGGGGGAGAAAAGGAGGACCAAACGTGGCGAAAAAGGATTAATAAAGGACACTGGGAATATTATTTTTATATTAATAATTTTATATGAAATCAATCACCTTAGGAAATGAGTTGTAATTTTCTTCTTTAAGTACTTTTTGTGGTGAGAAAATTGGTGGCCAAGAAAAAGGATACTCGTAAGGGACATTTGTGACAAAAAAAAGAGGCCCAAACAGGATTAATATAAAAGCCTAGAAATATTATATTTAATATATGAATTTTTATGAAATCAATCACCTTAGGAAATGAGTTGTTAGTTGTGTTGAGAAAAATTGGTGGCCAAAGAAAAGGGATATGCGAAAAGGACATTCGATATTGATACGCAAGGCCAGCTGGCGACGCTGCGGCGGCTTCAAGTTTTTGGCAAATGATGGCACCGCTGACCTCAGCTGCAGGCGAGGTCACTTACAGCCAAGTCTGGGTCACCAACACAGGCAAAAACCTACACACCAAAGGGCGTCGCCAGCGGAAACGGAAGCGGCAACGGAAACGGAAGCGGAAATGGCAAGTAGAAGCAGCAGCGGGAGCTAGAGCTAGAGCTAAAGTCAAACTGAAATTAGTTTAGTCAGTGAGACACAGCGATTGCAGAGCCAAAATGCAATGCAAGTCAGCCACAAATTCCACCAGCCAGGAGCCAGGACGAAGTACCAACCACGCGTTGTAATTGCCGCTGTGGGAGTCATCGTAAACTTTGACAATAAAATCCATAAAATGTCAGCAAAAGATATAGAAAACAATACAATGCCAAGGCGAACAATGGCACAAATCAAAATTTATGGCAAACAATTAAGTGGCAAAGTATCGAGAGACCGATTTACGTGCTTTTGTGGCGGCGGAGGGAATTGGTGGCACACATCAAGTGGGTAATCGCAGCCGTCAGCACACTGAGCTTTCAGGCTAAAAATAAAGGCGGGCAACAGCTCCTGCTGTGTGTCTGACTCGACGCTCTAAACTCAATTATCATAATTTAACCGCCATAAATAAATATCCAACGTCAGTCAATTTTAATTTTGCTTCAAGTGAAATGTGAAATGTGAAGTGAGTGAGCGCAGGAGAAGTGTGTGCAAAGCGATTTTTCATGCACACATGCCATTGAAGTCGGGATGGAATAAGAGGAGGAGGAGAAGCAGGAGGAGCTGCCTCAGATAAACAACATTGAAGCGCCAGGATTGTCATCTTGCTGCCGCCACGTCCCACTGATTGGCGCACATTATCCACACCGAAGCCTGTGAAAATGGATGGGGAGGAAAACAAGAAGAATCCACGGAAGGATCCGGCGTTGGCAACTGGGACCGACACACAGGACACATCCTGTCACTGGCACTGTTGTTACTGTTACTGCCACTGGGTTCCGTCTCCCAATGACGTTGCCCATTCAGATATTTATTATTTATGCCCCAACGAACTCAAAAAACACACACGCACTCCGCCTGATGCTGCTGTTGCCTTGCAACTGCTGACATTGTGGCATGAATTTTGCAGCAGGCAACAGGCAGAGTTCAAGGATAACAAGCATCGAACAGGAGATACCTCGTTTTTATACAGGATAAAATGTGGTTAATTAAATTTAATAAAAGAAAGGAGGGAGTAGAGGAAAAAATGAAAGGAAAAGCAAATAAATGAGAGGGATTTCGTGGAGGTAAAAAGTATATTTCTATATATTAATATATTCCCTATATCCTTTTCAATATATCCTAATTCAAAATGAAATCCTTAATAATTTGCCCAACAACCTGCTTTAGGATCCTTTTCCCAAGGATCCCATTGTCCACCTATTAATTATTCGAGTCATTCGACATGCATTCGACATCAGTAACTTCCAATCGAGTGTCCTTAGGCCCATTAAAAAAATACAACAAAAAAGGGAGAGCCACAAAAAAGCCTGGATATATATACCTTACAAATGTGGAGCGCAAAAAACATACAAAAAATCAATAGGCTCACAATGCACATCCTGTGAAATGTGTGACAAGGACATCGCCGCTACGACAGACCCGCACACAGGAGGTAAATTCCAGGCGAAGGACAAAGGCAATTAGACTCCCTCAACCTCTCTTTTTCCCTCCCCCCTCTCGTTTTTGTTTGTTTAAAAAGGATATGGATTGGTGATGAGCATCAGGCACCAGTTGCGCGGCCGGGTATACTGCGTCAGCGCCTTCATGGAGATCTCGGGGAAGCCCGGATAGGGAAGATTCGGTTCGCCGGATGAGCTCGACGAGCTGGAGTCCGAGGTGTGCGTGGAGTCGCCATCGTCGGAGCTGCAGCTGCCATTGCAGCTGGATGCGGTGGAGGAGCTAATGGCGCCGCTGCGACTACGACTTCGGCTGCGGCTGCGTCCATGACCATGGCCATGTCCTGAGGCTGACGCGGCGGCAGCGGTGGCATCGCTGAGCGAAGAGGCGCCACTGTGACGACGTCCGGTCCGCCGGCGAGGCACCTGCCCGAGACGATCGTGGCGATCGTGGCGATCGTGGCGATCCTGGCGATCCTGGCGATCCTGACGATCGTGACGATCATGACGATCCTGGCGATCCTTTCCCTGGTAGCGTCGCCTGGAGTCTGCCGATCCTGAGGCATTCGAGGACTGACGATGCGACCTGGCTGGCATGGTTTTCCCAGACCCAGACGCATTCGCATTGGCACTGGAGGAACTGGTTTTCCGCAAACGGTGGCCACTTCCGGACGAAGTGGCGTTTCCGCCACCAGAATCGACGATCACCGTCATGGGCGGCTCTTCGTTGGAATGCATTTGACTTAATCTATTGCTGGATTTGCTGTTGTTGTTTTTGATTTTAGCGCTGCTGTTGTTGTTGTTGTTGTTGCTGGTGTTGCAGGTGGTGCGGCTGCTGTTGCCGTTGCAACCGTCTGTTGCTGCTGCCACGCGACGTCGCTGGCCATTCCTAGCTGATGTGGCAGATGCTGATGTTGCTACTAGGGTTGTGGCTGCTGCTCTTGCTGCTGCTGCTGCCGCCGGCTGCGGCAGCATCTTCCTGGGGGCCAACTCTGTGAGCTTTGGTCATTCCATTGCCGATTGCTGGAAACGAAAGGGAGGAATGGGGGATTATAAGAGATATTAAAATTGATTTTTAAGATTTTAAAAGATTTTAAATAATATATTTTTAGGGTTAAAACTTAAGAAATCCCTTTGAAGTTTTCCTATTTTAGAAATAACTTAATTTATGAGCTTTTAGTTACCCAATTTTCTTGCTGTGTACGTGCAAAGTTTTGGGAATTGATTTTTAATGCGATACTTGGCGTCCCTTAGGCACCACCTCCGTCCCTCATCCACTCCTCACCCCTCCCCTGGCCACATAATGAAGCCAAAACATAATTTATACGCACGTGCGCTGCTTTTTGTAAAACTTGTGCCTGTGTGTGTGTGTGTGTGTGTGTGTGGAGTACGTAAAAATAATGAGAAGCACATTTTGTGCCCACAGACAAAAAGCATAGCATACAGTTGAGGGCGGCGGAATTAAGAGGACTCCCTCGTGCGCAAGTATATGTAGCTGTGTAGGTGTGCTCAATCATTAATTACGTGCGTGTGTGTGTGTTCACCCCTAACACATTAACGTGCCAAAAAGTGCTTCGTTGTGGTTTTCCCCCCCAGCTCCAGGCGAGCTGCAATTGTGTGAAAATTGGTTTATCGATAGGCTCTGCAAACAAGGACAGCGCCAAAGAATGGCCACACAAAGGACACGGTTCCAGACCGAGGCCTCAAGATGCCAGCCAGACGTCGCCTTTTGCCTTTTGCCTCTTAGGCCATTGAGATGTATGTGCACATACATATGTATGTACATATATAATCGATTGGGCAACCAGCGGACTTGATTCAGCGATTACTTTGCCAGCTGGCCCATCAAACAATTTATCAAAAAATAGAAAATATAAAAGATATAAACACAGTGCCGGCAGGAGATAAATAAAAAGCAAACATTAGGTGGGCGCCTGACATTTTAAGTAAATGCCGCGGCGCTCTATTTGTCCATTAGCGACAAGTTCCAGTTGATAAATGGGTACAGTGAAGACTGTTTAGAATTCACACAATTTATAATGATTTTTTAAAATTTTGATTTGTCCAAAAAAAATGTGTTCCCATTTAAAAAAAAAACAAAAAATTAATGGTATACATTGTAAAAATTTTTAAAAATCGACAACAAAGTAAGGCGTTAAATTATGTATGCACATTTATTAAGCTAATAACAACCAACATTACGCCGCTTTCCGATTTAAAATTAACCCTTTTTTGAGGGAGTTATGATTTTTTTAGATTTTGATTTGTCCCAAAAAAGTTTTCTTTTTTATTTTTCTTGGATATTTTATACTAGGAAATTATAAATTAATTTTTTAAAGGCAACCATTCAAAAACCAACTAAACAACTGGATATAACAGTTTTATACATGCATAAATATAGCCCTGTGTATCTCATCAGTTCTTGGTACTTTTTCAGTTAGATTATTTATGATTTGGCAAAGGACACGTGTCCTGTCCTCGTCCTGCTGCTGCTGTTATTGTTACTGTTATTTATAGGTGGACCTTAGACAAGAAATCAAAATAATTAATCGTTGGCTGGCGCCATTTGTTTATCAGCCGGAAACGGAAGTCAGCGCCAAGGCAAACAATAGCAAACACGAGCCGCTCCCCTCTCCCCTCTCCCCTCGCTCTCTCACACAGACACACACGTACACACACTGTTGAGCACGTGACAATACAAAAGTTTCGATATTATTTGGAAAATGTTGAACAGGCTTAAGGAGACAGGAACAACTACTATATGTGTGCATAGTAGCTGGCGAAATGTAAGCGCCTCGTACCAAAGCACATGGCACGGGTGTAAACACACAGAGACAGAGCCAGAGACAGGCATGCACGGCAAGAAAAAAGGAGTATCAATTAGAGGAGAGTCTTTTAATTATATATTATATTAATTTTGATTAATTATTAGCTTTGGTTTTATGTTATATGTACATCTAGCTTTTTTCGATATTTTTCTTTAATTAATATAGCAAATTTCTCTGTTATTTTTTTCTGTGTATATTATACAAAGCGTGTGTGTGTAGGTGTGTTGGTTGGCATACACAGATATACATAATTAAACACAAACAGCGCGACTTTGGTGTTGATATTAGTCAAAGGCAGTGGAAAAACACAAACACACTTCCACTGCCTTTCCTCCTTCCTCCTCCTGTGTGTGTGTGTGTGTGTGTGTGTGGTGTGTGTGCCTCCGAATAACGGGATCAATGTGACATTCAAACATGTCAGATGTTAACGCGATAACAATTTGAAATGGGTCAGCGGTACAACATGAATTTTAGGTTGTAAGTGGACGCAAATTGTAGATATTTATCGCCATAAGTGACTTTCCCACAGAGAAAGAGCGCATTTATTGTGCCGGAAAATTGTTTTTCCATAATAGTTTTAACAAATTGTTTAACTAACTTAATTTGTCAAGTGCCTGCACTTGTTTTTAATTACAAAATGCAAATAAAGCGACATGGAAATGTATTTATTTTGAGCTTGAAAATAACGAGATTTTGGTGTAAATTTAACTATGAAATATATATTTAATTCTAAGAAAATTATAAATTATAAACATAATAAATATAGCTATTTATTGTAAGTTGTAGGTAGTGTTTTTGTTTTTAGATTTTTTTTTTCGATTTTTTACCCTTAAAATCCCATTAATGAGAGCTTATCCCGCTTTAAATGTATCTGTATCTTTATCTTTATCTGCCTTTTGTATCTGTATTTTTCAGCTACAGTTTTTGTCACTTTTCCTCAACCAATTTGTTGTTTACTTATAGTTATGCTAGTGCCTTTCGTTCGCCAAACCCGGAGGGTTAATGTAAACAACAACCGGGACAGCTCACTCTGCGGCCTGTCTGTTCCATGGAAATATGCAAATAAATTGCCGCTTATGTGGCAAGATATTTGCACACACAAAAACACACACACACACACACTCCGTTACAGTTTTTTTGTTATTGTTTCTTTCTGTCGGAGAATCTGCGGATATATAATTCACTTTTAAATGCAAAATCAAGCCGCTGTCATTGATAGCTGTCTCGGGCAGAATAAGCATACGCAGCGTTGTACACGTTGGCAAATAAATCAGAGAGGCAGCGCGCCTCGATGTCGCCCGCGTGCAAAGAGATCCCTTTTTTTCCCCGCCTCCCAGGCTGAAGTCCTTCCTCCAGCCGAAGATTTATGCTCACGGCCTGCTTTATGAGGCAGCGCCTGTCGGGCAAACTCGCCGACATTAGCATAAGGACCAGTGCTGGCAATTTGTTACGCTTTTAAAAGGGAAGTTGATCAGCAGTAAAGGCTTGAATATTTGTATTATTAAGTATAAATAAAGATATTTAGTATAGTAAATATTTTTTAAAATAAATAAAAAACAATTAAGAATGTAGATTTTGAGAGAGAAGTTGCACTTAAGTTAGCCACCTTTAGAAATAAAAAAAAAAATTATATTTTGTAATAGAAATTAAACACAATTAATAAGCCAGATTTTGGGACAGAAGCTCAGTTAATTTCTCGTATATTTCGCACTTAACTAGGCACCTTCAGAAGCCTCTTTGCTAGCTTTACCCAAAGATATTTTTGTATTAAAACATTTATTTTTCATGTTTTCTGAAATAGGTTCTTTTATCGACAGGCCCCTGATAAAGATGACACAGAGAGAGGAGTGGTGCTACAGCAAAAAAGACAACTTAACTTTCAGTTATCAATGCGTGTCCAATCGCCTGTTTGGCTCATTTCGATTGCCATTCCATTAGGCAATGGCCAATGGTCAATGGAGAGGCTTTGCCTTCACTCTCTCTCTCTCTCTGTCTGTCTCCTCCTCCTTGATTTTTCCCCATTTTCCCCCATTTTCCTGCCTCTGCTGTGCTGTATTTAACATTAATATTTATGATTGCTCATCTGTATATAAATCGATGCTCGCTCTCGCCTTCGCTGGGGCCGTCGCCTTTCATTGCTTGCTTATTGCGCTGATTTTATTATTATTTTTATTTGGCATGGCTGGCATAAAAAGCAGTCAGAGGGAACAAGACACCGAAAAGAAAACTCATTTTCATGTTCGGCAGCTGCCAGACACAGACAAAGCCGCATCATATATACCTGCCTCTCGTTCTCGGCGTTGTTTCCATTTGATTTTCCAATTCGAAGCTGAAGCATTTCTTTCCCCCTTCCTTAAACTTATCCCCGCTTTTCCTGCCGGATTCAGCTTGCTTTTCAGCTTCATTGAGCGCATTTGTTGCTCTCGCTTTTCCATTCTTCTGGGCGGCTTTTTATTTTGTTTTGATTGCCCGGGCCAGGGATTTGAGCTTTACTTTTCCTTTTCCTTTTACTTTTGCTTATTGTCGTTTTAAATACACGGCCATAAAATTCATATTTTTATGCGTCACTTTTTATTGGCCATGAGTGGCAGGCCGGAGCCCAGGCTGAGCCGCAGCCGAATGAATCCGAATCCGCATCCACCTGGCGTAGTCAGTTGAGCACATCCGTAAATTTGCCCGTAAAGCATCCAAAGTATCCCTTCTGCATCCGCTGTACATATATCCTTAGCCCGGGCCTCCCCCTCGCTCGCTCGTTTCGATAAATTCCGTACGTTTTTTATTTGCAACTTTTACGTAATACGGTTAATGGAATCTGTTGCTGCGGGTATGCGTGTGTGTGCGTGTGTGTATATGGCGGGCTTATTCATTCATTATTCGATAAATATTCAGCAGCAAACGAATGCACGTCTTGAGCTTCGATTGGGGCGGCCTGAGTTCTGGCCAATTCAATTTGGTAATGGAAGGCATAATCGATAAGCGCTCATTTGCGGTCAAGGCTATCGGAATCGAGTCATCGATATGTGATTAAAAATTCAATTTTTATTTTCTTAATATTATATTTGTATTTATATTAGTTTTTAGGCCTTTGTGGGGTCTAATAATTTCAGTAAGAAGCTAGTATCGCAGTGATGGAGTCTTTTTTGACCCATTCTGGACATTTTCAGTCCAAATTCATACATTTCTGGGAGTCAAGTA